GCGACGGCGCGTATGGTGGACGATCTACATCCTGGACAGGAGTCTGGCTCTGGACCTTGGACGACCAGTGTTGATTGACGACACTGACTGCGACGTCTCGCTCCCTGCCCCGGTGGACGACCATTACATTCATGAGGGAGGCATAATGGTTCCTCCTGGCCGCGAGCCCCTGAACCACTCCCTCTTGGCTGTGATCAACGTCGTCAGATCATACTCTTCTTTGATCAAGACACTGGCTGCCCCTATTGTGGTGCCCACCAGGCTCGCAACCTTCGAGACGCACTTCAACGCCTGCCATGGACAGTTCCCCCAGGTGTGCGACACGGCTAGCACAGGGCAAATATCGCCTCACCTCCTCACGCCCTACACCTACCTTCTCCACGCTCGTCTCGCATTACACCGCCACAACCTGGCTCCAACCTGCCCGTCCGATGTACATCTTGCTGCCACGGAGCAGTGCACTCACATTGCTCTTGAAACAGCGTCCCTTCTCTCGCGTGCAACCCCTACCCTTGCCGACGGCGCTACTGCCCTCCTCACTACCCACACCTTCCGTTGTGCCCTCTTCCTCCTTCTGGCGGGATACTGGGACCATGCAACGACGTGCCTGCGCGCTCTAGCGACCATAGACTCGAAACGCGATGTTGCTATCCCCTGTGGACGATTCCTCGCCTTCTTCGTGTCTACACTAGGCACAAAGCGCACCGAGTATGCGGCATTTGTTGCCCGCACGACACCTCCGAAACCATTCGCCCCGCCTCCTCCTCCCCAGGGCCGTTCTTGGCCTACCCCGCTACAGGAGGCTCTGATGCAGGACGAGGAGCTCCTAGCATATGTCAGCGCCGATTTGCAAGCGGCGCCAGACTCGGCCTGGGTCTGGGCCGGCGGCGAACGCGAGGCCATCCTCTCTCCGACTTCCCCCGGATCGATCACAGCTTCTGGTGGTGCCAGCAGTGGTCTCTTCAGCGCCGAGCAAAGAACTGGGCTGAGCGAGGACGAAGTCAAGGAATGGGGAGGATGGGAGCGCCTTGAGGCGGCCTTACGGGGGCTGGCCTCGGGCAACACGACGCCCACGCCAACATCCGCGACTTGGACGTCTGCTCTACCCGCCGGGATCAAGACCGAAGGCACGCCGACGTTGCCGAGCATAATGCCGGGCCCTGGCGAGGGTAGTAGCACCAACAGCCCAACAACAAGCACCAAGGGCCGGCCCCAGGACAGGTTGAGCATCGCAAACATCATCTAGAGAGTTTGAATTGGAGAATCGAACCTTCAGCTCTCTTCTTGAAGCGGCTCGATCTAGCACAGCACGGGGCAGGCCCTGTGGATTGGGGCTTCTCTCGACAGGAGTTCCCAAGAGCTGCATATCAACACTTTTTGGATGTTTTATTACATCAGAACAAACACCAGGCAACAAATCATGACTGTTCACGAACGTCACGGAAATGAAGCCATGTAGACCACGTTAGGCCCCTACAATTGGGTCTCTGTCATGATGGTCCCATGACAGTAAGCCGGATTCGAAGAAAGAACTCCGATGTACGATAATGCGTTGACACGAGGGGCTTACGATGCCTTCCTCAGTCAACTTCTCTCTCTCTCCCTCATCAACTTTTTTCTCTTACAAAAATTACTTTGCTCCAATCATTCCTTTTTTTTCCTTCCTTCCATCATTTGGACCTCACCAAACTCTGAGCGGGCGTAGCCATACTGGCCCCCCTCAAACCATTCGTTAACACCTTAATGTCTGCACCATCTAAACAGCAAGGGGTGAGAAGGGCGGAAGCTTATTCCCGGTTGCTGTTTCTTTTTCTCTTTGTTCACGGCCCGGTTCGCTGGATGACCGAGCCTGGGTAAAAAAGGAGTTGCAAACACTTCGAAAAGAAAAAAAGGGCGATGGCATAGGGATGGTTCTTCTTAATGGGCGCGGCACAGCGAGGAGGCGCAGGGGATGAGGAAGAGGCCGGGCCTTTTTTTCCTTTAGTGCAATACCCAGCAGAGAGGATGAAATGGGGCTGGATTCGGTCTGGAATTGGGTTCCGTTTTTGTTGACATTGTCTATATGGCATATCTCTGATTTTCTATCATTTTTCACCATTTTTTGTTTGTTGCTGAATCACAGGCTTGCGAAAGGGGGGTTGTGTTGTACGGAGAATTCGGAAAAAGACAAGGGGCAACCGATTGCACCCGAACCCTTTTTTGCACATAGGATCTTATTTTATGTACGAACGAAGCAAGAAATGAGCCTGGGGACTCGCCGAGGCATGGTACTCGCGAGATCTTTTACTACAGACCATGATGAACAACTTTCTTTTTCCCTGGGGCCATTATTGGATTGTGAGGAATGAGTCGACAACTGGGGAAAGCTGGATGGCTGCATGGTTGAAGATATGCGGAGTGGGAGCGAGCAACTATGGACATCGCGAGGGGTTGCTATGGCAGGTTCCAGCGACTTTGCGGGCTTACGACTAACACACTTTTGCATTCTAGCCACCTAGGTGGTTCTTGGCAAGATGCTGCGAAGAGCCTTTAATTGATCTCACCGAAGCCATGGATTCAGCGTGGACAATGGAGATTTGGCCGCCGACAGAGAGAAAACGAGGAGTTCTCTGGGATCACAGCTCTGGATCCCCGGGACACCGTCCGTCGAAAACACCACAATGTCAGAGTCGCAACACCACCACCAAGGCAGGCTTGGCTCGCAACGTCAACAACGAGCTTTCTCGGCAGCGACTCCGTCCAACGCCTTGGCACATTCGGCTCGGCGACCCTTTGCCGGCTTGTCATTCTCTTCCCCCCCCCCCTCCCTCCGGCAGCGCCATCGACAACCCAAATCATTGTCTGCCCCACGCCACCGTGGAAACGAGGTTCTTCCATAGTCGTTGGTTTGTGAAGCACCTCACCCCGGTCTTCCGCGGGAAAGGGGAGGCGCAGGGCTTTGGTTGGGAGGCTCATTAGGGTAGCGCCACGACACTTCTAACAAGAAGCCGGTGACACGTGTGTCGTTATACTAGGGACTAAACTGACAGTTTACGGATCGTAGAGGTGGTACGACGTTGTTGGTTACACTGGGTCTTGAGCTCTGAATCGTAGTTGCTGCGCCTCTCACGTGTCTGCGTCTTGAAGACTGGAGACTTGGATGGACGGGAGTTTTGATACAGAGTCGTTTGCACTAGTTCAATGGTTCTTCAGCGCTTTTGTGCAGCTGTCTCGTCCTCCGCACCGACCCCACGGTGTAAAGCTTCATCGCGTGTTTCTCGTTGGTTGAGAATGCTTGTTTAGTTGCTGTTCAGATAGTGGCACTGCTGCGACGACCACGTGGGGTTGGACGAGTTTGACAACGGTGACAGGTCTATCCCTGTAGCACGATCTAGCTTCTGACTGCCCACCCGTCGTTCCATGAGAGGGAACTGGGAAGCGGGGGTTTACTGGTGAGGTGGTTAGGGAACTGAGACCAGAGAGCCGGGGAGTTCACCCGGGGAGGGAGAGAGCACTCGGGGAGGGTGGTATTACCCGCTAGGATGGAGGCTCAGTGATGCTACGTGACCACTGTGCTACTCTAGGACACAACGAGGGCCCGTGATTGAAGGTAGTAAGCATCACCCTACTTTACACCAGTGGTCCTCACCTGCGATGTGTGATGGTGTGCCCTGACTAGTGAGCCAAGTCTCACGGTCGTTGCGGGAACCGGAGGCAGATACGTGTCATACATGACACAAGGATGGCATGGGGAAACCTTCTTTTTCCTTCTCTTTGGGGTCCAAAGCCAAGTTTTGCTGGGAGCGAGTGAGTGTGAATAGATCATGCCTCTCTACTGCGTACATACCTTGCCATTAGATTCACATGGCGCGCGAAATTGATGTCAGCAACAGCCCTGAGAACTTGGGTTTTACCTACAATCCACATAGCCTCAAGTTGTGTCGGCTCAACTTGCCGCTACTACATATCTCGAACACACTCTTTCCAACGTGAAAAGTATCGAGATGGGGAGCCCGCTTTTCTTTTTAGGACGGAATTCCCTGGTGCCCATGTGCCTTTACACTGACCAAATTTCAAGGTCCTCCGGCTCGGCTCTTATCATCCGCCCGTCTTTGGCGGAGACTGGCCGATTAAACGAGAACGAACCTCACGGTCCATTCTTGGCCGCCCCCCTCCACCTCCCCATTTCCACTCAACTCAGATCCCCCGCCCACTCCCACCCCTTGCTCAAGGTAGAGCTCGCACTAGGGAAGCCTGAAGGGAGGGGACCCGCTAGTTTAAACTTGGTGATCCCCGGGAGCCCGGGCCGGCGATGATCGAGGGATGGGTGGGACGGGGTTGATGCTAGGGGATTTGCGTTCTGGGATGTCATCAACAGCTATCCTAGCTATTCTAGCGTGCCTTGGTCAGATTCAGTGTTTTTCTCGCTTAGTCCGTGGCCTGGACCCTTGATCGTCGATAGCTACGCTCTGACCTTTGGGGGTTTAGTGATGATTGTTGTTTTACCAGGTCGCTTAGGTCGTTTGTGTTGTCGGGTACTAACGTGTGTGTGGGGAAGCGAATGGAGGCTGGAGAGAGAAAGGGGCTATGGGGGGGGGGTTCCAAAACTCTTGTGAGAGTGTTGCGAATGTATTTGCCCGCGGATTAGTTTTTGTTGGATTCACAGGTGGAAAAGGAAAATACTCGAGTATCGTGGGTAGCAACGATCACCGACTGTAGTGGTGATATTGCTTGTTCTTGTTGTTCTTGAGTGGAAGTCTAACCAGGTGCCAGCGGCGGCAGGAAGTCTGGGGTATACCACCCTCGTGTGGCTGAGCCACACGGACCACCGTGGCTGGAACGGACCGCGGCAGCAACCTCCTGCTGCCTAATGTAGGCCTATTCCAACAGTTTTGCTTGTGGCGAAGCGTGTGAGAGATGGTGATGGGTACAGTCAGCCTGCCCCGTTGTCGATCAATATTTGTCTTTTTTGTCATCTTGGCTTGAATAGCGTCCCTTGCGTTGAGATGCTTTTTGAGACGTCAATGACCACGCTCGTATGATTTCGACTGTATGAACTGACGTCTATTCGTTGTCTGCTCGTGTCAGTGATGATTCTTGAACCTTGCTTGTTTCTAGGTGGAGTTTTGCGCGTGTTAGTGTACACCGAAAGCGATGTCTGTTCACTCAGTGATGGCATTAGGGTGTTTCTGAATTACACCTTCACCGGGCTAAAAGTGAGGGCTTATGAATTTGCCTACTTGCTTGGATATTGCCTCAATGTGAAAAAGAGCGAGGAGGGTGATAAAGGACTTATCTATGGACTCAAAAAATTGACAAATGCTGAAAACTGAAGAACCCGATGAGTGGCTTTACCAATCGTGATGAGGATTTGAGCCTCACGCGGGGGTCGAACCCGCAACCTTGAGATTAAGAGTCTCACGCTCTACCGATTGAGCTAGCAAGGCGGGTCTTGTTTGTTGAGTGAAGTGCTGCGCTCAGGGCTTGAGGAGCTTCGCGCCAGCCGTCGATCTGCGCCGCGGGATTCAGCTTCTTCTTCCCCGCCGTCCCGGCTCCGCCGCGTTGGGCGTTTTCCGGCAGGCGGTGAGGCTGGTTTCAAGGCGGCTGGTCAGTCTCCGTTGGGTGGCGAGGAAAGGCGGCAATGAATGTGAGTCGAATCCCAGAATCTAGACACATCTTTCGACGTTCCAGGAATGATGGAGCTGGGTTCAGAGCTGCACTTCAAGGTAGGTAGCGTACTCTTCATTTGCTGCACATAGTATTATGAAGAGGGCCTGTTTAACTTCCCTGTATCTCAGCAACAGTAAGTTTCGATTCCTCATAGCTTTAATTATAGGTTCTTTCGTTTGTCATCTACGGACTACTCCTTAAGTTCTTAACATCCGTCACTGAACTTGCAGAACAACCATAATCGCATGCGCTCCTTGCCCACGTCGATAGTCTTCCAACTGATCACTCAAGAGTTTGACTTTCTCTGACTTGTCAAGTGAGGCAATCTTCTCCTTATAACCATTCTTCTCCCAAACAGCCTCGTACACCGTTGCGACAACAAACCCGCCAGGGCGGACAATTCTCACAAACTCGTCAAAGGCTTCGGGTCCCACGTGACCCTCGGTCATCGTACCGACGCATACGACGGTATCGTAAGAGTTTGAGGCCTGAGACAAAGGCTTGGAGAGGTCTGTCGTGCTCAAAGACTGGTACGCACCAGATCTCTCAGCGACCTTGAGCATCCCTTGGCTGAGGTCTATGCCATCTATCTGCGTGGCTCCAAGCTTCGCGAGGTTGGCCCCGACAAGGCCTGTTCCACATCCAGCGTCCAGGATTCTCGACTTGGCAATGGCAGATGAACCGACATACTTGACCACGTACTCGCTGGCAATGACTGGCGCGACGTAGTCTTGGTCTGCGCCTAGTAGGTCGCGATCATAGTTTTCGGCCCAGTCGTCGTAGAGGATTTGTGCCTCGGCGGTACTGGTCACATTCAAAGCGCGTTCAATCGACATATTGGCGAACGATAATCGGCGATGACCTCTGTCCTAGGTAGATAGTCAAAAGTGGTGGCTTAATAATGTCATCAAGGGAAAGCGCGTGATGTTGGTGAAAAGTATCGTCCTACATCGTCGCGGGCGTCAAATGTCGGACTATTATCAAGCAACATTTCGACACCAAGCGAGAATGACGTTGAGTAGCGCGTTCAACACCTCGGAAGATACTACGTGCTGATTGGCGCTGCTTTCCATCTGAGCACGTGTTGAAAGCAGATCGACAATTTCCTCCCAGTAAGGATTACTCTAAGATCCTTGACTAATCCTATACCTAACTTAGCATGCATTCAATCTGGGGGAATGATTTAACGCCACCATGTGGCTGGCTCCAGCTGACTTGTTCTTCCTGCACCGGCTCTTCGGACTTTCGGAGTATGCGGGGTCGGTGTGTTCGTGGCTTACCTTAGACACCGCCAAAGGACTTTCGCACTTTGCGACAAAGATGACGGCCCAGGGGGATTTGGGAATTTGTTTTCCTTAACTTTTAGGAATTGGGAATCAATCACAAGTGTTCCTCTTCAGATGTAAACGTGGCGTAAAGATCGTATCCATAAATACCATAGCCATACGTCCAACCAGATACCGCTCACTGTTGATGCAAGCTACTCGTTATCCATAATCCCTATTCACAAGACGCTACGGTTTTCTATCTACCACAACCAACTCTTCTCCACTCCAAATTCCCACCATACCTTGATCATACTTCCGTTTGAGATCCCATCACTCCAGTCACAACCATGCCTGTCTACCCAAGAAACCAAAGGCCCCTCCACACGGCTCTCGCTGCGGATAGACAGCGTGCTCTCGAAAAGGCAAACTCGAAGGCCGCAACGTCTGGAAAGATAGAGTACGCCTCTAGAGATCGCAAAAGCTCGAAGGCACAAGACAAAATGGAGGTGTTCGGCACGAGAAATGCTAGAAGGTGGCTCGGCAGCCTCCACATAACTTCGAAGACCTCCCACGGAACATCAAAGCCTCGCACGTCGGAATACCAAAGCCTATAGAGCGCAAGCTTCCTTCACGACCGTACATCGACCGACAGAAACCATGATGCCTCACATCCGAAATTACCACCTTCAAGCATGCCCGATGATGCATCGACAGACATAACTCGAAGACTCAGAATTGCGAAGTTGCGATCGCGATTCGCGAATGGTCAACAGACGAGCAGTCTACGATCACACCACGACCGGTCTGTACACAAAACCTCTGGAACGTACGAAGGCATCATTGCCAGCTTCACAAAACTGCAGCCGGCAGTGATCGCACAGGGAAGAAAGAAGAAAGGCACATGGAGGATCGCGAGGGCATGCTGCATGGTCCTGGGTGGTGCTATAAAGTTACGAGCATTGGTCATCGAGATGGAAGGTATTATTTTTATGTCACAAAAAGGACAATAGCTGCCGGGGCTATGGGGCTATGGGTGATATCTTCGGCTATTGTACTGCTATTCAGGAGTTTAGGGGAAAGAGGCTGAGGAGTAACAGGCGTTGGTGAAGGAATTGTCGTTGCCGATTTATTATTTATACCCTGTTTCGAACGTTAATAGAACAAGATTGTGCCCCGGAAACAGACAAATTGGGAATGTCTAAAACGCCTCATCTGGAACCTAAAATGTCTGTCATATGCCCTTGCTCGGAGCTCTTGATCAAAGTTGTAGAATGCACCCATGCCGAAGTCTACTGTAAACCGTGGACGATCCGGGACCACTACCGCCCCCGATAGGCCTGGCCGAAGCCTATTGGTACGCCCTGGTCAGAGACCCGGGTGCCTTTGAGAAGTTCGAGCGTGTGACGCGCTACTATGAGGCTCACTCTCTGCAAAGATAGCGAGCCCGAGATCCCGCGCCTCACAACTCTCTCACACACCCACCGACGCCTTGAGGCCCCGGCCTTACCACACCCCTCTCTCTTCCTTCCTCCTTTATCTTCTATATAAGAAAATATAAGAAAACAGAAAAATGCTCGCGTAGGCAAATATGCCTCCGAGGGCCGGTTACTTGTTGCGGCAACGCCGTCTGTGGACGGCGTAGGGCTGCTAGAGACCCATTCGCTTCTGCCGAGTCAGGGACCCCCTGCTGGCGTGCTTTTTGGAACTGAACGGACCCTGGGGATTAGATACTAAACTCCACTGCTCTAGGCACGAGAAGAAAAGTGTACATTATAGACTGCCTGACTTGTCGTACGCTATAATGGCGGCACGGCACATCATATGCCCAAAGGGCGCTCTGGTTGATCGGAGCTTAGTTACATAGATAGCTGGGCACCTGTCCCTGATGATGTAAAACACCACTACTACTACTACTACTACTATTGGGGTCGCTGATGGGGTGGTATCATAGACCGCCATACCAAATCGGGCTTGCCGTCGTTGGTACGAATAGTCCCAGTCACCTGGCTCAGGTGCGACTTTTGGTTCCAAGTATGCGGCGAAAATCGGAGTGCCATCATGGCTCGGCGCAGGTGTTACCACTGTCTGGAGTGGAGTTGGCTTCTTACGCCTGAATGGTACGACCGGCACTTCCTGAAGCCCATGGCCATCATCCTCTCCGTCTTCGTCGTCCAAGGGGGCATCTAGAAATGGGTCGTAGGAGAGTCGATCGCAGACGCGACACATTGTTGTAAGATATTGTTATTCGGCTTGATCAACAAACAACATGGTGAGTGAGCTCTTTAAAGGTGATGGGTGGTAAGTTCACAGCACTGAATAATGTGGCTTTATCCTAAACCCAATGGGCACATGTCGCTGTGATTGTTGTTGGGTTATTGGGTCCTGTGAGGAACAAGTAGGATTGACGCTATCATGAAGTGGGGCTAATGGTGCCTAGAGCCGGCGAAATATGTCCGGTTAACAGCTGATCGAGGATTAGTCGCAGTCTACAGCAATTTACTGTAAATTGTCACAGTTGAGCACAGCCTCTTGATTGAGCTAGTGAGTGTTATGCCGTTGTACTACCTACCTTAAGGCACCTAAAATCAAATGGTTATGTGTTGGTCATTGCGAGATACCGAGTAAGAAATCATGCTGAACTTGAAATATTGTAAAGATTCGCGATGACCAAATGGGGTTACGAGATTGACACGCTGCGATTAATAAGAAAGCACTAAAAACAATAAAGAGCCATCGCCATGTTAGGTCTTGAAGTGGATTGAAACATGATTTTGTTGTAAACTTGTAATCTGCCCCATAAGTCTGTACTTGAGATGATGAAACCGGACACTCAGCTAAACCAGTGGTTCAAATACTGCTTGATTGGCTGATTGGCAAAGATTGCAGGCTCGATCACTTTATGCTATTTTCTGTAATTGAAGCGATGTCGGAGTTGTTCCGACAGTATTCGTGCAAAGACTTACAGCTTGTGTGATCGAGGAGCGATGGCGTATCGAGGGCCTTGTAATGACGTGCGGCTTGCCTTATCATCCAAACACGGGTCAGCAGCGGCGGCATCTTGTATCAACTTGAATTTCGCTATGTCTGGCTCGAGAACGAATTGATCATTGAATTATTCAGAGCAGTAATCAAGCATATGTTCATCCTTAACACGTTTTTCACACCACCTCTGCCATTGGACTCATTTCGAGAAACTCAAATCAAATACCTTACATTATACATATATCACGACGATCTCGACACCTTCGCCGCAGGATCTCATCTCTCAAATTGACCCCAACAGGCTTGAGGCTGTTCGTAGAAAGTATGCAGAAGAAGCAAAGAGACTTAGGCCAGAAGGCTCCGCACAGTTTCAACCCCTCAACGAAGCATCAGAGGATCGACTTCACTCGCTTCTCGAAGATCCATGGGCAGATCACGCAGTATTGAATACTAAGCCATCGCCATTTCGCAATGCCAGGCACACTCGTTTCTTTGTCTTGGGAGCCGGATTTGGAGGGCTTCTGTACGCGGTAAATCTCATCAAGTCCGGCGTCGCAACCGCAGACGAGATCCGAATCGTCGATGCCGCTGGCGGCTTTGGCGGGACTTGGTACTGGCACCGGTATCCTGGGCTGCACTGCGACCTCGAGAGTTACTGCTACCTGCCTCTACTTGAGGAGACTGGATACATTCCCACCAAGAAATACGCCCCAGCCGCAGAAATCAGACAGTATGCGGAGCTCATTGCGTCGCGATGGAAGCTTGACGACAAGACTCTGTTTCGGTCTGATGTGCAGAGCGTGCAGTGGGATGATGACAAGGAGCTCTGGAATATTAGTCTCTTTGAGAGACGTGGTCCGGGAGACCCTGAAATCCAACAAAAGATCCAGGCGCAGTATGCTTACCTAGCTGCGGGCGTTCTTACAAAGCCACAAGTTCCCAAGATTCCCGGTCTGCTCTCCTACAAAGGGGACATATTCCACACTTCTAGGTGGAACTACGATGTCACCGGTGGATCTCAAGAGGACCAAACACTCACGAACTTGAGAGACAAAAGAGTCGCCATAGTCGGCACGGCTGCAACGGCCATAGGAGCAATTCCCACGCTGGCCAAGTTCGCCAAGGAATTGTACGTGGTCCAGCGAACACCGGCCTACGTCAAGGAACGCGGTCAACAAGAAACCGACTCCGAAACTTTCAAAGCTACCGTCGCGCGCAAGAAAGGATGGCAATTTGAGAGGCAGATCAACTTGAACCGACACATGACCAACGCCGTGCTGCCAGGTCAACCTAATCTGGTGAAAGATGGCTGGACTGGTATGCCCGCTTACTCCGCCGTCATGGGATCACCCGCTCACGGCATCGTCAACCCCTCCTCAGAAGACCAGGAACGAAGGGCCACCTGGTTCCACGCCTTGGATTTGCCGCATATGGAAGGCGTGCGCGCTCGTGTCAGCAGCATCGCCAAAGACGAAGCTACCGCTAAGAAATTGAAGCCCTTGTACCCCGTCTTGGTGCAAACGTCCAACATTCAGCGATGAGTATCTAGAAACTTTCAATGAGTCACACGTACACCTCCTTGACACGGACGGCAAAGGCCCATCTAGCGCTACAGAGAAGGGCATCGTCGTCGCCGGCCAGGAGTATCCCGTCGACGTCATCATCTTCAGCACAGGGTATTCCGTTACTGGTGGCCGTACGGGAGGCAGCCCAGCGGAACGAGTCGGCATCGAGGTTCTCGGCCGCAATGGTCTCTCGATGGATGATAAGTGGCGACGCAACGGCGCTGCCACGCTACATGGATATCTCACAAACGAGTTTCCCAACCTCTTTTTCTCCGGTACGTCTCAGGGCACCATCACGGGGAACAATGTGTTCATGTTGGGCCTCATTGCTCGACATGTCACGTACATCATTTCCGAGGCCGAGAGACGAGTGGGACCTGGTCAAAGGGCCATCGTCGAGGTGACTCGAGAGGCAGAGGAGCAACACAGTCAAGAGGTTGCGAAGAGAGCCCCGTTCTTTTCGTCGCTTGCGGGATGTACTCCAGGATACTTCAATGGACACAGACAAGCGGCCTCAGACGAACCAAAGGAGAGGGCAAAGCAGGCTCGCGGAGTCGTGTGGGCCGAGGGAACAGTGTCGTCCTTGGAGTACATCGGGAGGTGGAGGAACGAGGGCAAATTGCAAGGGATATCCGTTTCTGCGCGACCTAGGGTTGCGTCGAATGGCACGGAGAGGTTTTCTAAGATTTGATGCAGCGCGTAGACAAATTCTGGGATTTTAAAGAGATCAAGTTGCGGTGTTATTTGACCAAGGAAGAACTCCAGTCCATAAATTAAATAAAAGCCCACCCTTCCTATTCGCACACGCTCCAAAGTAGAGCGACGTACCAGTACCAGATGTTAGGCCCAATGTGACTGCAACTTGTCTGAACTGTGCAAACTGTCTTGGATCTGGCTAGTAGGCGGGCTACGAGGTAAAAGCAATTGCCTTATTATACAAGTGAACGTAGGCTAGGGGTCATCTAGCTCATGATGAGACAATTGTCTCGACATAATGAGCATTACCGACCTGGGCCCTTGCATGCAATTCAGGCAATTAAAACCTCTCCCCGCTATCATTGACGGGGCATCTTTAGGGAACAAAGAGAAATACACAGCATCCCAGTCGACAGATTCAAACATTTTTTTTGATGCACCTCACGGAAACACAGTTCTAAGCTGTTCTCAATAACAAGAAGGCAGCATGTTATCTTGTTCCTATGGAAATTTACGCCTAAGCTCACTTTGAGGGTACAGCAGATGTGCGAAAAGTCAGAACTCACGATTTCAGAAGCAACGATGCTATTTGAAATTCGAACCTTGAGCAGCAAATCGACCTTGCTTATAATTAAGCGCCGTGTCTATCCACAGATTTCCGAGAGGAGTCTTACTCACGGTATGCCACGATGCTCTCTGGCAATAGCAGACGAGTTGCAGGATGAGTCTTACATGTGCGGCTAACACCATCGAGATGATAACGGACGAGAGGACACGTTCTCATCTGAAGTCTATAGAAGAGGGAAGTCACGGAAAGTATGCAATACATTTCATGCCGAACTTCTAATCCGATTTTCAAAGGACCACGAGTTGCGTTCGACGATTCCCAAGAGTAAATGACATCACTCACTTATATAAGTCTACTAGTAGAAAACAACGTCGCGACTTGTCGGCTATCTTGGACTAAATACAAGTCATGCCTCGGAACCCACCTGATTGAACCTGACGATGGTATTTTAGGCTACTACCCACATAGCTAAGTGTTGTCAAGATCAGACTTTGCCATAATCAGTCCCCCAAGATGACGTTGAATCTTTTTTTCGATAATAAGAGACGGGCTTTTCAGAAAAGCCGAAGGGACCGGAAGAGTTTGTCAAAGTTGAGCCTCGGCCCGGCCGCCCGGAGTTCAAAGGCAGAAATGGAAAACTGTTGGTATACACGTCAGCAAGGCAACCGTACGGTTGGAACGAAGTGTCAATAATGGTCTATTATTGCTGCGTCTTGAGGTGGAAGGAGGAGGTTGTGGGCAGAGCCCACGGCCTCTCAGAAGTGGTATGTAAGGGGTCGTTTGTAAGTGCCCATACCGCCTTCCAGATCCACCTTTTCTGCCGACTGCTCAGAGATCCAACAAAAACGATCCCGGGGCGTGATCACTCTACCGAGTCCGCCGTCTGTAGACTTCGTGTTCGCATGTTAAACTTCAAGCTGCTATTCCAACGGAGGCGACGGAACTTTTCCAAGCTTGATCGAGATCAAAGAGTAGGGGCGGGACGGTAATCAACGGACATGGTCAATGACGAGTTGGAAATTGGGTGTAGGAGGTCCAAGTATAAATTCTTGGCCAACCCCCTTTGCCAACATCAGCTTTTGGGAACGCAGATTCATCACATTTACACATATCTGAACATCCACTGACACCACACCCACTCTCTCATCATTATCGCTTGTCTGTTAACCTGCTTACAATCCACCATCATAAACAAGCATTTAAAATTCCCGAGATTCCCGTCAATCCAAACTCTATCCACGTAGCTGGGACCACTCCCCGTACCCGGATTCCCCGAAAACTCAATCCTGAGAAACGCCCTTGCCACCCTTCACATAACGAAGACTTCCCACCTCCTCCTCTTCGCCACCCCCACCCTCGCCGGCGTAGCCCCAGCCACAACCGCCGAACAGTGCGGAACCCTCGGCGTAATGGCCTACACCGCCGCATCCCTCGACGCCGCCGTCGCCGGTGGCAGTGGCGTCGATCCCGCACAGATCCGCACGTGTCAAGAACACCCCCTAGGCCCGGCCCCCCGACCCGAACACGCCGTCGGACCCCGTCCGAAAGCCTCTCCCTCGACTGCTTCCGCAGACTTCGACAGCAAGGAAGGAGTCAACTCCACCGCCGTGGGCCACTGGGGCTGGGGCTGGCGGCACGGCGGCTGGGGAAACTGCTGGGACAGCGATCCGGGCGACTACGGGTGTTCGGGCGGCTACTGCTACAAGGCGTGTGATGGTGATGGCAGGTGGTGCTGGACTGCGCGGAATAGGGGGTACGGGGATTGGAAGACGTGCAATACGAATTCTGATTGTGCTAATTTGGATGATGGTGGGTGCGGGAGGGGGTGTAAGTCTTGTGGCTGCGGCTGTTAGGACAGATGGATCCAATGCCTGGTCGCTTTCTTTATTGTTCGTTTCAGTACTTTATCGTGGTCAGTGGTGTGAGATGGGACCGGGAATGCGTCTGAGTTTGGTGTTTGGCTTCTTGGATTGATGCATCTGTGTGTATTTAGTCTGGTAGCTGAATTCTTATTGAGGCGGCATGAAGGATCAACGCTGGGTCCCTCCTTACTAGTGATGGGTCTGGACTTCTGATGAGTACCTCACTTTGCATGTGTTAGTGTTGCTTGGATGACCATCTCGTCTCATAAGTTGACGTAATCGGACCCGGAAGCGACACATGCTTGACATGGATCAATTTGTCACAATGATAATTCAGGAAGGGAGTTCTCTTGTCGGACGCAACTGAAATTTTCCCCTAGTTGCGCCCCTGAGACCGCATAAGAATGACATTGTCCCCTTGGCTTTGGGGAACGATATCACTATCCTACCTGAGAAGAATTGTCGGGCTTTCGTTTGTGTGTAAACATCCGACCTCAATAGGGTTCAAGGTCAGGCAATGCATGGAAAAGCGTTGGGTATCATAACACGGGGATCTAGCAGCTTCTAATGAACATGAAAATCGACACTTTCCGTACTTGTGCCAGTAGTCTGGCTTCTTCTTCACATCAAAGATCTGTGGAAGGGCTAATATACATCGACTCGTCATAACGACACCCAGGGAATTGGAAACCAACAACCGAAGGAACTTGTCTCATGATCCCAGCCTCTTGACAACTAGAATCAGCTGTTGTGTTGTAGTCAAAATTAACCGGCTCGAATTCATCTCTCGTTACCATGGCATTGGCGGACAGTGTCGACATGTTTGACGACCCTCCAGTTAACGAGGGCACTTCAGATGCGATGGTCGACTGTGTGAGAGACCGTGGGTTCTGAAATTCGCGAATCCACTTCAGGCATATGTCGATCTCCCTTTGGACCTCGCCATAGATTTGATGCTGTCTCCGTGACTCCAGGAAGTTACTGAACCTATCAAGCTCGTCGCGGTCTAAGTAGTTAGCTGCACGTTCGTAATTGGCTTTGCGCCAGCTTTAGTTTGGCAATTTGAAGGACACGTACAGGGGGAAGGCATTGCCTCTGGGGATATCCGTATTGATCTAAAGATGATCTTGTAGATCCTACCCCACTTGTAGGCTCCATCCTTGCCGCGCATCTGGTCTTGAGAGGAGCTCAACTGCGCGTCGTCCATGTTATCATCCACCATGGCATGTTGCCTCTGGCATTGAACTTCAGAATCACGGTGATCATCGAGGTCTTCTCGCGAGGGCAGTCGCTTTTGGCACCTGCTGCATTTGTATCCAGGTTCGTAGTGTTTACGTTGGAGATGTTCCCTAGCATGAAACATTAGCTGGTGCTTTCGTGTATGGATTGTCTCTGGTGTCGCCCCGGGTCAGACGAAGTCGAGACTAAACTTACTTGAGTCGGTGAAATTCCTCCCAGCCGGCACCTGCACAGGACTTCCACTTCCCCCTTCTATACTTCTCCGGGTTTAGCTTGAAGTAAGGGCAAGCAAAAGCGCGGCTCTCATCATGGGAATTCGTCTGGGACTCTGAGGATGAGTCAAGAGGACCTTCCGCCCCTGGTGTAGATGCAGCACTCGTTCCTAGCGACGTATGCAACCTACGCCGTTTACCTTCGGGCTTTTCGCTGCTGGTGCTGCGGCGTCGCTTTCTATTGTTGGTAATCACAGGCACAGTAAGACTCGGACGAGATAATATCGGGAGCTCTCCGAAAGAGGGCAAGGATGTTTCCATATTTGGCGACCCGAGTTGGCCTATGTCGGGTGAGATGGTGATATTCATGCTCCCGTATAATAAGTTTGGCTGTTTCATGGTGTCGTCGTAAGTTCCCAAAAGTGGCTCCGTGAACGCGAAAGGCAAGACGGCAGCACCAGTACTTATGTCATCCCCAGCAGTAAAGCTAGCAGATGGATAGGTGTAGTCCAGCTGGGGCGCAAGCACCGGCAATGTCTGATTATACTGTGTTGGATCTGGTACCTCGACCACGTTCACAGTGATAGATCGAGGCTCATGGTGCGGGGTTCCTGTCAAGTGCTCGTTTCCACAGGTCCAACTCGATACGCTTCCACGAGGAGCTGGCTCAGTGTAGCTCGGGTCACCTAAGCACTTTTGGTACATCGTCTCGAGGCTGGAGACAACATCGGAGCAAGATGTCCGCTTGGACCCATCGACCTCCAACATCTTGTCTCGAATCAGGTCCAACAAGTCGTGAGTAAAGGTACTCGCTCTTGGGGCTCGATGGAGTCGACTTATCCACTGCACAGGACTGCGTTAGCATACACGCGTAACACGAACACATCCCGATCAGAGTACTCACATGCGAGACAGCGGCCTTGAGCTTAACTCTGGTGCCCTGTTCTTGGTCTTTGGAAACCTCAAAAAAGGAGTTATCTGGCCGTCCGCCGGCCTTGGTTTGACGATTGGCGCTGAATTTCTTCACCCCCTTGCGGCCCAGAGTCATCCACGTAGCAGCTACACTCATGACGCAGCCTAGGGACCAGATATCTGCCTTTTGGCCATCGAATGTGCCGACGTCGTGCTCTGGAGCACGGTACATCGGTGAGCAGCCTACAGGCCTGTCGCACAGTGAAAGGTCTGTCCCGCGGCTGATCCGAGATAAGCCAAAGTCAGCGAGCTTCCACTGGCCGTTTTCAACGAGGATGTTTTCCGGTTTGATGTCGCCGTGGTAGGCTCCACCACCTCCCTCGGTCGGTTCTTGATACCCCTTGCTTGAGCGCTTCTTCAGTCGGCAGTAGTGTATCGCTTTCAAGGCCTCGGCGACACCGAGCATCTGCTTCGCGGTCAAGGTCGCAGGCTTCACCGCGTTGGCTGAGCCACAAGGCAAAGAGGATGCCGGCTCGGTGAAGACGCCGTGGAGGTCGTTCTCAGCCCAGGGGAAAACCAGGTAATAGGTTTCCCCACGCTTAAAGGTGGTAAGTAGCTCAATGACATGAGGTTGATCCGGGCCGCCAAAGGTCTTGAGGGCGTCTACCTCACGCCTGTAGTCTTCTGGACCCGCGTTGAGAAGCTCCTTGACTGCGACGATGGAGGCGGAGAAGTCATGATGCCCGTCGTGAAGGTGGGCCTGGTAGATGCGAGAGTTGTTGCTGCAATTGTTGCGAGGCCACTGGGTTCCGCGAGGGAGGTCTGGGACGACGAAAGGCAGGATAGTAGACTCTGGGAACTCGCGGGGCTCGCCGTCGAGATCTGCTCGCGCAAGAACGGGCGCTAGAAACTTCCACTGCATCTCCTCGAAGAGGATTGACTCGTAGTGACTGAGCCCCATCAGGGATAGATCAAAGCTAGACCGGGTAGCCATGGACCGCACCAAAGTGCTCGTCTTGCCTCCCGGCGTGGGCGAGAATGCCAATGGGAGCTGCGCGTCGCCGATGTGATTCTGTCTGAAAGCTGCGATAGCATCGACTCGACCTATCAAGACCAGGATGGCAAAAGTCTTGATGTGCGTCTGATCCTTGACGATTGTGGAGGCATAGATGCAACGCATAAAGTCGGCACCAGAACAGGAAGCCCGGAGAGCCCCCAACACCGACTTCTCGGAAAGAATCGAGTTGATGTCGGACTCGGGAAAGAACTTCTTGGAGGCGTCTCCGTTGAAGTTCAAGGAGCGACGCATGGCTCCCTCCAATGACTGTTTCAGAGGCTTGGTAGTCTCCATGATGTCAGGCTGAAGCACAAGTGGCTGAAGGACGGGGGCTTCATTTTCGGGAGTAGTCTTGATCATGCTCAGGGCACTGTAGTATGATGGTTGTTGGTGGTTGCTGTTCAAGGATTCCAAGGGGATCAGAGGTGGGCGAGACGAAGTGGAAGAAGATTCCGGCAGAGGGGGGAGCAGCAGCATTTAAAGATGAGCAAGAATCACATACTTCACAGAAAACAGGGCGATCGAACATTGCACGTTAGTAGCACAAATACAAGATTCGGTAAAGCATCTCGCAACACTCTTCCAGCGCAACTTCGCGTTTGCGTACGAGTAAAGGCGTGAAAATTCATCTTGAGCTCTCAAGATTGGTTAGGTTGAAGTAGGGCAACCAGGCGTCGAGCACCAGCGAGCACAGCCCCAATGCCGCGTCGACGTAACGGTATCGGTAGACAGTCGTGTCTCATGCAGTTCATGGCCGGCGAGTGTCGTCACAGGATTTCAGCTGTTCCAGTCGATGAATCAAGGGAGTAATATGGTTCGCATGAGGCACAAAAGGGGGAAACATGAACGTGAGGAGTGTTGGATGAGTGAGTGGGTGAGTGGTCAGTGAAGTGAGTGAGTGAGGCGTTGGGTGAGGTGAGCAACAAAGTCCCAAGTTTAAGCTTATCCGGGAATTAAAATCGGACGTAAAGCTTGGTCAGTCATCCCCACTCCAGCCAACTTCACGTCCGTTCCCCTCTCCCACTCTCTTCATCTCACACTCACTGTCCATTTCTCACCTCTCAATCGACTCTTGAGATGAGAAGAACGTAGAACTGCCATCTCATCTCATCGCAACTCAATTGAGCATCATAGACACTCAATCTCATCATGCTCACTCAATCGAAAACACCAAAATCAGTACGAGGACGGAGAGTCGAGCATTGAGAAACTTACCTTAGATAAGCCAACATCAAAGACAATCGGTGAGAACGCCAAGATATGCCAAGGAAAAATCACCTTCTGGGCGCCTATCACCTCGCACCACGCGACCCTCCCGCCCGCTGCTGCTCTCTTTTTCGCTCATTGATGTAATCTGTGACCGCCGACCAGTGTGTCTGTACTTCCTGCTGTGGTGTCTGGTGCCTTTTTCACCCCCGCTCCTCTCTTCACCTTCTCTCTTTTTCTCGGCGCTCTGCCCAGGAAAATCCTCGACTCTCCAAACCCCAAAGGAAGAAATCAAGTAACGCTCGAGGTCGAACGATGAAGCCAGCGATAAAAGTGTTGGCGAAACCTTCTACTACCCACCGGCCATAGCATTCAATCCATCTGCTTTCTCCATCGCCTCGCCCCCTTGACAAACCAGAACCGCTATTTGGGGTCTCTCCACGGTCCGCATAAGGTCGGCAAGCCAACAACACACCACGCACGCACGCACAAACGTACCGCAACCGCAACCACGCACCCCACACCCCGTCCGCGAACAACAACGGCGCCGAGACCAAAAACCTCATCCGTCGTTGCCGTACTTCCGTGCCAGACGAACCACCTCCCATCATCCTGCGGACCTGCCGCAGCATCGATCAGGCAGCGCAAACCCGGCGCACCGCGCTGCTCTCGCTCTCTCTCTTTCGCGTCCCGGGACCCAGGTCTTTATACCTATTCGGCCAGGCCCATTGTCATCGCTGTCTTGGCCCTGCGTGGCCTCTTGCCGGTTTACCGTCCCCGGTCTCCCCTCAACACGTTTCCCTTGACGTAGACCGACTCAACCGAGGACGGAAAGGACAAACCCGTTCAGTCCATCCCGCCGGTTCGGTGTCCCTCCCTACGGATACACCCCCACCCCCCCTAGAATGAGGATCTCGTCCCCGAGCTTCATGGGGACCTCCCTCCTCACGGTCCTCGCGGGGTCCGGGCCCGCCCTCGCAACGGTCCCCATCCTAACAGAGGTCTCCCTAAAAGGCTGCGCCGACGTCGCCTGTCCGCCCGGCGCCGTCGACGACCTCGTCGGCGAGTCAAACTGCACCCTCGCCGGCTCCGTCCTCCGCCGCGTCGGCATCGCCCCGGAAGTCCTCGACATACCCATAGACGACAACAACACCACCGACATCCGCAAGCTCTCCCTCACCGTCGCCACCCTCGCAAACTCCCCCGCGCCGCCAAACTCCCCCAACTGGATGAAGAAGCAGCTCTACACGCAGTCCTACTACCTCGGCGCCCCCGCGGGCCTGAATCTCTCGTCGGAGAGCTATCCAAAGGGATGTGCCCTCATCTTCCAGCACATGTTCCAGACCCTACCCACCCCACACGAGGTGCCCGACCTCGATACCACAGACTGCAGTTCCTGGCTACAGCAGTCCTGCATGGACGAGATCACGGGCTACGTAGACGACTTCCGCGCCGCGCACTCCAAAGACGAGACGCTCCCCCGGTGCCAGGAAATCGCAATGTACCTCGAGGAGCGGACGCGCACAGATAAAGACTTCCACTGCAACCTCGTCGCCGGCGCCGTCAACATCACCGGCGTAGACGTCATCGGGCCCGACGCCCCCACCGTGCTGGCGCAGGACGCGGGCGACGCGGATGATAACAATGACTGTCACCCTACGCTGCCGCAGGCGTACGACATGTTCAAGCTCACCGACGTTGAGCTGATTCTCGACGGGGACGGGAGCACGACGAAGCCGACGGGTGGGTTGAACGGGTATACGCCCGTCATGAGCGTCTTGTTTGATAAGCTCTTGTATTCGCAGTGGATCTGCATGAAGACGATGAGTGAGTATGACCAGGAGAACGCGAGTGCGAGAACGAGTACGCCTGTGATGGCGGGGCTTGTTATGGGGTTTGCAACCTTGTTAGCAATCATGATGCTATGAACAAAACAACACAAAACATGGCGAGCGAGAGACAGAGAGTGTGTGGAGAGCGACATTGAGATTACGAGGGAAAACAGGACTGGCCCGGATAGTTTATGACTTTACGCAATATATACCCCAATGAAACCACGGCGGAATAGATATGACACGCCTTATTCAACCCAAATGATATTGCCCAAACGCCAGTACACATGCCTAAAGTAACAGTATTTGATGTGATGATGATGCAAACCATGTGTGATGTATATGACTTAGATGATAATGCCGCGCTGCGCCCATCCACCCTTACCCTTCCAGGCAAAGAGGATCATGCCACACGCCAACCAGACAGTAACGGCCATGGCCCAAAACGTCGGCGCGTAACACTGCTGGCCGTAGCAAAAGACGTCTCCCCCGCCGCCACCGCCGCGCTGAGGAGAGTTCTCGGCGCCAGATTGGTATACCGCCGAGTACACCAGTCCCCAGAAAGTCGATCCCAGGGCGGGGAACATGGCGACGATGCCCCAGTTTGTCGCAAAGTTCTCGACGCCCCAGATGACGGTGATGATAATGGGCGTCAGACTGAAGACGGCACCGTACCCGGAGCCAATTAGGCCCGACACGATCCAGAATCGCTCGCCGTGTTCTTGGATGAAGCCGGACGCCAAGGCAACCAGGCCCAGAGACAGGACGATGGCGAAGAAGAGCAGGAAGGCGACGCGGGAAATGGCAGGTCTGCCTCGAAGGAATGGCGGCGTGGACGAGGCCTGCAGGTGCTGCGTCTGCGGCGACGGTGCCAGGAGATCGGTCAAGGTGCCGGTTGCGAGACGAGCAATGGTGCTGGTGATGCCGACAATAGAGACGTGCGTCGCGGCCGACGTCGGAGGTCCGACGTAGTGCATGGTGGGAGGATACAGAGTGCCGATGACGGTGCCGAGGTTGTTGATGAATGCTTCGCCAGGCCCAATCATCAGCAGGAACCCCAAAGCGAAACACCACATGGTCTTGTCCGTGAGGAAGCTCCTGGTCTCGGCATTGAGGACCATCTTCTTCCTGAGCTTAGCATCGTCCTCCGCCGGGCCCAGGACGCTGCCGTCTTCTTCGTCGTCGATTTGTCCGATTGCGCCATAGCCTCTGCTGCGCTCGAGACTGCGAGCGCTGAGGAACGAGGTGCTGCGCTCCAAGAGGCCGCTTCGCTCGAGCTCCTCGACGGCTTCCTCAAAGATCTCTTCCTCGTCGACAACCTTGAGTGTGAAGGTACCAGTCACTCCCACCGCCAAGAGCAGGATGGCGAGGAAGACGAAGAAGTGGAAGACATCCAAATCGCCGGCCGAGCCGTCCGGTAGGGGCTCGTAGAAGACATGAGTGCCCAGCTGACTGAGCCACATGCCGCTCAACCCAAAGGCGGCAATCGGCACGGCCAGCGCCAATCCGCGATGCTTCCCCTTGCCAAAGTTCTTGGCGCAGGTCGCGACGGCGGCGAGGTACATGGAGCAGGTACCGACACCGACACAGACGAAGGCGAAGATCATGAGCGGGTACGTCCAGTCGGCACCGCCGCCGATGCGCCTTCCGGCGTAATCGCGCAGCCCGCCCAGGTTCTCCGCTTCGAGCTTCCGGTATGTGCCCGCGGCAATGGCATAGCCGCCGCTGAAGAGTATAGCCGCCAGGAGCGAGAGGGGCGGGGTGCCGACGCGGTCGCAGATGTAGCCTAGGAACGAAACGGGAAGGTAGAGAGCGATGGAGCTGCTGATGGCGAGGCCGTTGACCTGGAACTGGGTGTAGTGCAGGCGTTCCTGGAAGATGTGTCCGTACATGGAGAAGACGGTGATGGAGCCCGCGCAGAGGGCCGAGACCAATGCTGCGACGAAGGAGATGACTCGAAGGGTGGTGGCCGCACGGCGGCTTGGACGTTTCCGCCTCGGTGGCGTCTGGGAGTCGAAGGAGGACTTCGAGCTGAAGCGGCTGATTGTAGAGGAAGCATCGTCGTCGTCGTGAGCTCCCGCAACGAGGGTCCGGTCATCGGACGGGGTTGGGGTGTCTGCGGCTCGCGCCATCGTGACTGGGTGGTTGCGTGGGAGGTTCAGTCGAGTTCGGAGATGTGTGGGAGAGAGTACGGATTGGCGATTTGGAGATATGCCCCGCGGTCGGCGGTGAGTAGGCAAGGGAACAACAGACAATTAGACAGAAAAAGAAAGGCAGTCGCTGTTCATTATAGCGCAGATGAAGAAGTGAGGTGGCCGGATCCGCGAGACTCGAGTCACAAACGACCAAGATCAAACATGACGTGCTCAAGATGGAGGGCGAGGAGAGGAGAGGAGAAGTCTCGGGTTTGCGGATGGCGGATGGATGTTGGACGGGATGGAACTGACTGGGGGGGAGAGGGCAAGAAGATGGTGGGAGGAGACGGACGGCCCGCGTCGGAGTCAGGAGTTGGAGTCACGATTTCGCACGTCAGCAGGTCGCCTCTGTCACTGGAATGATGTCGTGCTCGCTGGCCCGGTGGACTCTGGAGCGCCTCTTAGGCCGTTTGAACGCTGCTGGATTGTAGTCCGGCGGGCCCGTTTGTCACTGACACAGCGCTGGGGCACAGAGCTTAGGCTGCACCATGTCACTGGCCGGGTGGCTGGTGGAGGGCGGACAGCGAGCTAAAAGCTGGAGTGAGCCAGGCACCTCTGGCTTACCTAAACTTGCTTTAGCGAGATCGGAGTCGGTGGACGCCGCCAAGTGTTAGATAAGATAAAGCAGTGATACTAAGGTATCGATAAGAAACCGAGTTTCGGGTCACGTGCATCTCTCCTCCCCCTTTGCATTCTCATGACTCTTCATCTCTCAGGGGGTCTCTTCTGCCCTCTTCTTAGAATTTAATCCTGCTGAACATTGATTCTGATGCTTTAGGAGCTTCTACACGCAGCATGGTCAATATGGAACACGCTGGGGACCAGCGCGGTATTCTTGCTGAGCAGTTTACCAAGCTCACCAACGACGATGGATCCCCCAATACGGCACTCCGGCACGCCAACTTGGACAATCTCGTCTCGAGGCTCACGCCGTGGGAACTTCTTCATCTTAAGCAATTGACAAGGAGAATCTCAGTCAAACTTGCAGAAATGCAAGATCTTCCAGAAGAATTAGTCGCCATGATATCGCGGCATCTGCGCCTTGAAGACGCAGTGAAGTGCACCCAGGTTTCCAAAGCATGGCGCCAAAAATGGACATCTCACACGGTCGTCAAGGATATTGCCCACATTTCCTTCCCCGGATTGACGGCGGCGTCCCCAGATACGCCAGCTTGGGATCTTCTGCGTCCTATCGCTCAAAAGACCACAGCCCGTAACGAAGGCAAACTCACTTCCTGGCTCTCTATGAGGACAGCCGACGTGCCTCTGCTGGAATGCACCGCCCTCAAATACGATGATCGCAGCCTTGAATTTGCAAAGTCTAATCCCATAGCCACGCCCTACAATTGGGAATCGAAGTCCTGGCACGGCTTCGCTTATTATAATAGAAAAGTCGCCTGGCAGTGGGATTCCTACCGTTTCTTCGTTGACGACATTCGAGCTATGACAAGGAAGCTCGTCTCACCGCCCGATCTCGTGGTAAAGGGAGACAAGGACTTCATCGTATATGCTATGACGGAGAATCTCTTGATTCTAGCAAATCAAATTACCAAGAGGGCTCTGTAAGTTGTTCCGCGACCATTCGCCACTACATCCAGAAAATGTCTCGAGCTATTGAGAGCCCAGCTGATCGTCTCAGTATCGTATATGACATTGATAAGGGTCAGCACCGTCGTGTCACCCTCCCTAACCGCATGGTGGACCTACAAGCCCACAAAAAAACATTCGCCGTTAATTTCTCTCTTGACTACTATGGCTATCGCGAACTTGAATCCGCAACCCCCCCGCCCCATATCTGGAACTGGTCTACTGGTCTTGTCAAGCTCGACGTTCCTGACTCTCCGGTGACCGAGGAACCCCGCGGTGGCAGCTACGCATGGGACGAGAACAGAGACGACGGCTCGGACTGCAACAACGGTGTCATCTTCCACCCAACGAAACCTCACATTCTCTACTTCGTCAGTGTCTTGTTCAACGGTCCCAGGCCGAGTGATGAAGGGGATGAAACTGACACTGCGGATGAAAATGAACTCAATGAACGTTCATCTCGAGATCTCCTCCTTGTCGAGGCTCACAAATTTGATAACATGAAGTTTGTCGAAACTTTCACGTATAAATCAATCAGGAGATGGAGAACTGCCCCGCGCTTTGCACTACACTGCCAGCGCATGAATTCCTATGGACTCTTCAACATTGGCAAAATGTACAGGTCGTTCTCGAAGGATATCGCCATTCTCGACAGCGAACTGCACGGCGGAAAGAGTAAGATCGTCAAGACGCCCAGTCTTCTCCTAAGAATTATCAATTTCAATACGATGACGGAGTCATTCGTGGTCGAAAAGAGGGTCCTCAACGGCATGCGGAGGCCGATATGGGAACATGCTGCTCTCAGACCAGAACAAGCCGGTGGCATCTCGTGGAACGACTCTGTCTATTATATCCAAAACAAAGATTCCCACCTCCCTGCCGAAGCGACACCACGATGGAGGCACCAATTCGAAGGCAAGGGCCAACGAGCAATTTGCATCGCCAACAAGACATCAACATTTGTCCTCGAAACCAAGAACCTCTGGTTCGAAGAGTCCGCCCGCATGGTTCGCGGCGACGGGGAGAGATTCCGTAGTATCGCGGTCGACGATGACTTCGTGGTCGGTCTTTGCAGACGGGGCTACGTCGTGTACAACTTTGGCGACCCGAGCCTGAAAGGAGGGCCCTGGTCCGAGCCCCATCAGGTGCAGCACTACACGGAAAAGGACATTGATTGTCCGAAGCGGGGGTGCCCGGGGCCGAAGGAGTCCCGTTCCCGGTGGTGCCCGATTTGCGGCGATGGCACTCTCAACAACTTCCTCTGGGACCGTCCTTCTTCTGAAGAAAGCTCGGATGTCTCGTCGGACGAAGACGATGAGAGCTCCGAAGGCATGCCTTCGGCAGGAGATTCCGACGAGGCGGACGAGTATGAAACCTCGGATTACGACGACCGCTATGAGTACTAGTCGCAGTGTGTATGCTTCAGGTATACACTGGGGTTGGTCTTGGGCAGATCGTTATTCTTTTGTTATCCGTCGATGCCATTCTTGATCTCAAGAAACCAGATAGAGGGATCGATCTCCTGAGTCACCGCCGACAGTGACGACGAAATTTGGAGACACATAAGAGGTGATTGTTGGCCATGCAACGCAGCCAACTTCTACCATGCTGAAAGGCATAGCTAAGCAGTTCGTAACACAAACATTCCCCCCAGAGCCATGCCTATTTCGTCACAACGCCAACATCGTTGTCATCGCCTACACAGGAAGCATTATGATGCTCGTCGTTTTCGACTGACTGTGACCGGCTGGCACCACCTGGCACTTCTGGGCGATAATCGCTGCTGGTAGCTGGGAGAGTGGGAGGTTACATCTAATAAATGTCTGGCAGTCTCGCAACGGTCAGCGAGTGTCCCCGCTTCTCAGCTTCGGAATTGCGCACACATCAAATCTTGAGCAGCATGACATGCCATGCCAAACCCAGCTTACCCATATCTCCATCGCGGCCTCTTTCGACTCTGTCGCGCTAGTTACATGCGATGCGCCTCATCAACACGCGCACCTTGGCCCTGGCCGAGTTCTTTGGCGACGAGATCCCGCGGTATGCTATCGTCTCCCACACGTGGGGCCACGATGAAGTGACTTTCCAAGACTGGAAGGAGGATCTCTGCGTAGCGAGGGAGAGACAGGGCTTTCGCAAGATTGATCTGGCCAGGATCCAGGCTATTGACGATGGACTCGATTACCTCTGGATCGACACCTGCTGCATCAACAAGGAGAGTTCCGCCGAGCTGTCCGAGGCCATCAACTCCATGTTTGCGTGGTACGAGTGCGCCGTGCGATGCTACGCCTATCTCTCGGATACAGAACACTGGGATATAGACCATTCAGGACGCCTTGCCGGGCCCGCCGGCGACGCAGAGCACAGCTTCAACGTCCTTTCGCGAAGTCTCTGGTTCACACGCGGCTGGACGCTCCAAGAACTCCTGGCCCCCAAGGAAGTCCTCTTCTTCGCCCGCGGCTGGAGACTCCTGGGCACCCGCAAGCTCCTCGCGGGCGTCATCCAGAGAATCACAAACATTGACTGGAAATACCTCCAGCCACGAAGTAGGCAACGCCTGTCCGACGCCAGCGTCGCCGAGCGCATGTCATGGTTATCGTGCCGCAAGACGACTCGCAAGGAGGATATGGCGTATTGCATGCTCGGCATCTTTGACATTAACATGCCTCTCCTCTACGGCGAGGGTGCGAAGGCTTTTGCGCGGCTGCAGGAGGAAATACTCAAGACGTCGACGGACCAGTCGCTCTTTTGCTGGTCCTGGACCGAGAGCGACCCGGGGTCCTGGGTCAGTATGCTGGCGCCGTCGCCACGGAACTTTAGAAACGGGCAGAATTATCACCCGGCGTACGACGCCTCGAGCAGGCCGGTGCCGTACTCCATGACCAACTTTGGCTTAAGGATACAGCTGACGCTGATACGCCCTGCCGATATCCGTATTTCCAACTTCGGCTTCCGGCCGCCGGAGTGTATTGGTATCCTGTCCGCCAGCACAAAGGACGGCCACCTCATCGGGGTTCTCCTGGAGAGCACCGGCTTGGTAGACACGTACAGAGTCGTTCGAGATTTCCCCCGACTCATCTCGCTGCGCTGGACCACTCACGACCTCGGGCTCCTGAAGACCGGCAGCCTCAAGGTCGAAGTCCACGACATATTCGTCCCCTCAAAGGCACCGGGAAGCGATCTCGGCATTGTCCAGCTCAAGCCGCACGACTCGAGCTTTCACCTAGGCGAGTACGCCATCATGCTCCTCGTCATGCACAACCGAGGCTCCGGCGTTGACATCTTCACGCGCATCGAGGCGATACCGCGGTACACGGACTCCATGGCGGGATTTATCGCCATGAAGAAGTTCAAACTTCCCCAATCACCTACGACAACGACAACAACAGCGACGAACTCGGCCGTCTTCAACGCAATAGAAGCCCACGGCGCGCTCGTCCGACTCCACGCAAACTCCCTCAGCCAAAAGGACGGCGCTCTCTGGATGCTCTTCGGAGTGCTCGTGAACAAGGTAGGACAGTCGTGGTGGATATTCCGGTACCTGGACGGGCTCGCCTCCACCTCCGGCTCTTCTGCCTCCTCATCGTCCTTCTCGATGACCGAGGCGAACCTAGAGAGGCTGCTGCGAGACGCCGCGACGAATTGGCAGCCTTCATACCGGGCCAAGACGCATGCCTCCCCGCAGGCGGTGGAGAGCAGGCGGGTGACGAAGCGGGATGCGATTACGATTACGTTTGGGCCCGAGTTTCGCGCCGAGGTGAATGATCGAAAGACGATTGCCAAGGCTGCGCATCTTATTGTTTCGGGGGTTGCTGCTGGATTAAGGACGGCGGATACGATCTAAGACCTTTCAATGATGAAGGATAAAATCATGAAGATAAAAGTATTGCTTTTGGTTGTTTGGGTTTTCGACCTCAAAAGGCGGGCCTCGTGCTCTCGAGTGGGTAACTTGGCTGCGCAGTCTCGACAACAAGAGATCAAAGGTCATGGATAAAAGATGCCGAATTGTGTTCAAAATATTTACAATCGAAGAGAAAGGATATGTACCGGTGGTAGGTGAGAGATACTACGAGGAGCAATCTCATGCGCCTAACACCTTATGGGCCTAGATATACCTAGGTTAACAACACAATCCCCATGATCCCTGAATGCCGCTTTCATACTCAGAATCCTAGCTCAATCTCACTTTCAAGCAGTGGTGTTGTAGCCAATGCCCAGTCCAACGGGGCAATTCGGTACATCCGCCTGCCACGACGCGTTGTTTCTTGCGAACGCAGGCAGATACGAGTTTGTCGTGAAAGTCTATGAGAAAGGTCAGCTCATCACATCTAGGTAAATGATAGTCTCCCATCCTCTGAGGCTTAGACTTACGCTAGGCAGATAGTAAGAGACATCAGCAGACGTGTAATTTCCCCCCAGCGACTTCAGCACCGAGACGACGGAACCGGCGACGTAGTCCAGGAAGATGAGATCAATCTTTTCATCATCCGCTAGCTCACCGCTGGTGGGGAAGCTGCCGTTGGCCTGGAAGAAGTCGGGGTAATCGTACGTCGGGATCTCGCTGTGCACGGTATCGTCTCCGTCGGTGCCAAAGTCGTCGGTGGTGGTGTACCCCGGCGTGACAGCCTGGCGCCTGACGATGCGCCCGCCGGCGTAGGACCGCTTGGAGAAGTGGTCGTTCGTCACATGCGGGTCGATGCAGCTGTCCACAGCGGAGAGAGCCGGGTTGACCTGGCTGAAGCCAAAGGAGTCTGATGCGAGGGAACGTCTGCGCTTGGAAGGGAACCCGCCGGATTCGAGACCGGCGAGGACCTGACGCGCGAGAGACCAGTCGACGTCGGGGATGTACTGGAACCCGTCGGTGAAGGGGGACACGATGAAGGAGGAGTCGTAGTCGAAGGGGCCCTGGGCGAGATCGAAACGGATGTGGCCCGTGTTGGCGAGGATGATGCGCGGCGTGGCCTTTCTGGCTTCAGTGACGATTGTTGCGGCGAGAGCGGTCGTCAGCAGGGAGTAGATGGAGCCGGCGGACATGTAGGGCACGCAGGCGATGCACCATGTCTGGGGCGCGCAGCCGTAGAGGGAGGTGAGGTTGAGCTTCTTGCGGGTTGCTGTGATGTTTGCGGAGACGGCGAGGCCCTTTGTGGTGTTGAAGGCTTTGAGCTGGCTGCCGACTGCGTGGTACTCGAATGTGAGGGTGTTCCTAAGGAGTATGGTCAGTATGGCGAGTACTCTGATGGTTAGTGTGTGTGTATATCTTACCAGTCCAGGTAGCGGCGCGAGTACGTGATGCTAGAGTTCCCGGTGGCAGCCGTCGTTCCGGCAGTCATTTCGATAGCTTTTTGAGACGGATGAGGCACGCCCTTGGGATACACGGCGCCCTTGTAGCTGTCCGACTTGACGCCGCTCAACGACAGCCAGCCGACGGTCTCGCAGTACCGGCCGGACTCGAGGGCGGTTGACTTGTCGTCGTAGACGGCAAAGTCGCGGATGTGGGTGTGGCCACCAAAGAACTGGATGGGGGTGTCGGGCTTAACGGCGCGGATGGCGTCGAAGACGGTCTTGAGGGTGCTGCTGCTCTGCGTCGGGCGGACGGGGTTGTGGCCGATGACGAGGAAGAGGTCGATGGGCTCGGTGTAGTCGACTGCGTCGAGGAACCATTGCTGCTCGACCATTGTGGCGGCTTTTGTGACGACGGATGCGTTGGAGTTGCCTGTGAAGTCGAAGAGGACGCCAAAAGCCATGATTCTAAGGCCTGTAGAGGAGTTTGTTAGACATCGAGAAGACAAGGGCCGACAAGCTACATACCCTTGGGGGTGGTGAAGTATCTGTACTGCTTGCCAATGGTCTCGAGCGCGCCCGTGCTGGGATTGCGGATCTGGACGTTGCTCGTCAAGTATCTGTCACCATAGACCTTGGCAAACTGGCTGAAAGTCTCATACGCGATGGCGGAAACGTAAAGCTCGTGATTGCCAATGGCCAAGACATCGTAGTCAATGTTCTCGAAGATTGTGTTCGACAATTGGCCGTTGACGCCGGTGCCGTTGGCGTAAGTCGAGACGCCGGTGGCATCACTGATTCCTGCGCCATCGTGCAAGTCCTAGATGTGTGTCAGTTGAGCTATAGCGTACGGGTTTTGAGGATGGCTTGTGGGCGGAAACATACTCCCGTGTCGACCACTAGCAAGTCAACATCCAGGTCCTTGGCCTTCTGGCGCATGTGCTTCACGAAGCTCACAAAGTCACCCCAGTCAGCGCCGTAGTTTTGTTCGCGGATGTGTCCCTCGAGCCTGTCACTTTTTTATCAGCATCTGAGTCATGCGAGGGGACTCTCCAGAGAGATGTAGAGATCGTACCATCCGTGAGTATCTGTGTCGAGGTTGTCAGTATCCCCGACGTTGCGACTCGTTTAAAGACCAAGTCTGGCTTACCGGTGGTGTGAAGAAAGTTCAATTGACCCCACGAGAGCGGACCACGGGGCGCAACGGTCGCCGCCTGCGCATCGGGCTGCGCGCGACGCACATTTCTAGTCAGGACGACGTCTCTCTCGGGATGCTCGCAGCTCTCGCAGGTGAGGACCGGGGCAGCGCCGAACGCAAGGGCGAGAGAGGCCCAGATGCTATTTCCGAGACGCATTGCGACGTGAACAGGCTCTCAATTGAATAAAAGAACGAATGGTCCAACGTCTGGAAAACCTTGTTTGCGAAGCTCAAGCAAAGACTGGCGAGAACCTCTGAGCAGCAGGTCAGCAAGGCCCAGGATACCAGGCGTGGCATGGCATGCAGCCCAGCTTTTAAAAGATGCGCTTCCCGCTCGAACAAGCTTTTTCTCTACATGAGCCAAGAGCAGCACCTGGAGACGGCGTGGTATTCCGGGCAGCTGCAGCTTTGCCGCGCTGACGCGGCAAATGATAACCCATCGCTCTCCCCCCTCAATCAATATCTCTCCACCGGGGGCGACCGAAATCGCAACTCGCAAAGTTGCTATCATCCAAAGCAACAAGACAATCCAGACACGTGGGATAAACTTGATAAAGCAGCTTTGCCAGGGATCGCTGGGGACCGAGCTTCCTCTTATTATCTAGCGTGGCTGATGTCCGCGCTCCATTTGACATGGCGGGCCCGCAAGAGATCTCGTTTAATGTGCCGTCCTTGCCGGGTTTCCCAAATGGCGATCGCTGGTGATCCACGGGGTGCTTTGATTGGTTTATGTATTGGCTGGGTGTTTACTAGTCATGCCAGTGGACTATGGAGATTAGTTGCAGCAAACGTCACTCGCAAGTTGAGTTGTAGGTTGAGTCGTTGACTAATCCTCAATTGCTCGAGTCAAATTGAGGAAAAAGTGATGTTCATCTCCGCTCCAAGCCCTATTCCATTACTACACCACAAGCACAACTCGCGAGAATAACTCAACTCTGATAGGTCAATCTTTTACAATTAGATTCGGCTGCTATCGACTCGAAGAAACATGGTTATATGTATCCTTCATATGCTGTTTGAAGGCTCTTGACCTTTGGACCAGCCTACGATGAGCGCGTAACAAGCTAGTGCCATCGTCACCTCTCCGCACAGGTCTCCGAACATCTCGAATGTGAATGTCCACCACTAAGCGGGCTTAGTTTCGAGACACTCGCCGTTCTTCCTCTGGCATAGAGTTGACTATACCACTACAGACTTGCACGAGTGACGAAGAGCGATGCATTCGGTGACTACGGATACTTAAGTAAAGAAATAGATGCTGACTGACTAGTTGAAGACGGAGACCGCTCCAAGCTTGAGTCGTAGTCAACTGGCCCACCAAAATGGCTCCTGCTCGACTTATAACGAGGGTGCATGAGCCATGAGTGCTCCCATCCCACCGGTGCTTTGTTTCATCATGGAACTCCGGTATCCCAACAAGGGGAAAGGCTATCCACAATAAGCTATAAGATGTAGTATTACGAGTCTCAATGCCTCGGAGCATCCATACTCAGTGGGCGACCCGGATTATCTGTACACAATTTAGTTGAGCTACTTAGAAACAGTAGCTGGATTCTGCTCACATGCCTGAGGTCGCCCGATGCGCTCTGGCATCGCGGAGCAATTGCGCATCCTCCCTTGCCTAGATAATGTGTACATGCTCGAATTAAGCTTGTCAATACACAGTATCCGTAGGCTTGGATATCGGCCGGCTGGGGATGCCCGACATACTCGCGATCCTCGGTAGGCTCAGCACCCCTTGAGTTGATGCGGTAGACCCACTCAGATATAGAACGAGTTTCGAAAGCTTCCACCCCGGATTCGCCTCACATCAGCCCTCGCGTCCAGGGGCCTGGAACTGAATTAGGGCTTAGGTTACCTTGGATGAGAGATCCACCACCTGCTTGTTACATACCTAGACCGCCATTCGTTTGCCTGGCTCCAGAAAAGACAAGCTGAATCGAGCCAAACACAGGAGCTGGGCTGCATCGTCGCGCTACCTTCGGCGGTACCTTTGTGTTTCGCTGGCCGAGGATGTTGAGAGTGAGAAATAATGCATGTCCCGCGTTCTATCTTGATGTAGTCAAGTTTTGGCCTGTCAGCGATCGATGAAATTCGAAGAGTGATGTGCACCAGAGGGTTTGTCTTAGACCTCGGGTCGACTGCTAAAGGCATATTCCCAGCTCACACTACCATCAGTTGAGACAGAGTCTACGCACTGACGAAAGCACGCGCGAGGTTCATCGGTCATCTTCAGACGGCAGCCCACGTCAGAGTGCATGACAGGAGGAGGTTCAGGGAAATCGGATGACACCGAGGGTGGCCTAGCCCTTGTCTCAGCAACTTTCTCATGATAACTATCAATACTGGGCTGCATGATGACTTAGTTGGCCAATGGATAGAACCTACTAAAAACACTATCACAAGTGAAATGCCCAGTCGAAGGTTGCTTCATGTCTGACAATCTGCATCCTCAAAGACTCATCTCAGCCTCCTGTCAAGATCATCCTGCGTGAAAACTACATGCGATCTCCAAGATTTTCGCACTCTTGTCCTTCCGCGACGAACCGGTTGTTGAAGCTTAAACCATGCACCTGGCTTGGCTCTATCCAAGCCTGGCACATCCCATGAATCAAGACCCGAGGCCCATTAAGCTTGGTTTTAGAGCCGAGTTACGCAGGGACTCCGCGGGTGGGCCTGCCCTGTGGGTTCATTTACTACCCCGTATTATCCAGCACTCCTTTCGGAGTAAGCGATACTACCTGGCAAAACAGCTGATGACTTCAGCCAAGATGTTTAGGAGCTGAGACTTTTGTAGATCATAGCTGAGCTGATGGTTAATAGGATCGACTCAATTCATATAAATCTAGATGGAAATTCTTACTTTATGGTTCTTGTCTCAATTCAAACCAACTCAATTGACCGCATTCGCCTTGTCCTTCCTACTTAAGTACTTATTTATATCTTGTAATAACAATCACCAATCTGCTGTGCAGAAGTCTTCTATTACACAATTGTCAATCAAACCACCACGACAATGCACTTCTCAACCATCATCATCACTCTCTTCTCCGCCGGCGTCCTCGCCCAGAATGGGTAAGTTCACTGAACCCAGCCCAGATCAAGCTGGTCCTATTGAGATGGACAACCTTTCTAACGATGAATGCGAATTCAGATGCGGCTTCCCGGATGGACCTGACTGCCAGTCTCTCGGCAAGGGCGCCAACGGCCTGGAGCAATTCGCAGACCTCGATAGCTGCTGTTTACTGCCCCTCCGCTGCGGCAACGGCGATGGTGGTGAGAGATGCGAGCGTGTGAGCGGTGCCAGTGCTGGCGGCGCGACCAACAACAACACTGGCAATACTGGTAACACTGGCAATGCGAGGAACGGAAGGAACAGAAATAACGCCAACAAGAAGAGGCGTATGTAGTTCTCATTATCATATAATGGATCATTTACTGTTGTTGTATGCAACGATGCATGGGAGTTTGTCGCTGATACTTGATGACAATTGACATTTTTCTGAGCTACTGAGGAAAATCAATTTCCTCTTGGCTGTCGATTTTCCTCAGTCTGCGAATGCTTGAAACTTATGCAGAGATCAAGAGACTAATGTATCATTCTTGTCAAGTTTGACGGGAAACGTAGGACTAAACTTGAAACAAGGTAGATGAGTAATCTAGGTGCCTGGCTAGATACCTCAGTCATGGTACAGTTGTTCAAGAAAGATCAAACACAAAAATTGAAGAGGGAGCGCAGGCCTAATTCCGGACCCCATTAATCAGTAGTTATGGAGAAGATATCACAAGTCATAGCTAAAGTAGGCCGTCTTATTCAGTCTCGTCGCTTATGCTTCCTTTCTTAGCACACTGCTTAGATATATATGTATGTATCTTGCGCGCGGCTGTGTACGCCAACTCTTGAGTAGCATATTGGAATCAGGTGCCAGGGAAAGCAACGAATGGACAACCAGATTATCATACGAGTCGAGTGCCTCACGAGTGGTCACTTATATGTAGTCTATAGCACAATGTTGTAGATTCTTAGAGTGTCCTATGAGATTATTTCGGCCCGCGTGATGTTGCCGGAGTCACCTTCTCGGGACCGGCCTCGGCCCGATGTCAAGGGGAAGCGCCAAAGAAGCATATAGGGTTCCAACTAGCTTGCGTGATTCCACAGCGTGAAGTTCCATGGCACCATGGTAAATAAGCTCGAATTCCAGCCATCTAGCAGATCGAGAAGTGATCTGGCCGGAGCGCCGAAGCCTCACGCTGGACGGTCTAGGCCAAAACCGGCTTCAACCTGTCATAGTGGCTAGCTTTCTTTCAGCAATTGGAGGACGATTAGAAAGCATTCTTTGTTGCCATTCAGCGCCACTAAAACGTAGATTGACGCAAATGGCATTGGAATGTCAGCGGCGCGGACCCAAGCCACCTCAAATCAATGAAAGCTCTGCCACCACGGCCTCAGGGTCAAATTGGCCGCTCATCTAAGCGGGCTGAAGGAATCCTACTTTTGAGGCGTCCCTCTCACTTACCAATTCATTTCCATCCAGCTTATTTGATGTTCGATGCAAAACCGAAACCAAACACATTGCCGACGAAAAGGGATCAATCGTGAGACTGTTGTCAGTCGGTTCTCTCCTAGAACAAAAACCTACGGCCGAAAGGTAAAAGACGCTGAAAAGAGCGCTGCACTGAAAGAGGGAAAAGTCGCACATTGTTCTACGACCGTTCGTTATTACTTTCGCAGTCATGCTTTGGGCACGGCTCGCGCCGCCCCTACTTCTGCTCTGCCTCGGCCAACTCACGAAAGCATCCGATCTAGGCGATATCCCACCATGCGCTGTAAGCACATTCGCTCCATGTGTCCTTTGCGAAATTGTTTTGCTAACATCCTGTAGGCACCCTGCCTACTAGACGCAATTCCCAAGTCAGCATGCGCTTCTGGCGATCAGACATGTCTCTGCGAGGACACTTCATACATCAATCTCGTAGAGACATGTATTAGAGCAAACTGTTCCGTCAAAAATGCCCTGGGTTAGTACATCAAAGCTCTCATCGAGTGTACGAAAAGGCTTATTGCTGATCTTACATCTAGTCACGAAGAATATCACGCAGACGGAGTGCGGATTCCCAGTGGAAGACGACTTCGCCGCGGTCAAGATCGTTCGCCTAATTCTATTCTTCACACTTGTCACTATTGCCATTATCTTGCGCTTAGTAGTGAAGTTAGCCCGGATATCATCATGGGGACTTGATGATAGTACTATCGTACTGGCATACGTGAGTTACGCCGCTGAAGTGGACGAGTGAATGGAGGAAAGTCTAAGTCGTAAACCAAGGTCTTGATGATAGGTTTCATACCTGCCAATCACATTGGTAAGAACAATCCTGCTCATGATACAATAGATAAAAGTCGTTCTTGACAGCTAATACCTGACCTTACAGCTGAACAGAACGGCGCTGGGCGAGATATCTGGAGTCTCACCTTTGACCAAATTGACCTCTACTTCTTGGTAATGACATTCTTTCCGAAGCCAAGGAACTCTGAGGCGATAACTTGATGCTAATTGGCTCCAGACTCTTTACATTGGGCAGTTGATATATACATTCACACTAACGTTGATCAAATGCTCCATACTGTTCATGTTTCTCCGAGTCTTCCCTGGCAAGAAGTTCCGCCGGGTCTTGTGGGCAACGCAAGCCGTCACCGTGGGTCTCGGGATGGGTTCCGTGTTACTAATGGCCCTCCAGTGCCAACCTGTTGGCATAGTATGGAAACACTGGACCGGGGAGGAGAAAGGTCACTGCGTCCCGGTGCTACCGCTTGGAGTGGTCCATGGAGCGGTCAACATCGTCCTAGACGCCTGGATGCTCATGTTGCCGGCATCTCAGGTGCTCGCTTTGAATATGAAACGCCGGAAGAAATGGACGGTGATGTCCATGTTCAGTCTCGGTTTGTTGTGAGTACTGTCTCGGAACCCTTTCATCGCACTTGACACGCTGTAGTTCCTTTGACCTACGACTGACCTTTCTACTATCAGCCTCACAATAGCCAGCGGCATACGGCTGAAGGCGATTTTGAAGTACACGTCCGCATCGACCAATCCAACTGGTAAGTGAAACGAGCCACAAGTGCTGCTACCGTGCCGCTTTGAAATACTGATGGACTGACCGTTTCTAGTTGATGCAATGCCCGTCGCCGTTTGGTCCGACGTGGAGCTCGACGTAGGCATTTTCACGACTTGCATTCCGAACATCTGGCAATTTGTCTGCCGCTTTATTCTCAAAGACCCTGAGCGAGTGGAGAACTTGAGCTCGCGACATGCGCAGAACCAGAGTTTGGAGGAATATCAACAGAAGTCACCAGCACCGGCGTCGATGGAGATCGATGAAGAGGAGCTAAGGTGATGTCAAATCACAGCTGGGGAGGCTACGTATCGTCCTTGGATAAATCCTTACGCGAACATGGGTTATTTCAGACATTTGCCAATTCGTAGAAAATGGAAGATGGATACTTTGAGTGAAGTTCATACCAAGGCAACGTGTCCCTCGCGCCGTCTAGATGCACCCATTTTGAAGTAACGTCTGTCGAGTTCTTACTCAGGCATGGTCCAAGTTATTTGGGACAGCTGATGCAGGGCGGGCAGCCCGAAGTGGCCCGGACCAAACTTTCTTTCAGCAGACCATGGCATACGGTAAGTGAACTAGGACGATAGTGTGTTCTTGGCAACTAGTCTGCGAGCACCCCCGACGCTACGGTCACGTTATCCGAACTTCAGCTGAGAGTCGCACGAACCTGGATATCTCCCGTTCTACAGCCAGCTGACAATCTACCTAACTATGTTAAGGCTGACTCAAAGTCTAAATTATGGAGAGAATCCCGTGGTATTGGTACTGGTACATTTGTATGATACAGTGGTTGATGCGCCTTGCAACTGTAGTTCAGATATGTTGAGATCTAGCCTCTCACAATCTAGATTTTACATCACCAGCTATCTCGATCTCGGCCGCCAAAGGCACATTGCCGAGAGCTGTCGGGCCCTTACTTCCCTCCATCAAGACATTATATGGTTTCTCTTGCTTCCCAATCTGTCTCCACTTCCAAAGCTTCGGCGGGATCTGGTCTTGCCCCTTCTTTTCCACTGCATCTACAACCCAATTGCCGATGTTGGGAAGATATTTGAACGCATGTCCGCTACCACCAGTCGCAACCATAAGTGACTCCTCGGTCTCGGGAACTTGGCCAATGACAAAGTGATTGTCATAGCTGTCCGTATACCAACATACTCTGGTAAAAGAAATATCGATGCCCTCGGCGCCTAGCTCCGGAAGATTTTCTGCCAAAAAGGAGCGCAAGACTTTCAAAGCTTGTTGGGGAATTGTCGTTAGGCGCTCGTTGGTGGCTTCGTTAGGATCGCCAGGCGCCGATGCAGTCGACCACCGCGTTACGGGAACGCTGCGTTCCTTGCCATCAGCTTGCGTGACGGGGTTTGTGTATTTGGTACCACGATAGCCGATCTTCAGCCAGCCATCCTCATCCCTCGGGAATCCGTATAGACCGCCTTCAACGCCGTCCCTCACCTTGTATGTGAATGTTGGGAAGTTCTCAGGTGCGAAACGAGTAAACAACGGCGATTCGCGCGGGATCTTGAGCAATACGACCGACCCTGCGGTCGTCTCACACAGACCATCCAGGGCTGGGAGCAAAGATGGTGTCCAACCACCACACGCCAGTATAGTCAGCTTGGCGTGGTGTGCCCTGCCATCGCGGGTCTTGATCCCGATAACCTTCTTGCCCTCGTAGATCAGCGAGACAAGAGCACCAGCTTGCGGGTCTAATACAAACTTGACGCCTTGGCTTACCGCCTTATGCAGCGCAAAACGGCAGGCCTTGTCAGCCACGGCCATGCCTCCTGTCGTGTCAAGGACACCGGCCGCGTTGAGACCTCTTTGCAAACGGCGGAACGGGTCCATCCCGAAAGACCATCCTTTTTCAGCAGCAAATTTCTGATGTTGCTCGTCAATGGTGATTAGTTGAGTGTTCCGATGCCCTGCTGCTTCCATGTTGTCCACGGTATCCTGCTCGAATTGGGGTAGAGATGCCGAGTCTGAAAGTGACAGGTTGCCGTTATTGACAAATACGCGGTCGTCGGTGGTTAGACCCGGTGGGACTGTCTTCCCGCTTGCCAGCTCCTTGTTCCAAGCGGTCCAGCCCTCTAGCGCCTCAATGGTCAAGCCCTGGTACTCTGTTTGTGCGCCATAAGCAGATCTGATGATTTTGTTCATGTCTGGGACGTACGTTAGCATTGTGCCAACTACACTAACAATGATAGGGTTTGTTACCTGCAGAGGCTCCATCGGCGCCTTTAAAATACGAATACAGACTTTCGTGGTAGGGCTGTTTGTCATAGACGGTGACGTTCTTGTATCCCCGGCGAGACAAGTGCACTGCGGTGCTAAGACCAAAGATGCCGGCCCCGACGATGATGACCGCATCTTCCTTGCTAGGTGAGCGCGCCATGGTTTCGGGCCGCGCTACTACATGTATGGCTGAACAGAGTTGAAGAAGAATGCAGCGTTCTCGGGAGTTTTAGCCCAAAGATGATCCAGAAGCTCTGGCTAGGTTTCGGAGAGGAGTCCGAAAGGATCGTGTGTGCTTCGGTAGCGTGCTATTAAACTTTATGCGACGAGGTCGACAAGCGAAAGATGGAAACACCAGGTCTCTGGAACGGCGTTTAACGGCCTCTTTCTCTTGGATCGAGCAGACCAGTCGGGTGCCGACAGGTCGTATAGTATGATGTTTCGGCAAACACCGTGGTAACGCTGCCGGCCGGGTCGGGGCTAGAAGAAAGTGCGGGGAGCTAAAGTCGCTACGGCGCCTGGATCGGTGAGCAAGAGCCTTGACTGAGCGAGTCAACAAATGCGTCACAGTTTGTTAAAGCCTTGTGACAGATGTGAATGAAATCAGGTTGGCAATGATTGGTGATCCGGTAGGAGTACGGATGGGACAAGAAGTTGTTACGCTCGATATTTGATATCAGCAATTGTGCCACCAAGCCAATCAGACAATTGTCTGCCCCGGTTGCCGTCGCTATCAAAGATACATCCTCTTTCAACGGAGCCCGTTCCCGCCGGCAGCCCCATGGGCCTACCCCCCACCGCGCGGTCTTTGGTCCGGTCCCGGCAGCTGATAACCTCCTAGTTTGCATCTGTGACCCCGCTCTCGTCATTTCGCAGTGTGCCGCAGACATGGACACCCTTGCTCGGATTGTCCCGGATAACGGTCCAGGGTTGTGGTTGGCAAGCTAGTGCAATTTCCATCAGAGCCGGCGACTGTCAACCTACCTTAGCCCGATACGGGTTGCACTAAGGGGGGTCGAGGAAGAATCCTATCTCAGAAGCCTTGTTGACGATGAGCCATCGGGTCATGTTGACAAACGGACTGGAAACCCCCGCGCAGTGTGGTTTACCCCGGATCTTGAGCTTGCAGGGACGACGACCCTGCTGATTGGGACTCTTTGGTCAGCAAGCGAGGCATGCTCGAGGCAGGGGAGGGGTTGAGCCAGAACAGACGTCTCTTTTTCGTATCTTGGCTCTGATAACGTCCAGCTGATGCGTACCGAGCCAACAGACATGCAATCAGATTGACTTATAGATATCCATTGGGGCTCCTCCCTGTTCGATGATACATCGCAGGACTTAACGACGCAACGCGCAACTCCTTTGGTTCATCTAAACTCTCACTTGTCGCCAAAGGTTTCATCTGCTCACCACGATCCCGACAAGGTTCTCGTGCCAACTGTGCAGACGGGTGCCAATTCGCCGGACCATTACTCGAACTCGAGAAGAACACCGCGTCGTCCTCGGTAAGATGGGTGTCAAGCAAGTCTTCACCGAGTCGACCTTCGCCAAGTACATTTCGGCAATAAGAGAGTCGCCTCGAGAACTGATCTCGAACCGAAAGCTCTTGCTCACCGCCGCCCTCTATGCCACGAGCGGCATTCCCATCAGTAAGAAGACCTCATCCATCATCATTGCCACCTACAAGTTACGCCGGCTAACCTCGACAACATAGCATGGGACCAAGGCTCGTCCTCGGTGGTGCCGTCCCTCCCCGGGTTCCAGAAGGACTTCGGAATCACCTCGGCCACGAACCCAACTCAGGTCTCCAACTTCATCTCTTTCGTCTATATCGGCGCTGGAATCGGTGCCGGCCTGTCATTTTTCCTCAATGACCGCATTGGGCGCATGTGGTCTTATCGCTTCTATATGACCATCTGGATCATCGGACAAATCATCGCGACTGTGTCGATGGGTAATATCGGCGCCCTTTACTTTGCTCGCATCGTCTCAGGCATGGGAATCGGTGCCCTAACAGTCACTGGACCTGTCAGCATCGTCGAGATTGCCCCTACCGAGATTCGTGGTCTCCTGGCAGTCTGGTTCAGCGTTGCCATGCTGCTTTCCTTGACTGTATCGGTCTTCATCGTCTACGCCTGTTTCATTCATGTCGCCGTCGGCAGACTCCAGTATCAGATTGTCTTCTTCTCTCCGACTATCGTCATGGCCATCCTCATCGCGGCAAGCTTCCTGCTCTACGAAAGTCCTCGCTGGCTGTTCATTGCTAGACGGGACGATGAGGGCATCCGAAATTTGACGGCTCTCCGAGGGCTGCCGGTTGATCACCCCCGCGTGGCGACCGAGATCGAAGACATCAAGGATCAGATTGCCAAAGAGGAGGAGAAATTCGGACGCAACCCCGGCTTTGTCGTCTTGGTGAAAGATGCCTTCCTGGTCCCCTCCAATTTGCGTCGTGTGCAGCAAGCCGTTCTGTCGTACGCTCTTGCTCAACTTTCTGGAGCAAACAGCGTCACATCCTACCTCGTTCCTATTTTGAGCATGCTCGGACTTGGTGGCGGTACTGCTCGAAGCTTGTTCCTTAGCGGCATGTACAGCATGGCCAAGTTCTTCTTCACTCTGATTGCCAGTTTCTTCTTCATCGATGCTCTCGGTCGCCGTCGCAGTCTGTTCACTGGTATCACTATCCAGATGATCTCTGATTTGTACATCGGTGTCTTTATCAAGTACCGCCAGGAGGGCAACGTTGCACCGGGATCTAGCGAAGCTGCTATCGCCGCTGTCTTCATTCACGGATTCGGATACGCCGTCGGTGAGTAGACTCAAGATGTGTGTCAGGTCAAATGAAGCAACTTGCTAATACTTCTACAGGCCTCCTCGTACTGCCTTATGTCTTTGGTGCTGAGCTGTGGCCCAACCACCTCCGCTCTTTCGGCAGCGCTTTTGCACAATTCTTTCACTGGTTGTTTTTCTTCGGAGTCAACAAGGGCATGCCCTCGCTGCTCAGCCAGACTCACAACTGGGGCGCCTTCATTTTCTTTGCAGGATGGTGTTTCCTGTCGTTGATCTACGTCTACTGCGTTGTGCCTGAAACATCTCTGCAGAGCTTGGAGCAACTGGACGAGCTCTTCAAAGGGCCCTGGTGGAACGTTAGCCGCAGAGCCAAACAACTGAAGCAGCAAGCTCGAGAGCAGGATGCAATCATTGAAGCACAAGAGTCAGTATTAGTACCCCAGCTTCGTAAACCTTGATTGCATAGCCAGAAGCTAACGTCGGTTCACATGCAGAAGCGATCAGCACAGCGAGCCCGACTCCAGCATTGAGAAGAACGGCGCGCGTGCGGTCAGCCAGAAAGTTTGATCACGCGCGTAACTACAGGAAGGCTTGAAGGCACGGGGAGATCGGGTTTGGGGAAGCTGTCGTCGGATTTCATAGGCGGCCGCAAGAGTCTTCATAATGACTAGATCTTACATTGAAATAGGCTTCAATCGATAAAGTAATGTTTGAATTGTCGCCTCCGATTTTGGAAAGGCCTGGCGGTCTCTTCGTGTTTCGTTCGTGCAACTTTCGTCTTCATCTCGTCAAAAATATGTTCACACTGTTCATATCCTTTATTTCAATGGTCATGCTCCTTGCGTGTCATAACTTGAGCAGATGCTTACATAGGCGCAGATTTTGAACAATGCGCCAACCGTACTAAGCTCGAGGAAACAGAACAAGTTGCGAGTTAGCATAATTCTTTCTGGGCTTCAGTCAGCTAAGATGTATAGTCATGGCTGCCATTACCTCATGGAGTTTTGAAGTAAACTTATGGAATTATGACTGTCTGAAGTATTGTTAAGTCGACGCAGATATTTGCGGGCCGCTCTTCCAATGTATAATGTTAATGCTCTATGCTACTAGATGATTTCCTTTAGCCCCTAGCCTTTCTCAAGCTAAGACTTGCCACCAAGACTATGCTCTCACTTGGCCAAAGCCTTTGCTTTCCTGTCATGGATGTCGATGACAGGAGAATTCGGTTTCCCACTCTTAAACAAAGCCCGGATATTCTCAAAACATTCCCTCTCGGCCTTCTGGAAAGCCATATCTGTGAGACCACCAAGATGAGGTTGCGCAATAACGTTATCGTGCTGCACCAAAGCCATGTCGGGCTTCGGCTCGTCGCAGAAGACGTCGAGACCAGCGCGCGCCACCTTGCCAGAGTCGAGGGCGTCCTTAAGAGCCGCTTCGTTGATGACGGGCCCGCGAGCAGTGTTGACAACAAATACACCGTCTTTCATCGCTGCGAACTCCGCGGGACCAATCAGACCAGTCGTCTTGTCGTTGAGCGGGCAGTTGAGTGACACGATGTCGGACTTGCCGAGAAGGTCCTCTAGTGTTGGGGAGTATACCGCGTTGTACTTCGCCTCCTCTTCGGCGGGAAGCTGGTGGCGGTTGTGGTATCTGATCTTGAGGTTGAAGACGGCTGCTTTCTTCGCGAGGTACTGCGCGGTTACGACGTTAGCTTGTCAACCTTGCTATGCAACCCCAACGTGATTGACTTCAATCAGACTAGAACGTACCTTGCCAATGGCCCCCATCCCGACGATGCCCAAAGTCAAGCCGGAAGGATCTCTCCCAGGAACGAGCCCCGGAACCGCTCTCCACGTGCCGGCCTTTGCGCTCTTCTCGGCATTGCTTGTGTTGCGCAGAACAGCCAGCGTCAGGAACAAGGCCATATCTGCCGTCGACTCAGCCACGGCGTCGACCGTGTTGCAGAACCAGATGCCCTCCGAGGCCATCCACTCCACGTCAAACTCGTTATATCCAGCGCTGGCGGACGTGATGATCTTGCAATTCGGCGCCAGTGCGCTCAAGAGACCCTGGTCGAAAGGCTCGTACGGCGGCGTGCCCATGCGGATGATGAACGCATCGATGGGTCCGTTCTTATCGATATCCTCTGGCAGCATGGCTATCGTTTCCGCGCGGTCTGTGGCCTCGAGAACGGAATAATCAAACTCGGTTTTGAAATCGGCGAGATAGTCGTCGCCGACATATTTTGGGGTGCCGAGTGCTACGACACGGGGCTTCCTTGAGCCCAAGTCATCTGTTCGTGATGGCGCCATGATTGTGCAGAACGTTTTTCTCTCAACAGCAGAGTAATAGTTGCGGTAACATATCAGGTTTCTGGATATGATAGAGTAATCGCGGGGTCTATGGATGCCAGGAGAAAGAAATATGCGGCGTGTCAGACAAGCAGTTGACCGAAGAAGACATGTCATTTAGCCACAATGCCGCTGGCTGCTTTTGAATGAACATTGGAAGTTGCCCGAATTATCCCACAATTACCGGAGTTATTGCCCGTCAGTGACAAACAAAAACTCCTCAGCTATCAAATCTCGCCAACAAATCAACTCAACTACTACTTCCGGCTTTTTTCCCGGTGCGGATCCGAATCACGGAGGGGGTTTCTGGGGTGGTCGGGTTCTCCCGAGCGGCAGGGGACCCCACTCGGGAGGATCCGATTCCGGTGGGACCTTGGGCGTTTGTCCTAACAATTTCCTCCCTTTCGTTGATCAGTTTACGTGCGAACTGCGGGGTAACTCTGAAGCATTTGCAATTGGACGATTGTGCGGTTAATCGTTTGAAGAGCATATCAGCAATGCTCCTCTGGTATAGAGTAAATCAACTGTTATCGATCATGCCCGCGTGATTACAGACAGAATCGTGATGAACATCGGGAACTCAGGAGCCTTCTTCGGCATTTCCAAACGCGGCAAATGCTTAAAGGGAGCAGTGTTGTGACTGGAGCGAAAACTGTCCGAAAAGCTCGTCAACGTCGTGAGCTCATAGTAAGATTAAACTTCAACATGGCTGAAGCTATGCAAAGTCTCCCACCGCTTGGTTTCATTGCCATCGAAGTCGATATCCACCGACCACCAGGTGATCCCTACAATGATCGAACCTGGTCGTTTCCTCTCATCCGTGAAATGGCTGAGGGATCAAAAGTTTCGCAAGTCGTCACCTCTTCAAGTTATGACTCTACATTCATAGACCGTTTTGTAGATGCCGGTCTACGTCTAGCGGCTAGAGGCTGCGTAGGCATCATCACTAGTTGCGGTTTCCTAGCACTAGCCCAGGCCGAGTGAGTACAATGCCGACTTCATTTGCCGCCAACCCAACTCCAAGGAGGAAGCCGAAGTCTGATTTGTGATTGAAACAGACTTACTGCAAGATTGCCCATCCCAATCGCAACGTCATCGCTGGCTCAATTGCCTTCCATCCTACCTCTGCTTCCGCCGGGCAATAGCGTTGGGGTTCTGACCTACGATGAATCAAGACTAGGCTCACAACACCTTGCGAGCTTTGTGTCCGAGCAGTCGCTTCCCAAGATCATCGTCCGTGGTGTACCTGCAGAAGGACATCTGAGAGGTACAATTGGAAAGGGCGCCCCGTACGTCCACGAAGATATTGAGGCAGAACTCGTCGCTGTTGCAAGAGACTTTGTGGCTAGTCGGCCTGACATTAGAATCCTGGTACTCGAATGCACCAATATGCCACCATTCTCGGAAGCAATCTACAAAGCACTGGGCGGGAAGATCCCCATCTACGATGTGTACACTATGGGACAGTGGTTCTACTCTGGGTTAGTAAGACGAGCGCCGGTTCACTGGCGCGGGTAGCAACACTTGCACTACTGTCAACGTCGAAGCTTCTATGGATATCCGAGTTCATTTTAGCCTGAAAGTGCTAATGTCAACAATCACCGCATAGCCTAGCAAACTGATGGTTGTTGACTTGTCTTCTCACATTACTCCAAATCAAGCAAACCTACACTGGCAATTCTGTTACTGCGATCGTGGATGGCTATACACCTAAGGACCAGAATGGCAGCGGGTAGTGGAATCATTGGGGCTTCTTATCTGTGTTGGGATTCGGTCTGGCGTCCAGACCTAACATGCCTTGGAAATGGACGGGTTGATTGCAGTGATCCGTTGAAGACAATTTTAACACCACTGGAACCTGTCAGACGAGTCTTGGAACTATTAGTGGCCACGAAACTAAGGCTCCCATTTTGACGAGCTCCATCACCAAGCCAACTTCTCTGCTCTCTGCCACAACTTCCCTTCAGTCTGCCCAGACTACTTCTGTTGTCACGACGATGGTGAACGCCAACATTTTCGGCGCCCCAATCGCCACCGGAGCATGTCCGTCTACCACAAGCTCAGGTCGTGGCCTCCGTCTGCCTCGGCCGAGGATGAGGCTCATACGAGGTCTTTCGCCCTCGACTGTGTGATACTGTCGCACCGGCACCGGCGGGTAGCTGCGCGCCTCGAGGAGGACATTGTTGTCTACGACTACGAGGCCCAGAGAAAGGCCTCCCTGCCAGATTTTGCAATAGATGCCTTTCAAGCCACCCGAAAGCCACGCTGAGACGCGCGCTTTGAGAGTCGCGATTTGGGAATCCGTGGTGTAGTAGGATTTGAATATCTGAGCAACGAGAAGGCTATCGATCCACGCTCACAAGGGCCATAATCAATTCGCGCCGAACTGGGTTATATGCTGAGACAATATAGTTGTTTACCGTGCTTAATATTTACTTATGAGGTATCCTATTTATCTCCAAATACCACGTGCACATTGGTTCCAGTTATTACTATGAGGATCCGTACGTTTCTGTTTCTGCTAGGTCTGGTTCAGAGCTTAGCGTTTCCTTAGCTACTGTTTCGGCTTCCTTATTGTCCGGTGCTCCTATGTGAGCTAGGATCTATCTGAGCTTGATCTCCTAACCTTGATTCCGGAGTTTACGGGGATCCGGATGGCGTTCACCAAGATATACTGTCCTGCTGGGTACTTTGGGTTCCTCATGGCTTTGATCGTGCCTGATTATTTGTGTGTATGGCGTATCTCTACGGTGTAATCCCTGTCGCGTGTATATCGTGTGTCATTTCAGTGCTAGTAGAATACCAACGAAGCCAACAGTGTGACCATGTTTCTAGTAACTTACGGCAAGCGTCGGAGGATTTAGTAGCAGTCATGAGGAAGTAGACTGGAATCCGAATTTTTTTGAATCTTAGTTTTAAGTTATTAGAATTTTTGAGCAAAGTCAGCTAAGAAGCCATCGACCATGTTTCCTTGGCCCTGAATTCCCCACACGTTGAATGGCGTCCCTGGATTGTACTGATTAATGTTGGTATCCGCCCGATCCCACTGCGTCGATTGAACGCCCCCATTATTGACTAACAAGACCACCTCCTGCCCGGCAACCAGCATCCCGAACTTTCTGCCATTGAGCAAGTTAGCGGAGCTCAGAGTCCGGACGTAGCCGCTGGCCTGGATGATATGCGCCTGGGTAATGTGTACGCCGGGCGTTTTGCCCTCGAGGGTGAAGATGGGGTCCCAGCAGAGATTGCCGTTGTTGTCGTTGTACATGAAGAAGACCGTCAGGTCGGCACGGCCGGCCTGGTTGTTCTGCTCTGGGGCGATGGTGAATCTGTTCGGGGGGAAGTGATGCTGAAGGACCTCGAGCCATACACCGTTGGAGACGGCCTCGCTTGTGATGTTGCTCGTCAGCACAGTCATCATCCCGGCGTTTGCGCCAATGGCCGCTGCGGTCGCCATATTGACTCAGGTTTATGATGGGCAAGTGATTGCATTGTGATTCGGATGGTAGATGGTTGGAGAGGGTTTCTCCAGATCAATGTGTCTTTCTAATAATTACGATTTTATAGGGAGCCTCAGGAGTGCTTTAAGACATAGTTGACACCTGTAGTTGGACACGTGCACGATGAGGGGCCGTACAGGGCACGAATGCGGTTCGCTAGCAATTCGCCGCTGGAGGGCATCGAACGTTCAATTCAGCTCTCCACAGTCCGAAGCTATCGAGTCAATCCTTCAGTTCAGCTCTCCACAACCCAAAGTACATACTTAGCCGCACAGTCGAAAATTGGCAGTCGTAGCTGCTTTCAACCTTGGCCAAGTGGCCTGATATGTATCCCATTTCTCACCGCCACCACCATGCCGATATCAACTAAGTTGGCAAGATCTTCACCGCGTCAGCTAGCCACAACCCGATATATCTGACCGGCTTGGGGGGGCAGCGTGCGTATGCAGTGCAGTCTTCGAGACACGGTCCTCTCTAGGTTCGGAGGGCGGACGTGTCCAACGCGACGCTGCATTCCTTTCCGATGAGATCTATTCGAAATCCATTAATTCGCATGGCAATCTTGTTCTCGTTTGCGGAAGTCCACAGCGCAACCGGCAGAGTGGTGAGGCTGGCAAAACAGGTGGCCAACAAGACAACGGTCACTCCTGGGGGGTGTTGTTGATTCAGTTCAGCTGTGGCTGAGGATCTTGAGGCGCTGGGAGCGGGAATAGGGAGGATGATGAACAGACATTCAGCAATCACAGTCTCGTTGAGAAAGCTGATTGGAAGGACTTTTTTTCTCTTTCATTATTCCAAGACAAGTCTACCTACACAGTCTCAAGACAAAAAGTCACCCCCTGACTCCTTCAGAATCAACTGATACTCTGGCACAAATTGCATGTACATGACTTCAGGCGTACCAGTGCCATCCTTTGTGTACTGTGCTTCCTCCTCGCCGACAAACGTCTTCTTCAATCCACCGGCAGCACCATTGGTTCCAGGAGCAACAGCCTGCTCCACGAGGAACTGAGACTGGCAAGAACGCTCGAGGGCGATGAAGAAGGCAGCTGCCTCAGCCACAGTCCCGCCGGCGGTGAGCAGTCCATGATTCTGAAGGATGATGTTCTTGTTGGTGGGACCGAGGGCGTCGGCTATGTGCTCGCCCTCTTCTTTTGCCAGTACGACGCCGCCGAACCCTTCATAAATTGAGAGATCGTTGTAGAACATGCACGAGTCTTTTCGATAATATGGTTAGTACAGAGTAGAATCACTACACGACTGGGTTGGTAGGTTGTGACTTACCTTGGTTAAGCATGTCGATCGGACGTCCGAAGGTGCTCCACGCCCGGCCATACGGGCTGTGCATGTGGCAGGCAGCATTGATATCCGGCCTCCTCTTGTGGAGAACGGAGTGAATGGTGAAGCCGGCGGTATTTACCGGCTTATCGGCACCGCCGATACGGTTGCCGTCCTCGTCAATGTGGACCATGTCCGACACCTTAAGCACACCAAAGTGCACTCCATACGGGTTGATCCAGAACGTGTCCGGCCTAATAGGATCTTGCAGGAGCTCTTAGCACGGTCCCTCGCATGTGCTGCTTCAATGTATGTTGTATTGAAAGCAGAAAGGGAAGAATGCATACCTCGTAGACTGATGTGACCACTGCTGCCATCAGAGAAGCCCAACTTTGCAAAGATGCGAAACGCGGCCGCCATCTGTTCCAGCTGCCATTTCTGGGCGGCTTCTTTGGATTCGGGAACCGGGATTTGGTGTAGGCGCTTGACCTTGCCGCTACCCGCCTTGCCCGAGTCCAGCGCCGAACCGAGCGGCGTCGGTGCCGGTGGTGCTTGTGCGGGTGCGGATGATGTGACGGCTGTGGTAGTTGACATAGTGGGCGATCTGGTACTGCTCTCAACTGCGATATGCCGTCAACGGGAGGTGTCCTTGCTCTTGCACAGCTGCGTCTTCTTATCAACCCAACATACGAGATTGTCTCTCGCTTGGTGCCTTTGGAGGAATGAAATCGTTGAGTCAGTGAGCAGTGTGATACCGAATGGCGGTTACTCCGCATGAGTTGATGGAGGTAGCGGATAAGCACAACACAAATGTCGCCATCACTCGGAAACCTCCGACCCTGGCGGTTGGAAACGGTTCATGCCCGACTAATAGCCCTTCCTTGCTTCCGATCCACCTTTCGGCAACATGACGACCTGCCGGCACCCCACTGCCCCATACCCGAAGCCACATAATGCTCCTCAGTGACATCTTATCGGTAGTCTCCGGTGTAAGCCGGACGGCGTAGTCGATGACCTCGGCCATGGTTACGAAAGCTAGTCGTCTGACGGGTTTTGAGGCATGTTCCTAGTCAAGGATTCAGACTGATCGTTTCTGCAATGCTCTCGGGAAGAACCATGAGACCTGGCTCTATGACAGTATTTCCTGCCGAAGACATCGTGTGACCCAAACTCACCTACTTGTTTGACCCTAGTTTGCCTTTGTGTTTGATAATACATGATATCTACGAGTTCTCTAAGCTTGAACTCTCTACTGCGGACTAGCTTCTACCTTTAGTCTCCCTACCTCACCCGAATCTCAACCTTATCGCTTCATTCTTATCTTGACCTGCAACTCCTCAGTCATCTTCATCAAGAGATTATTCTTGGTCTTTGAACAACTAGTTGCTCAACATCAATAATCAAACACAACCATGTCGACCAGCCTTCTATCCACGCACCGTTCAGGTCCCCCGGGCCATCCGGCACCCGACGCCGACACCCTCCGCACAACCTTTGCCCTCGCCATGTCCGCCATGTACAAGGCCGAAGTCCCCCTCTACGGCGACCTCATCCAAATCGTCCAAACCATCAACAAAGAATCCCAAACCAAAAAGCGCCACGGGGGGCCGGGGGGGCACGTCTCGGCCTCCGCAACAATGGAAGCCAGCATCGAGCGCCTAACCCTCGAGCGGCACGGCGCAATCCGTCTCGGCACCCCGCAAGAACTCCACACCGTCCGCCGCATCTTCGCCCTCCTCGGCATGCACCCCGTCGGCTACTACGACCTCTCCGTTGCCGGCCTGCCCATGCACGCGACCTGCTTCCGCCCGACGTCGACGCAGTCTCTGGAACGCAACCCCTTTCGCGTCTTCACCACGCTGCTCCGGCCCGAGCTGCTCAAATCCGGGAGGGCGAGGGCGGTCGCTCTGGAGTTACTCGCGATACGCAACATCTTTAGCGATGCCCTGTTGGAGCTCTTGAGCACGGCCGAGGAAGTTCAGGATGGTCGGCTGACGACGGAGCAAGGGGAGCGGTTTGTGGTTGAGGCGATTCGCACATTTAGCTGGCAGCCCCTGGCGGCGGCTTCGCATGAAGAATACGCTCTTTTGCGGAGCGAGCATCCCATCTTGGCGGATATTGCGTGCTTCCGCTCGTCGCATATCAATCACCTCACGCCGAGGGCTCTGGATATCAATGCCGCGCAGGAGGCTATGCTCGCCGCGGGTATGGCGGTCAAGAGCCGCATCGAGGGCCCGCCGGTGCGCAAATGCCCGGTTCTGTTGCGCCAGACGAGTTTCCTTGCGCTGCAGGAGGGTATTCGATTCGCTGTTTCGGGAAGAGACGAGTTTGTGGATGGGTTCCACAAGGCTCGGTTTGGTGAGATTGAGGAGAGGGGAGCTGCCGTTACGCCTGCGGGTAGAAAGCTGTATGATGAGCTTCTAGAGGAGGCTATGGCCACGGCACAAGCAGCCGGAGCGTCATCTGATACGAAAGCTGTGGACGAGACCTTTGCCAAGGTCTTTGAAAAGTTTCCCGATGACTGGGATGAGCTGCGGCGACAAGGCCTCGTGTTCTCGGAATATCGATGCGCAGAAAATGCCAAAGAGAAGCTGCACAGCTTAGCAGGTTTCGATACAGCGGATCCTGCATCTCTCTTGGATCGATTGGTTTCCGAGGGCGTACTTGAGGCAGTGCCTATTACGTATGAAGACTTTTTACCTTTTTCGGCAGCCGGGATCTTTCAGTCAAACATCCAGTCCGGGGCCAGCTCAAGTGAGTCTACGATAGATCACGAGGAGTCGATACGACCGGATGTGAAAGGGTACGAGAGGGCTTTGGCGAGAGACATTCTTGATGCAAACGATTTGTATGCGCAGGCTCAGATGAAGAGTTTGCAGACCTGCGCTGGGGAGCTTGGTTTGAGTTTGGATATGATTCCACGACTTTGACAAAAGTTAAGGTCTGAAGGAGGATGCTGAGCGGTTAAGTGATTTCAATCATATGTTTTGTTTGCCAGGGCGGCTGGGTTGCACGTCACTCGATATTTTGGAGATTCGTAGTATTTGTTGGAAGTTGAATAGCTTCATATCGTTCAGCTGGCGTTTCTTAGCACCCTAATTATTATTTCAACCTCATTCATCATAAAGCATGGCATCCATTCCAACGTTTCAGCCATAATAGCTAATAATCCCGAACACCTTGAAGCAACTCCTGCACCAGCCACTCAGACTCTTGCGGGATCGACAAGTCATCCAACCCCATAATCCAATCCTGCATCGACGGCGCCGCACCACCAACAAAAGCAGCATGCATATCCGCCCCCGGGCCCGGCCCGATCGCCGGCAACGAAGCATTACTAGGCGCCGGCTTCTGCCCGTCATTGCACACCATGCTAATCGTCCGCTGCGACAGCGCCTCAAAGATATCCCGGTACGACGTCGCCAGGTTCCACCGCTCGGCAATGATGATGAGGACGGTGGTGCACGCCATACACGTCGTGACGACGTCGGCCTGCCTCGTCGAGTCCCGGACGCGCTTGGAGCGCCACAGACAGTAGAGGTACGTCAGCCCGCCGAGGAAGAGGATGTGCAGGCTGCCCCAGGTGAACTGGACCGAGGAGGACTGGTAGACGCGGCGGTAGAGCATGCACATTTCCCGCGCGCGCACCGCGCACTCCTCTAGCACCCGCTCTGTGGCTTCGTTGTCATTGAGGTTTCCTCCGTGGCTGGCGCTGCCGGCGGCGCCGCCGTCTGGCGTGGGGTGGTTTGCGGGTGATCCGCCCATCATGTAGTGGCGGTAGAGCAGGAGGATCGAGTGGTCGTAGGCGAGCTGGAACCAAGAGCGAGAGGTGAAGACGGATAGTGGGTGCGCTCTCGAATAGTTCAGCTGATCGGGGGTCTTTGCGCGCCATTCCTCTAGTTCTTGGCGGAGACTCTCGATGGTCGCTGTGTGTCCGCAGCCGCACCGCCGAGTTGTGGGTGGATAGAGGTTGTCGCTGATCTTTGTCCATAGACGTCTCAGTTTGATGGCGTGGATGAAGCCGGTCATGAGTGTCGGTGGATCTGTGCTGGATATTCGTGAGGCTGCCAAAAGTCCTCCCGAAGTCACATTTTCATCATCGATATCAAGTGGTAACTGCGCTACTCGTTAGCATATCATACAGAGAGCCCGTTGCTGCGGTGTTTCGCAGTGTGGAAACCTTACCTCGACATCGATTGAGTCATCTGGAATACCAACTGGGCGACCTAGTGTAAAGGCAACTACCCTGTCAATGTCATACGCAACCCAGAAACATCTCTTGGACATCTCTTTTGTCAGTGCATCTGTATTTTTGTGATACCTCTCGGCACTTCGGTGGTAGCCGAGCTCAATGCAATGGCGTATAGCCATGCCAGATACTTTCCTAAGATACAGTCAAGACTAATTCTACGATGCTTAAAGTATTGGTCAGATATTGAGCCTACCATAAGCTTACGCCAACAGGTGATCTGATTGAGTACACGGCACAAGCTAATATTGCTTGAATAGACTCGAGGCTATCGAGATCCAGAACTGCTGAGATGTGATCCAGGGCCATAGAGTAATAAGCCTGCCGTTTCCTGCGTCAACATTGTTCGCTGCTTGCTGCTATAATTCCGCGAAAGGGGTAAAATCATACCTCGGCAGCATCATAATGACTTTGACCAAGGACTAAAGACCCTATTGAGTAGACCTATAAATCTTGTCAGGGCACCGTCGGACAACGGACAGACATATCCTGAAGTTTTCAGCGTTCTAGCTCACTATTAGGACGAAGAAGAATGTCGACCCGTTGACGCTACTCAGATCTCCGTCAAGACTTGCTTTCAGGCAGGTCTCTTCCCAAATCTGGAACGTCGGCTTGTGAAGAAACGGGTACTGAGGATGTATGTTGTTAAAGTACGCTTCTGACAAGTTTGCCCTTAGCGTTGGTGAGGGTAACCTCAGCGGTACTTCTCGAACGACTTCGGGACTGATATCTTTCTCCCGCCCTGCATGGCTATGTTGTGAGCTCCCACCGGTGCTAGCAAGGCCCATGGTAGCGCTGACGATGCGTGAAAAGGAGACGGCAGATGAAGGACCAAAGTAATGCGGCTCACGGCCTGCCGCGCTAAGACAGAGCAGCGCAACCTCTGACGACAAGGTATCGACATGATGGTCATCGGCATCTACCGAAGGCGCGCGCAGCGCCCGAGAGAAGTCCACGTCCTCGAATGACGAGTGGTGGCCCTGGAGGTTCGGGGCGAGAGCAGACGGCATGTGCATGATGGACATTGCCTGCGTAGGGCCGCCGTGCGAAGAGGCGGCGGCGGCGGCGTGCTGTTCCGCTTCACGACCACGACCACCACCCTCGTTGTTGGCACCGAAGTGATCGAGGGCGACTTCGGGACGGGCCTGCTGTAATAGACCTTCGAGATAGGCAACCCGAGCCTCCAACGACTTCATGTAGTCGCGCGGGCGATGTAACCCGGTGCCGGGGTCTTCCACGAGGCAGTCTGGTTTCCCCACATCAGCTAAAGTTCACCATGCCGTCTCACGTCACTGTTGGACCCTACCTCGTCCAGTCCTCACGCAGTTCTGGCACTTGGGACTTTGTCCGTCGCACTATTAATATGAGTCAGTCTGGTTTCTGTATACACATTGAGGAGATTTGAATGTTACCTTCAGCTTCTTCCGCTTACAGCCGATGCAGGCCAACATGGTACGCTCGCCGAGTCGCGGGCGTTTGGCCTGATGGGTGCTGCCGGTTCTTTGACCACTCATTGTGAGGGAAGGGGAAAAGAGATCAGTGCGTTCTAGACAAGTTGGAAAAAAGAGGAATTGCCCAACGGCGCGGAACCGCCGATCTGCCCAGTGGGGACCTTGAGAGTCAGATATCGCAATCCTTTGAAAGCATGTAAACGAGCATGGAGACCTGTCGTCCGGGAAAGTCTGGGGTACGTTTGCCGTATGTGTCAGCAGTCCGGCAGAGTTGTTGGTTCGGACAATAGTAGGGGGGCCACGGGGGGTGTGCAAGGGACTTTGCGGATTGCCGGAGGGCCGCGCTACCGTTATCTCGTGCGGAGACTGTGGGAACAAGTTAGCACGTTCGTTCGGAAAGTTCCTGTTCCCCTGGTGCCTGGATTGCATTGGTTTTGCGTTTGTAAGTACATCTGTTAGTGCACAGATACGTCAAGTTTCGGCCGGGAACGTTTGTTTTCCGGCATCGGAGGCCAGGCCGGGACACATACCAATGTCTGTACACCTTAGCAACTTAGTATTGACATTCAGTCGACTTAATCAATATCTATCCTGTGATTAAGTAAGTGAATCAACTACCTTACCCTAACTTAATCGCAAAGCGGGTCTGGGTGGAATGGTCCTTTCGCTCACCCATCTATCAACGTCCATCAAGGGACCAACTAGCTCGACTCCACAACACCCGCTGGATCTTAGTCAACTTGCGCTTCTGGTTTTTCAACTTCCACAGTCTCTATGGCTCAGTCGGTAGAGCGTTGGTCTCATATCCATACGTATGACTCTAGAACATCTAGAGATATCCAAAGGTCGCAAGTTCGAGCCTTGCTAGGGACACTTATTTCCTTTTGCTTTTGCTACTACAACTTGCTATCATGATCTGTTGACGAGCACAACTCTCTTTTGTTTGACATTATTCGATCGTTGGTTGTTGACTCGCTTACCGCGTAATGTTGTGTGTGAGACAGAGAAGAAGAAGAGCTCTTGATCTCAATCAACTAACTACATGGATACTCAACTGGTTCAGAGATAATATCCCAGAGTGAATACGAATGGTCCAGGAAAAACCATCAATCAATTCCTCATCTTTTTTTGCCTTTCTGCCTTGTCTCTTATTGTTAACAGCGAATTGAGTTCCGACCGGCTCATACTTTCCAATCACCACCATTTGCGCCGAGCCATGTTCCTTGGGCCGAGTCGAGCAGCGATAAAAATAGCAACCACCCCAACCCCAACTTCAACGGACTGAGCCGCTGTCTTACCGGTCCAAACCACGACTCAGAACCTCCAACCCGCTAAACAGCACCACGCATTGCACGCAAAGCACTGTAATTGACCCAAATCCTACAAGATAACGCAACGACATGTTCTGGTTGCACAACACCATCGGCCAACCTCGAAAGAAACCACCAAAAAACCCATCCAAATGCACCCCAAGATCAATCGTCCGGATAACTCGGAATGCTGCTAAGCCCTCGGTTACGCAGCGATGGGGCTACAAATGGTTCTATCGATCGCCAAGTCTTGAGAGCTTTCGCCATCCCACACGTGTCATTTAACTGGAGCTTCTTGAACGGCGTATCCGTAGATGCAGCGGGCGCACGCGTCACTACTGAAAGTGAGTGAGTTTTGACGGGGGAAGGACTCAACTCTCTCAAAACACCAAAACACACAACCATGAGGAAATTCTTCAGGGAAGCAAAGCAAAAGATCGAGGCCGAGATCGCCTCCATCACCGGCGACGATGAACCTCAACAGCAGCAGCATTACCCCCCTCAACCACCGCATCAGGGGTTCGAGCGAGCGGTATTCGCTCATTTCATGGTTCGTCACCATCCCCACGGGGACGCGGGAGAGGCCTCCCACCACAATGAAAGATGCCAATTCCAGTCACTGACGCACGATTACCCCCACAGCTGAGCAATACGTGTGAATACACCGTTGATGAATACAAAGTCGACATCGGCCTAGCCCAGCAAGCGCACATTGACGCCTTTGTCCTCAACTTTGGCATCCACGAGGAAGCCATCGTCAAGCTCCCCGACATTTTCGCCGCGGCGGAGCAGACGGGCTTCAAGCTGCTCTTATCATTTGACTATGAAGGCGCAGGAGCGTGGCCCAAGGAGCGCGTCATCGAAATCGTCAGCAGAGTGAGTCTCTCTCTTATCTCCCAACATCACGGCTTTTTTCCAATTTCAAGTTCATAATGCCCAACTAACTCTCTTAACCCAGTTCGGCCCCTCACCAGCCTACTTCAGACGAGGCCACCAACCCATCGTCTCAACGTTCGAAGGCGTCGGCAACGCAGCCGACTGGCACGAGATCAAGGCCGCGACGAACTGCTTCTTCATCCCCTCCTTTTCTTCCATCGGCGCCGACAACGCGCTCAAGACGGGCGTCACCGACGGCCTCTTTAGCTGGGCTGCCTGGCCCCACGGCAACGCGCGCAAGATGGACGAGGGGCTCGACGCATCGTACCGGCACGCCTTGGGTCCCCACCGGCCCTACATGGTCGCCGTCTCCCCTTGGTTCTACACTAACCTGCCCACCTGGAACAAGAACTGGGCGTGGAAGGGAGATGACCTGTGGAACGACCGGTGGAATGAGATTCTGGCCATGAGGCCTGAGTATGTGCAGATTGTAAGTTATCCCAACTAGTCGTGATGAAAACCATACATCGATTTCTAACCACAAACACAGCTCACCTGGAACGACTTTGGCGAATCGCACTACATAGGCCCCCTCCACCCAAAACAATTCGGCGCCTTCGAATACGGCCAGGCCCCCTTCAACTACGTCCTCGACATGCCCCACGACGGCTGGCGTCTCCTCCTCCCCTTCCTCATCGACCTCTACAAATACGGCACCGCCACCGTCCGCCGCGAAGGGCTCGTCACCTGGTACCGCCTCCACCCGGGCCACGCAGGCGACGCCGGCGGCACGACGGGCAACACGAGCTCCCACGGCCAGGAGCTCTTCCACCCGTCCGAGATCATGGAGGACAAGATTGTCTTCTCGGCGCTGCTGACGGGGCCGGCGCAGGTCACGGTCAGCGTGGGCGGGGTCGCGGAGGAGGCTGGGTGGGATGATGATGGGGTCCCCCGCGGAGGGGTCGGTGTGTATCATGGGAGTGCGCCGTTTAATGGTCGGACTGGTGAGGTTGTCGTGACTGTGCACCGCGGTGGGGATGTTGCTGCGCAGGTGCAGGGGCGGCCTATTACGACCGAGTGCCATCATGGAGGAATGAATAATTGGAACGCTTGGGTTGGCGCTGCCAACTCCCATGTGGAAACGTATGCCGTTGCGCATCTGGGGTAGGCTAGCAACCAATGGAGAAACCGTGTAGTTCATTCATCCAGTTGTTGACTTCGGGGCCGATCCGACGTGACGAGTGTAGACAGCCAGGGGAAACGCTGAGGTGGAGGGAGAGTTGCGATGACAGGCACGGTAAAACGCATATTCGTGGTTCAGAGTATTTTGGGTTTCCACACACATGTAGTGTGCGACCAGGTATTATTCACAAACAGAACCTGAAAAAAGAAGAGCTGCCTGCCTGCCTGCATGCATCCATCTGCTGCGCTGTGTCGCCGTGCAAATGAGGGGGGATCCTACAGATACATATCCAGAACACCATCCCGCCAACCATCCCCCGTCTGTACAAATCGCAAAAAAAGCCAGTGGAAAAGTATGGGGATCTCTAATGCAATCACATAGAGGCACTCCGTGAGAGCCTTTGACCTGTCCCTGGGAACCAAACAGATGCTCCCATACGCTTGTGCCATCATGACACCGGGTATTGCCATTCGCCCGTCGTCTTGTTCATGTAACCAAGTTGCTCGGCCGCTGCCGTGAAGTCCTACTCCTCGTGCACGCTGACCATGGTACCGTTACCCTTAGTAGACTTCTTGCCAAGTTTCAGCATGCTTAGCCTCTTTCTGACGCTTCCCCGTTTGACGATACCGAGACCGTCTACAGGTCGCTCGTCCTTATACTCCCGCTCCTTCTCTGTCAAGTTTGTCCCGGCGTCTGAACTGCGCCGTCCGCCCGAGTCCGTTACCCATTCGCTGGTGGCATCGTTACTGCCCAGGATCCGCGGTACATCGCTGGACGGAGCTCGGAAGAAGCTGCTGCGACGGTTTGCATTGCTTGTAATGGTCACGTTGTCCTGTGTCTTGCTAAAGCTTCGGCTGCGATGGCTAACAGTGTCCTCTGCTTCCGGGGTTGTTTGAGTGTCGCTGTTGGTCTGCTGCAGAACTGGAGATTCCTTCTTACGACCTCCCAAGAAGCTTAGACGCGTCCCACGCCCTTGGCGGATGGCAACTGGCTGAATCGTCGACACTTCTTCGACAGCCACTCCGTTCGTCATAGCACCGACAACGCTCTGCGGTTGAGGTGATGCGTGTTCAGTAGATGGCGACGACCGTCGATAAGTCGGCGAAGCGTTGGCAGACTCCCGGGATGGCTGCTGAGGAGCGAAAAGGGCAATCTCGGGTGCAAAGGTCCTTTCAAAGTCTAGGGCATGTTAGTTTAAGGCGGCCACGCAAATGATCATGAGCATGAAACACTTACATCGTTGAAGTTCCTCGTGCCTTTCGTTGAGGATCTCATTCGTACTTCTGGAGAAAGTTGCCAGGCACCGCTTGATCATAATCGCATGGTCCACGAGTGCCATCTTGATCGCGTTGTCTTGAGGTTCAAGCTCAGGTTCAACCTCTTCTTCTTCCAGCATATCGGTCTCGTCATCCTCGGGTTCCGCACGGAGCGGCAGTAGTTGGCGATAGCAAGCCACACTATTTTCGGAATCTGGGTTGACCGACACACTTACTGCGTCCACGAGCAGCTGAGCGTTTTCTTCGTCGCCCTCAGTGATCCGCTTCTCAATCACTGTCATTTCTTGCGTCTTCCTCACAATGCGCTCTAAGCCGGTCTGGCGGGCACTGAGCTTGATCTCTTCGGTGTGCACGATCTCGCTGCGGCGAAGAATTGTCGGGAATGGGTCAGCAGTGGTGAAAACCATCTTCTCCGCGAAGTGTTCCTGGACAGGGCCAGACGTGCTACGCTTAGACGACACAGAGAAGCTCTGAGGATGGGCGGAAACGAGATAATCGCGGATCACTTGGGCGACCCGAGCGCGCTGAAATACTTGATGTGACAGATCGCGGTGCGGTGTGATGGCGGAAACGACTAGGAACTGGCCTTCGACATCGTCGACATCGCCACCAGTGACAATCTGAGCGGATGGGTACTGCTCCTGCATACGATCCGTAAAGGCAGAGGCACGCTCTGTCGGAGAGCCTTCGTACACAAATTCCTTGTCTCGGAGGCTGGAGGGGAAGCCAAGTCCTTTATAGACGACCTTGAAATACTTGGGCACCAGCTTGTCGCTCTTCGAAATAGTCTCGTAGATCGTTGCAATCGCTCGCTCGGTCCTGGCCAGTTTGGCAAAGTCAAAGACGTTGCTCTCGTACTGAACCCGGAGTTCCTGGTATGCAGCCAGAGCGCTAGTCCAGGCCTCGCCCTCCTCGAAGTGCTTGATCATGTCGAAGTAGATCCGTTCCTTGCGCTCGAATGAAGTTTGTATAGGGAACTCCGTGTCATCCAAGTCATCCAAAGCAGAGACCTGCTTTGTAGGGTCCCAGTCGTAAAGGTCGGCGTGCAAACGTAGGGCCAAACCAGCTTCGCAGTGGTTCCTCGCCTCGCCCTGAAGGATGGCCAACTGATGAACGTATCTGATGAAGATTTCCTCCTTTTGCATGTCGCGGAGGAATTCCATCAGGCGTAATCTGTTGATGAGGTGGGATGCTTCGCTCGTGTTATCGCTGCTGTGCACGGCAACAAGAAGATCGAGGAACTCGTCGACAGTCGCCATGAGGTCGCGGATACCAGCATAAAGAGGCTCGTCGGGAACGGTCGACAGCGGCGCGAATCTCTCCAAGACCTCGTTAACGAACAACTTCTGCAGGATGCTCTCGGTCAGGGGCTTCGATTTGAAGTAGTGGTCAAGGCAGTCAATCATCTCGGTCTGGATGACGGACAAGTCCTCGCTCAGGGTCCATTCGCTGACAATCATCGTCTGCAACACCTCCACAGCCATACGTCGCAAGCCTTCGTGAACACTAAGACAAAGCTCGACAATAGGACCGACAAGAGTGGGGACGTATTGAACCTGGTAGCCGCCCATCTTGGACAAGCCATATCGTGCACGCTCGTCACTACTCGTCTCCCAACCAATGGCCTCCCAAGTTCGTCTGAGTAATTCAGCGCCATGTTCCCTCACGTCGCCAGCGATCTTCCAGACAGCTCTCCGCTTCTGCTCAGGGAAAGTCTCCAGAGCCAGAGATGGGCTGCCAACCAACTTGAGCATTGTCGTGAAGAACATCTTCCAAAGTTCCGTGTTGAAGTTCTCGGCATCGTCGGGGTGGGGGAGGAAGGACTCGAGCAGTATGCTAGATAAGTACTGCAAGGTTCGCATCGTGGATTTGTGGTGAAAGATGTAGACGCTCAACCATTCGTGCGGGAACGCCTCACCCATCAAGATGCTCATATGTACGCGAAGGGTATTTTCGAGGAGGGCAGTCAAGTCACCTTCAGTGAGTTCCAGCTGCATGCCGCTAGGGGAATTCGAAACTGCCGACAAAATTGCAGATAGCTCAACCAAGGCTTCGTCAAAGGTAGACTCCTCCGCGATAGGCTTGGATGGGAAGGGGTATGAAGTTGGGAAGAGAAGTGAAAGGCGGCTGCGAGGCTTGCTCGGAGTGGCCACGATAGACAGGTATGAATCAATGATCTTTGGCAGATAGTCGGGGATCTCAGCGCCAAGATTGTCGATCTGACCGGCGAGAATTGAGCAGCAGAGACGGACTTGCTCCTTCCAGGAATCAGTCACGTCTTCATTGTGACCCCAGTGCGGTGCGATCCACCGGACGGTATTGGCCGTCAGAGCTGACTTTTGTTCCGGGTGTGAAAAGATCTCCAACTTGGAGTAGTTGATGATGAGCACCAGCTTGTACAGGACCAGCTTGCCCTTAACAAGCGAACATGAGTCGAGGAAATCGATAGCAATATGCAAAATCTCCTCGGTCGTCAGGAGTCCTGTCAGCTCTGGCAACCAGGTGTGAAAGTGTTGAACAGCCAACGTCTGACTGCCAACAAGGACAGGAGCGTTGCTGCGCATCATGGAATCTAGAGCCTTGAAGATATTCCTCAATTCTCGAGTGAAACCAGGGGCGGAGTGCGAAGTCGTGATACCTATTCCGGCTTCCTTGGCCTTTTGCTGGCCTCGAGCATAGGTAATGAACTTGAGGATATGTCGCACGACCTTGAAGGTGGAGCGGAGCTTCCTCGAAGTCTGGGCCTCGGCAGGCTTCTCCAGCAGGCGAGTGAACGATCTCACAAGACAGGCCGTGGCAAACGGGTAGTTGAAGCGGTTCTCCGCATAGTGATCAACGAGCGGGCCGAGGTTGAAACGTCTGTCGTGTACAATGCCCAGGACTCTAACCAGTGCAGTGAACACAAGGTCTTCGTATTCGTCGTTGCCCGAGTGCTCCACTAAGACAGCGAAGAGGGCATCAAGAACGTCACTAAGGAGCTTGACAACCTCGATTTCGGGAACGAAAATCAGATGCTTTAGTAGCATCGGGATATCTTCCTTGGGGCCCTCTTTCCACTTGAGCAAGCCCAGAACGATGCGATCCTGGGAGAATCGTGTGCTGCATAGGTATGTGTCGACACGAAGGATCGCAAGAGGGCCGGTCACCTCGGAAGAGTGTTCGTCGTTTCCTCTAGCACTCCACTGCAATGACAGATAGCCCCCTTTGCCGGTCGGGCCAGCTTGGGCCGTCGAGGTAAACTCATCCGTCTTGTATAACAGTAGGGCATGTGCTCCGTCTCGGACAAAGGCCTCTTGGTTCCACAGCGGCATGTAGGCAACCGCGAACGGGGCATTCGGCATGTCGGATAGGAACATGACGATGTGCGAAGTGAAGACATCTTCCGGTGGAACGGCGAGTCGGACAGTTTGGCTCCAGTGCTCCCCCCTCTCAACAACCACAGATTTCCACGTGGTAACTCCCTCGGTGTTGGACGAAGAATAGATGCAGTTCGGGATCTTCTCCCCGCCTGTTCTTCGTACCTCCAGTGTAACCTGCAGATTATTTCCATGTACACTCCCGGAGAGAGTGGTGGGGTTGCCTGCATATCGTGACAACAGATTTTGCTTAGAGAGCGCAGCAGTATCGATCGTAACGTAAACATCCGATCTAGCTTTTGTAGGCGCGCCAGAGAAGCCCATCTTGTTTGTTTTGCGAATGCCAGCCAACATGGTTGGCGTTATTTTGACCAGCGCATCCACATCCGGGTGATTGAAGGATTTGAGGTGCACCTGTACTCGTTCGGTTCGGCGCGACTTTTCGTAATGCCCACTCTTGCTGTCCATAAGGTCTCGAATAAGGGTGTCCCATTCCTCGTGGAGGCCCTGCTTCTCTGTTGGGAGTGTAGGTGATGGCGACCAAATGCTCACGACCTGCTCCACATCTTCATCCTGCTTCATGACTGCATTGAGTTTGAGAACACCAATTCCCACCGTCCGTTCCGCCATGTGGAAGCCTGAGCCGCCATCGAACGAGCCGCGCGGTCTAGAGCCGGCAGTGCTGGGAGGTGCGGCGCTGTCTTGGCTCTCGTCCTGGGTCGGCGGGCGACCCTCGGGCTGCTCTGTTAGTGAATCAAGCTTCGGTGTGGCATTCCCTCTCGAAAAGGCTGAACGGCCACTCTTGGACCCCCACATTAGACTTCTTCTAGAAGGCTTGTTGCTACTCGCAGAGGGTGGCTTTGTGGGATCTTTGGAATATCCTCCACCCTGTGACTTGGCGCCAGAACGAGAATCCGGCTTCCCGCTGGGAATAACTTGTTGACTCGAGCGCACCTTGACGACGAGGTATAGCTCGGTTTCTGCTGATACAACGTCGCCAATGTCTTGTGCTGAAAGATCGGCGAATATTGTTCGAGTTTGGCCCGATTTCGCCAGACTTCCTATCGTTCCGCCGGGTGGTATGTCGATGATGAAGCATTCAGTGAGGGTGGCGGCCTGTCCTCCCACCGGCTTTGCTACAAGATAGACTACCAGGGATGTCTCCTCTGCCGATGCACCGGCGAATCCCTTCACGTCAACGAGCAGGTGGTGCAGAGCCGTCGGCTCTACAGTGGGCACTGGTGGCTCGTCCAGAACGCTCATAACAGACTGTAACTTGGTGATGTCTACTACCGAGTCATCGCCCGTCAATACTCGTCCACGGTCGGCGGGGTCTCGGACGATGACTTCCCCTCCACAAAGCTTATTGACACGCACTAGGTCCCATACTGTTTTTTCGCGCAACTTGTCATATTCGTGTCGTGTGAGGACGTTGTGGAGGAACTGTTGTCGGCTGAGGTTGAGTGTCTGGATCAATTGTGATAGCTTCTCCAGGCGAGGGTACTGGCGGGAAAGAAGTAGACCGTGGAGGTTGGTCGAATGCCACTCGCGAAGGCAGCTGGCGATTTCGTCAATGAGCGGTTCGGCCGCCGATGTTGGGGTTTCATCGCCAATCTTGAGCATCGGTACAGGTGCGGCCGGTCGTGGTGCGTCAGGATCGCGCTTGACGGGGATGGAGAGTCGGCCCCGAGTACCGTTGGGAAGTTCGCCGAGCGGTTTGCGCCCCTTGATCTCGATTCTGGAGCCCTTGGATCCTCGTGAGCTTGCTAGTGGTTTGTGACCGTCTTTCAGTTTGGGTTTCTCGGTAGCAGTCGGCGTCAATCCGCTCTTTCCCGAGTCGCTACCGAGTTGAATATCGCCAGCAGCAGCAGCATCGTCGCTTGTGGCATCGTCCAGCTCCTCCGTGTCGTCAGATTCGCCCAAAACCTCGCGGACTTCGACGCAACTTCGGGGAAAGATGCCACTGAAAACGCGGGCTTCAAGTGTTTGGCCCTTGACGGATGTCAGTCCGGCCAGCAGACTGGGTGGGGCTACCAAGTAGCCACGCAACCAGTTGCCATCTGGGGTTTCTTCAATGATGTATAGCTCATCGCCGAGTTCGAGGGGGAGATCGGCCGGGCCCGAGGCGGCGAAAGGATATGTCGCAACGGCGAAGGCAATGCGAGGAAGAGGCTGCCAGGGCATTGAAGGCTCGGTTCGTCGACGACGCGCGCAAAGATGTGGTCGGTATGTGGAAAGGTAGAGGACGATAGATACGTAAACCGATGAACCTATGTCAGATGCACCTTAGCACAGGGTTCCAGATCGCACGACAAAGGGTACGGGAGGATGGTGATCGATCGCGAACCTGTGGGACCCTGGCAGGGCTGCTCGTGGTGTTGAGGTGGCCTCGTGGAGACGATCGGCTATCGCTTCATCAGGAACAATAGACACGGGCCGGGTTCGCGTGGTTCTGGTTGAGCAATCCGAAGAACGTGGTTGCGTGGGGGCAAGCAACGTGGCAGAGGTGAGATAGAGGGCGCAGATCGATCGTTGGGCTCGGGGTCTGGCGTTGGTTGAACTGGGACGAGAGGAGCGACGATATGTTGCTCGCAGTACCGGCGACTACAGTATGTGGCTGCGATCTCGACTCCGGAGTTCGTGTGAAGGCGAATGGAGCAAATGGGTATCCGTATTTTTTTTCTCGCAGGGAAATTCGGCCGGCCTAGGGGAGAAGAAGAGGGTCGGTCGAGGAGGAGGAGGGGGGTCGGTGGGTAGGTGGTTGGACTGGGGATAGGGACGGGGTATCAACAATGAATATGATTGCAGACAAAAGGCGAAAAGAAAGCGACAAAGTCGTTCAAGGGTCGTATCGTGGTTCGGGGGACCCAGGCCTTGTGTTCCTGGTTATTCCCTCTGTGATGGTCATGTATCAGATCAGGACAGCGGATGGCGGGTTCAACGGCTGACTACTGCTGCTTTGGGGAGACAGACAGACAGATGAATCAAGGGAGGAAATGACAGACAGAGGGAAGGGGGAGGGAGGTGACAAAAAAAAAAGGCATGAGAGACACCAAACGGTCCTGGACTACACTACGCTGGGCTACGTTTAGATGTGAAGAATTTCTGGCATGAGGTGACTACGAGCAATGAGAATCGAGCATTGGGACGCGCAGCAATGGTGCATTGAGCAGTAAGGTACATACAATAAGCCCAGACCAACAGAAAGCAAGAGCCCCTGAAGCACACAGCAGGGACAGCCAGGAAAGGGAAGGCACGACTCCCATCTGTTGTGTGTACTTCCGTACCTTTGTCCCTGAGCCTCGCTGTGAGTGGCTGGTGGAGAGGATTGGGGAGAATTGACTTGGGCTGGGCTGAGGCTGGGCTGCGACCTAATTGGTCAGATGGAGTTGAAGAGCACAAGGTGTGGTGGGTCTGTCAGGGTGCGCACGGATTATTCATCAATCAGAGGGGACCGACCTGGAACGGGGTGCAGGAACGGCCGTGGAATCAGGAAGGAATGCAATGAAATAATCCGAGGCTGCACATATGCACCCGCAAACTCCAAGATACCTACCTACCTAGGTAATCAGATAGAATCAATCACATACATTCTGACCTTGGTCCGAATCAATAATGGATAGAAATACTCCGTACGTACCTATCATTCTGGCATTGAGACAAGCACGGAAAGTCCGATGGGGTGACTTGGGATGTTCTCATTGTCGCGACCCAAACTAGAGGCACAAAACATGTTTCATTTCATTCAATGACATGACGTCCCCATGCGACCCCGTCGGAGCCAACCCGCTGCTGCCCGCTGCCCGCAAGAGCAAGTCCCGTCGCGTGTTTGCCTTCAATAGATCCAAGACCAAAAATCATTAGACAAAGACCAGACCGGAAGAAGAGGATTGCGATCGCTGCGACTGGGGTTCCCATCGAGTCAAGCGGAGGCTCAACGACTCGATTGTCTCTCTTTTTGGATGCAATTGTCACTTAACTTCTATGCAAAGCATTCCATCACAGAGCAGGGTATGTCCCATCCCGTCTCAAACCGGTTCGAGCAGAAAGCGACACCCGAACGCCTGAGGAACTCCCGTCGTCAATCAACTCAATCCGCCCAACCTTTATGCCACATTGCCGCAAGCCTCCATGTCTTGGACCCTGGACCCTATTTAAACATCAGCTGCGTCGAAAAGAAAACAACAACATGAGCACAGACAAATACCGAGAGACATATGATGGCGGACAGAGACAACTCGCATGGCCTCATATCCTTATGCCACTCTTCCTATCTTACCTTATTATCGAGTACCTAGCCATGATTAAAGTAGCAGTAGTAAGCAAGTCCATGTACAGTAACATGTGACTGCTGCAGCCCACAACGCCCGTTCGTTGTCCTGGGCAGCAGCTACTGCTTCATCTCATCACGCTTAGCCGCTAATCAACGCCGAGAAAACAAACTTGCAGTAGCTGACGGGTTTTCCAGGGACCGGCCGAGCGTTTGTTGTGGACTTGTGGACTTGTGGCCGCCCGTTGATTCGGTCGTGGCTTGCAATGCAATGCCTTTTCATTGTCTCTTGCCCCATTTGGGAAGATGCCAGTCCACGACTCGAGGTTAGTGGTGCAGGAACGTACAAAGTCGCGGAAGTATCTCTCTGCTTCCTCAAAACTATCAAACAGGTGGATCCGCTCAATTATCAAAAAAGCTTGTGGTTGGTCATGTCCGTGCCATCCTCTGGTCCGAGCGTCGACTGGTGGCTGCACTAGACCTGAAAACGTCTGGGCCTCAGCTTCTTGTGACGGTACGTACCGCATCTGAAGCCCCCGGGGCCCCTCCTTCCCGCGACCGACTTCTCGCACGGCAGCTCTTTCCTCTTGGGAATTCTGGCTTCGACCTTGTCGGCTCTCCTGCCTCAGGCCACAGGTTGGTTCCTGCATTTCATGCCGTCTGCGAACTGCAGGTGCCTGCCCTGGCCGTCACCAGATGAACACCACGCATCTCTCAAGGTTCCTTATGTAATTAATCAAGTGCCTCATGCATCGTGAATGAGATTTCCCTCTTCTCTCGACAAACTTTCAACTTCAGCCTCTTTGTCTTTATCAAACTGGACTGCCATCGCCCCGTCGTTCTCATGCCCCCACGCCTTGGCCCCCAAATCTCATTTCGCACGCGCCAGCGCAAAGTGTTTGCGTCTCCATTGACCACTCATCTTGAGACACCGACATCTTCGAGAGTTCCATCCATAAATCCTACCCAACGACTGACCGTCGTGTCACGCTCGGGCCTCTTGAATACACAAGCACACAAGTTGCGATTGATTGCACTCCTGAGGCGTACGGAGTACAATCTGTTTGTGCCGTGTCGAGACTCAATTATCTCTTTTGCTATGAAGAAGGAGTATATTCCCCGTCTCATTCTCCAGCATTACTGATGCCCAAATTATAGGTGCCGTCTTTCTTTCTCCGGACACTTTGCTCCTCGACGGTGCCGCATCGTCTTCAAATCCGTATCAACTCCTTATTCGACGGATATGCTCACCAAGTCCACGCGTTCCGTAGTAATCGATACTAGACTTCATATCAACGTCCGCACGAGATCCAGATGCGTTCAAAGCGCAGATATCCCGGTGACTTACGATACTGTCGCGCTATTGATGAGACGGACAATAGCCACGATGTCTGCCGCCGATAGCCCCCGGAGGTGGCTGAAAAGCTGGAGCGTTCAGATCTCCCGCCCGGAGCGCCGAAATGAGACAGATGCCGGACCCACTCTACCATCACCGATCGGGAGCAAGACCAGACCGTCTACTCCGTTCTCGACGATGCTATCCATCATCTTTGGCGGCTCTCGGACACTGTTCTCCCAACTAAGACGTGCTGGCCTCGTCTACAGGGAGGCTGAACCAACAAACACCATCCTTATTAGGATGGGCCCTTTTCTATCAGCATGAGATCATGAGACGGCATTTCCGATCACCCGGTGAACCCAAGTGCGGTTGACATCAGTTGATGCCTCTGGGGTCACGCCGCTCTCGGCTCGAGCCGAACACGTGGCGCTGACGATACCGGGAACTCGAGTCTTGACATGATGGTCCCGAGGCAATCTTCTTCAGCGGATCGACGCGGGGGTGCTGCACTATCGAATGCTCCATCGGTTCGAACTCGCCCAGGAACGGCATGGCAAAGCTGCCTCCAAGCATCGGTTTTCAAAAGTCTCAAGGGTTTCCTTGCAGTGCTGTCGCAAGCCATATAGTGTCTTGGCCGCGCGTTCAGTCACCCACTGGTTTGCTCAACTCTTTTCATCCACTTTCTTGCAGCTGGTGGGTTTGTTCCCTTGCGCATTGTGAAGTCATTGACTACGACATCCAGTTGAAAGGGCAAAGGGTTGGCGAGCAGAATACGTGTTCAAACTGAGTACCCCTCTGACTCCCAAATGATCTAACTGGAGACCGTTTCAAGTACCCGCCGGTGCAACAACTTCGGAGCTGTCTCGCAGCCTGGGTCGATCATCTTGGGCTGAGATCTGTATTTCTTCACGACTTGCCAAGGGCAGGGATCCGGTTGTGTACATCAAGCCAGACATTATCCGGGCAGTCTGCACCGCTGCGATGCTGACCAATTCAAGGTCTATATCGACAAGTCCGGAACAACATGAGGTGGCACCGATCATCTTCTCCAGAGTCCACGCGATGGTCTTGAGATGGTCTCGTCAACGTGCATGCCAACTACAACGTCAGACTGCAGCTATAAGGATTACTTCCGGTGAGCAGTTGTTGACGCGAGACTTCCAGCTTCCAGACTGCGTTTCCTCTAGCTCTGAACGTGCTGAGATTTACATGAGCTCCGTCACGACCTTCAAACTTACTCTCAAGAGGTATTGACGATGCTAACGACTCTCTATGGCTCGGCCAGCCAAAGGCCACTGCCACTGAAACCAAAAGTTGTTTTGACCGTTATTCTAGGTTCACTACTCCAGGCTGCAGTGCCCACACTCGCCAGTGGACCGTTGTCTTCTTGAGCACCAAACTTGCACAATGGATTCGGGGAGCTCGCAACGGTCTGGAAGTTTGGCATGTCGACCGACGAGTCGACGATGGAGATTCCCCTGGCCAACGATGATAGGCCATCGTGCGAGAGGGAGGGTCTTCTCCCGTGGTCCAAAGAGTCCGCATCGATTACGTCGCATGCGCCTCCTTCGATACCCATGGCGTGTGAGGGACTGCTAGATCAGCAAAGCGAAAACATCAAGATTCCTTTTGAGCAAAGTCCTCGGTACAGGGATAAAGAAGAGGCAGCCTAACTATGGACATTCGCCTGCAAGCCGTTTGTCCTTGCGAGATTCGCCAACTTCTTCAGAGCGATGATGAAGTACCAATTGGCTATCATGCCATGGGTTATGAGACCTTCCATTGACGTCGATACTTACACCTATCACTGCATGCTCGACCTGCCTCGCTGTTGTTACTTAGCGGCACGTGTCAAATACCAGGAGTTCGATCGTTTCGATTGTTCGCCGCTAGCAGTATTGTTTACTGGTGTGAAGCGGCGCTGGATCAACTGCAGCATGTTCAGTCCCTCCTTGTTGCTTCAGCGCAAGTTCACCAGTGGAGTGCCAGACAAGTCGTTCCGGATGTCGAACTGCCGCTCTCCTTTTAGGTGATACATGTCCTGAGTCCTCGGCCGGGCGGAGTCGGCATGGAAATTTTTCGATGCAACTCGGCGCCGAGGTACGGAGATTTTAGTTGCCGACGCCGGGCCAATGTATGTTGAGGGTTGAATAATCCGGAGGGGGCGGAACGGAGCGGGCGAGCTTCCCGATCTCCTAGAATTCCTGAATAGGAATAGCTACATGGGAAGTGCCCACAAGAGCCGGCCGGGATTGGATATTTCACCGACGGATCAACAGCTCACACGTCAAACGCAAAGCTGGCTTGCTGGCCCTTCAGTATCCGCCCAGCGGATGTCGCGAACTATGGCCTTCGGTAGCATCCGGAGGCGATCTGCAGGGCTGAACGAGTATCCGTACGGGATAGAAGAAATACGCGGGATGGCCGGGTTCATCGCATAAACGCGGAAATGACAAGGCATCGTTGACATGCCTAGCCCGGACTAGGTGAGGTTGCCGAACGACCTTGGCTGATGTTTGCACTGAGACTTGGGGTAAGTTGAATAACGTTTCGCTCTGGGAAGCTGAACAGCATCGTTGGCGTCGACTGCTCAGATATCACGGAAAACCCCCGGCTGGAGATATTTGCCTTAGTCCAAAGAAGCTTTGCTAGGCGACAAAGTCAGCGAGGCAGTACGACCTTATCAACCATCACAAAGCTTTTGTCTCTTTCCCTTGTCAGTCTCGCTAGGAGATCGCTGAGCAAAGGATGGCCCGACCACGGGGTCGGCGATGGCGGATTTGGATGATGTATGCCAAGACATTTTGTCGAGCTCGCATTGAAGGGCGGGTGCGCCGGCCCCTCCCATCATCAATGAAGCCACCCTCCTGCAGAAGCATGCCACCGACCATTGAAATTGAAGTCGGGTTGTCGAGAATTTTAATCTTTGATCTAGGGCACACTGAGTATGGCGGCGGCATCTCTTGGACGCCGACACCCCGTTGTAAGCGTGGGAAGCGTGGGGGAAAGACGATTGGGATTCGGCCAACAGTTTTCTGTCTTACCCATCCACCGCCTTTGTGTACAGCTGTATTCGTACATCTGTGATCTGCCTGCCAGCCAGCTAAGCTCGACCGACGGTGGTGGATGGTAACGTATTCCTTATCTAAGGTGCGGAGACGGACGAAAAGACATACGCAACCTGCAAATTCAGTCATGGACCATGGTGGAGGTCGCGTGTCTGTCAAACGAGACCGGTAACGAACGCCTCCCAAGAATAGGAAAACCCAACAAGCCCCTGAAGGGGGAGGGGGGTGTTATCAGCCATGGGAGCGGAGCGGAATTCCAGCGGCGGCAAGCAGCAGAAGAGCCAATTTCCATGACAAGGGATCTCTAGTCGACAAATTTTGCGATTTTTACGCTGGGTTTTTGTCTTTCTTTTCCCGCCGTTGGACACGAGGGAGGAAAATGCTTGCAGGCGGTGGGCTGTGAACGGACCCGGTCTCCAGAAATCCATGAGGACAAGACGGTTCTGTCGGATGTCGCGGATGCAGGCCAATCCACCATGTTGCCCGGTCCCCTGTCTGATTGGTCGGCTGTCAGCTTACGGTGTCGTGTGCCTCGTCGCATGCCTCCGTCATCTTCGATCCCTCCCCGACGCCCACCTTCTCTCTAGCGGACGCGCGCCTGATTGATAACAGAGCCGCGTCTCCTAAGCGGACGTCGGAGCATTTGTTCCCCCTGACGGGAGTTGAGGGCGAAGCAACGGCATGAAGCCGCAGCGAACTCAGAGAAAGAAGCTGGAGGGCACGGAGGAGGAAACAAAGGAGAAGGGAACGGACCTGGGCTTCGAGGCATGACGGAACAATTGAAGCGCAGGAAGAAAGAGACTTTGTTTCGCGGTTGGACGTTGCTTGACAGAACAAACTACCTACGTCAGGTAGCCAAGCTCAGAGCATGCAGAGCTAAGAGCAATTAACCGCACCGCAACGGTGAGCTGCCAACAACTTGGAGGGAGCACGCGACATTTCGTCTGTTGTCTTCTCTCACTCCAACCATGCAGGAGCTCTCTTACCTCACAAAGGGCGAAAGACGAAGATGTAACCCTTGGCGCTCGCGGCACTTGGCGGGCGATTCGTCCACGTCAGGGATCCCAGCCAGCCCGCCCCAACAGTCCACAACCCGCTATTGGCTACAGATCGGAATTCCGTGTCATGGACAGGGTCACGGGCAGCAGAGCCTTTTCCCACCATCCACTTTCCACTTGGGGCCTTTGCGAGAGGGGACCAGGGTAGGCTCGATTTCGACATGCGGTGCGCGGCTTGAGCTTGAGTTCCTCACTTTCCTCCTCCCCAGCACCTCGGAGCCATGCGGAGCCCGCTGATGTGGACTGTGGCGGGTGGTGGGAGTGCGAACTTTGCGAGGTGGACGAGCCACCGAGCGAGCCTGCGAGGAGCATGCGCATGTGCTGGATTCGTTACCTTACCTTTACGCAAGTGCAAAGGCCACCAACCCGGTAACTCTGTATACGTTCGGTCAAGGTCCAGCTTGGTGGGTTGTGCCGAGCCTGGGCTTTCTGCTGAAAGTGTGCCGAAAGTCCATGTTCTATTACGGTATTATTAACAGATCCATCTGATCCATGCTGCGTGATGAACGTCGCTACCTCGAGCTCCCCCGTTTGTTGTTGATTACCTTTTGACCTTCCCGCTCGACAAGTCACCTTCTTCTCAATCTTGACTACCTACTACTCCTCTGATCAGTATCCATACACTACTCTCACCTTGATCTCCATCAGGAAATCCCCGGTAGCTCAGGAGACATTCAAACTCGCCCCCTTTGACACGGACAATCTTAAACTCACATCCCCGACCTTCCGGTCGCTCTCTCATTGGACCTTGGCCCAGCACACACCGGTGGACTGAGTCTGTCAGATCCATCCCACCCGCACGCATCCAGCCTTCGGGACCTGTGGCCCTTTCCGAACGTCCCGCGCCCTCAAATACCACACGGCAGCAGTCACACTGGAGTAGCCAAGTTCTGCAGTCTCCTCATACCTCTCTCTCACTAATCGCCGTCTCCATCGTCGGCTGTTTATTCCGTCATCAGTCAGTCACACAAGGGAAGAAGAGAAAGAAAGAAAGAATAAAATATGGGTATCGGTGCCGTGGCAGAGCCCTTGGTGGTCATCACCCTCTTGTTTGGAGGAACGTGGTTCAACCGCAACATTGGCGACACCAACGTCTACGACAACCTAGGATGGAAGGGAGCCGGCCTCGACGATGCCGAGCACAAGCGATCTGACGAGCGCCGTTCCGGCAACTCGACCCCGGACTCTGAAGAGTCTCTCCTCCAAGGCGCCTGGAGCTCATCATCAACGTTGACGCCGCAAGAAGAACCGCCGCGACGCTCTCGCAGGATCAAGTTCTTTGGATACCAGCGCATCGTCTCGTCACCAAACACCAGAGTATATAAGGACAGACTCCTCAGCAGAGTCCTCCGCAAGTTCCCCTTCTTGGTTGAGGCATGGTACTGGGCTCTGATTTACTGGGTAAGTGTCAAACTTCTGTAGCTGTATTTCCAGCAGTTATTGCCAGGCCCTTGTCTCTAACACGGTCGAAATGTAGGTATACCAAGTCGGCCGCGCCTTCACGGCGCTCACCCTCAACGAGGGAACCGTCGATGTGGCGCGCAAGCATGCGCTCCAGCTCATTCACCTGGAGCAGCGCCTCCACGTCTTCATCGAGGTGCCGGTCCAGCAGTACTTTTTGCAGCTGCCCACCGTGATGCACTGGATCAACCGCATCTACTCCTTCATCCACATCCCGGGCACCATCCTCTTCCTCGTCATCCTGTACTTCATCACCACCACCCGCAAGCGCCGCGCCGTCTCCGCGAAGCTCGGCGGCACCGAGAACATCCGCTGGAACTCTGCCGGTCCCGCCCTGTACGAGGCCCGCCGCCGCACCATGGCCACCTGCAACCTGCTCGCCTTTGTCGTTTTCACCCTCTGGCCCTGCATGCCTCCTCGTCTCCTGAGCGATCCCAACTACAACGGCCCCGATGCCGGCGAGTCCAAGAGCTTTGGCTTCGTGGATACCGTGCACAGCTCTACCGGCGAGAGCAGTGTGTGGACGACGAACAAGTTTTGCAACCAGTATGGTGAGTTTTTAGCCCCTTCAAATCATCACATTCCGCACCCCCTACGATGCTACGGTTACTGACGAGCGAAAACAAAACAGCTGCGATGCCATCCCTGCACTTCGGCTACTCCCTCCTCATCGGCCTCACCGTCGCCACCCTGCCCCTCCCCTCGATCCGCTCGCGCCCTTGGAAGCGCTTCGCCATCGTCGCCGTCGGCATGGCCTACCCGGCCTTGATCCTGACCGCCATCGTCGCGACCGCCAACCACTTTGTCCTCGACGCCGTCGCGGGCGCCATCGTCTGCGGTCTGGCCTGGAACTGCAACGGCGTCCTGCTCAACCTGCTCGTTGTCGAGGATTACTTCCTCCGCATGCTGCGCATCCACAAGCCGGTCAACTGGACCGATCCCGAAGCGACTGTTGATACCAACGAGTGGAAGCCCAGCACGGTTCTTGATGAGATGTAAAAAAAAAAAAAAAAAAAAAAAAAAAAACGCCTATGAAACGATAAAAATTTTTAATGCCCTCTGTTTCTCTGGTTGCAAACGGCGCATTTATGCTTTTGTTGGTGGGGGGGGGAAGGGATGGATTAGAAACTCTATGGTAATCGCCCATGGCTTTGGATTACATTCTTCATGCGTTATTATTGCATTGAGAGGAAGAAAAAGAGATTTCTTGTCGTCGCGGGAGGCATTATGTGCGATTAGGTGCAAGTCTCGCATGATGTGGCGAGCATTTTGGGTTCAAAGTGGCGGAGTTCCGTGGGCTCTTTTTTTTATTTTCTGTTAACACACGACAATGCCAACCGTCCTTGTTGAGACGACGTGGATTCTTGTCAGCTTGGGATGGATGAGATTAAAGCTATGGTTTGAGATACGAACATAAGGGCAAGCATATAAGCTCATATAATGGCATTTTTCGAAGAAATATGATACCAGTTGTTCACATTTGATCATTATGATTCGGTTATCCCCATATCCATGTGAAGATATCCTGTCGGCTTTGTTTGTGGAGAGGCTTATTGTGCTGTAGATTGCCGAGGTCTTTGCCGCCTTGCCAAGCCGGCAATGGACATGCATTTTAGACGTTTGTTTGCGTTTGCTCGGGCTCTTAGGAATCTCCAATGTGTCTGTCGCTTTGACAGGCTGGTTCGCACGGATACGACAACCGAGCGAACGTTTTAAGACGCTTTTGGTTTCCGGGGGCGGTAAGAACCTTATTTTACACATTTCGATGTCATGCCGGTTGTGTTTAAACTTGTGGCTGGGTTCAAAGTTTCAGTAATTCGTGTGGGTGGTTGTGGTGTGTCTTGTCTTCCCGTTTGGACTTCAGATGATGTTCTCCGTTAAACATCCCCCCAACGAAGCTGGTGAGGGAGGCAACCCCCTGCCCTTGGAAAGCGAGGCAAGAGAGAGGAAGTTGGTTGTAGAAATAAGCCGGTAGTAATAGTAAGTAACCGAGAAAGCCTAGATCCAAAAAAGCTCGGACTGTGAAGCGGTCGGTGGATTTGGATCGACTCTGGGGGGGGGGGAGTAGAGAGGTCTGGGTGTTGAAATAAGATTCTGGAGGGCATGCAAGGTCAGCATTTTGCAGTTTCTGCGTCAGTGTGTCCCAGAGGAAAGGAAGCGACAAGGCAATTATGACAGCGGAAAACGACGTTCGATTGGGCGTTCCGTTCCTCCCCAACCGTGCCAGCCTAGCTTTGGCGTTTTCTGGGCGGGAAAGTTGGGCGGCCCTCCCCTTGAGATGAGCACATGGCGGTGCCGAAGATCCGAGTGTGCGGCGATGGGCGGGGCGGGTCGGGACGGGGGACCCCACTACCGCCCCGGAGCGTTCATGTGGACCGAGAGGGTGTTGGATGGGGCCCACCTTGGATGCCGCTGGCCGCGGGGGCCGTTCCCGCCGAGAGGAATCACGGTGTTTACTTACCCCGCCGCGTCTCCCTTTTCTTCCTTGTTTCTGTTTTTTTCCCGGCTCGGGGGATTGTTCAGCCTGCGGCCGTTAGCTCCGTTTTGCTAGACGACCTCCCCGGGCCCGTGATCGGGTTCGGATTCTATAACATGATGCCGGTTCCCCCCTTAATCAAACGGCCTTGACCGTTGGTGACATTCGGAGGCTTGGCGAGCGAGCCGATGCTGGCATTTCGAGGACAGATGCCCCGAAAATTCTTACTGACCGGGGCAAGACGCGATCAACAAGAAACCTGACGGTGCTAGGCCTTGTCTCCCCACGCTTCCCGACCGGGCAAACTGGGGGAACGTCAATGGGGGGGACCATCATTGCTCAAAGCAGCCCGTTGCAACGTCGTTATATTTTTCCGCCTTGGCGGTGCATGATGCAGTGCATCATCGAGCCCCCCTCCTCTTTTCCCTCCCCGCCAATTCTACCAACATGTTTTCTGAAATTCCTCCATTGAGAGGTGTTCCTGAGTTTTTCGGAGGGTCTTTCTTATCCAACTGGAGAGCTCAATTGAAGGTTGTCGAGGCGCAGTTTCTTGCATGTGCCATGCGCTGCGGATGTCTATCGGCGCACCGGAGATTGGGTGAGGACTGGAGTCGTCATGAAGTTCTCCAGAATTTGTCCATGGCGCGGTTGTACGTTGCGGGCTGTGGTCAAGGATGCTCGATGGTACGGTGTTGCGAAGAGGTATATAGACAGGCAAGTCCGTAGCAGTCAATCAACACATCTGGGTCCCCCACCCAGTGCTCATCCCGTATATTGGAGACTCACCCTTAGACCTCCGGGCTTCGTTTCTACTCTCTTCATTCTTCCCATCCTCCGGCACCCACGATGCGCACCTCAGTCTCCCTCCTCGCTCTCGCGGGCACCTTTGCCCTAGCCCAGACCCCATCCCGCCCGTACTCAACCTGGCTCGCCTCCTCCTTCGTCGCCCGCAAAGCCCCCATCGACGCAGGCTACGGCCCAGCCGTCCTCTACGAAGGCATCGCCCGCGCCGCCGCCGCCGCCTCCAACGCAACCCTCCTCCGCGCCGCCGAGACCGCCGTCTCCTCCCTCGTCTCGGACGCGGGCGTCTTAGAAGGCTGGGACCCGGAGTGGTACTCCCTCGACGACATCCGCATCGGCAACAACCTGCTCTGGTTCTACCAGCGCAACACCACCGCGGGGGCCAAGTACAAGATCGCGGCGGACGGGCTGCGGCAGCAGCTGAACCGGTGGCCGCGGACGCCTAGCGGCGGGTTCTGGCACCGCGCGCCGATATACGAGGACCAGATGTGGCTGGATGGGATTTACATGGCCGACTCGTTTTACGCGACGTATGTCTCGCTGTTTGAGAAGGGGAATACGACGGCGTGGGGGGAGATTGCGCTGCAGTTTGACCTTATTGAGGAGCATACCCGGAACCACACGACCCACTTGCTCGTGCACGGGTACGACGAGGCAAAGGACGCCGTCTGGGCAGACCCTGTGACGGGGGCGAGCCCGTTGGTGTGGAACCGTGCTGTCGGGTGGTACTTTATGGCGCTTGTTGATACTCTGCAGGTGTATCCCAAGAACCTGCCGGGTTATGCGAGGTTGCTGAAGTACTTTGTCACCTTGGCGGATGGGCTGGCTAGGAGCCAGGATACGTCGGGAGGTTGGTGGCTCATCATGAATGAGGGATACCAGACGCGCAAGGGAAACTACCTCGAGTCGAGCGCTGCAGCTATGTTTGCCTACGGTCTGCTGCGCGGTGTTCGGGATGGGTTCCTCGAGGCCAAGTACAAGGACGTCGGACTCAAGGCGTACAACGCGTTGACGAGGGACTTTATTCGGGATGATAAGAATGGACTTATCAGCTTCTCGGGGACGGTGCAAGTTGGCAGTTTGAACTCGAACGCGAGTTTCGAGGTGAGTTGTCACTCTCCGAGATGCCTTGAGAGAGTTGTTTTGCTAATGGGAGTTTCTAGTACTACACCAGCATCCCGATTGTCGAGAATGACCACCGTGGCAGCGGGTCCTTCATGTTTGCCGCGATTGAAGCTGAGCTGGCGAAGTAGATGCGGAAGTTCGGCACTAAGAGATTATCTATTCATAGATCCACGCCTTAGAACAGAAATAAAGCTTCCGCATTTGACGTTGCAGCTCAAATCTAGCTTCGTGTCAAGACTTGTACTTGGTATCATCCAAGATCTGACCCCCCTATAAAAAAAAGCCTTGGGCAGCGGAAGGCCACCTTGACTATGTAACGGTGTCCAAGGGGCTTCTCTCTCTGAGCTTCTGCCCATACCGATACAGCAGGAGTGGGATTGGAACCATAGCCAAACTCACAAAACCAAGCACCGAATTGCACCATCCTAGGCCAAGGTTCTGGTAAAGAGTAGGCCCAACCAGAGGAAGAAACCCACCGATAAGACAGCGAGCCGACGTAACGCAAGCATATGAAGAGGACGCATAAGGCCCAGAGGCGTCAATCAAATAAGCCGAAGAAGATGCGTTGATCCCGACTTGGGCAAAGCCAAACGGCGCCAAACTGATCAAAGGAATGATCCAATGCGTCCTCGCGTACGTCGACCAGCCATACCAGAAAAACGTGACGGGGATGAACAGGACCGGAATGAAGGCGGTTACCAGTCTCATTTCCGGCTGATACAGACCACCATTCTTCTTTGCGAGTCGTACGGCAATGAGGTCTGATGTTTTGGCGAAGAGGAGGAGACCGACTAGACTCCCGAAACCGAGGCCCAGGTAGGCCAGTCTGGCCGTCTCGAGGGACCAGCCATAGACTTCTTGAAAGAATGAGGATGTGGACGTGAGGAGGATGTACAGAAGAGCCGAGATGAAACCCGTCATAATGCAAAATACAGGCACGAGGGGTGAGCGGAACAACATCTTCCAGGGGCGGTGGAGTGCTTGTCCCAGTGTCTGAGGATTCTTCTTGGACGAAGTCCCAAGCTGGTTGTCATGAAAGCTAAGCAAATCCTTCCTCCCCATCTCTTTTCCTAACCTCAACGTCTTCTGACGTAAAATGACATGCGCATTCGTCTCTGGCGCGAACAGGTTAATGAGGACCGTCACGAGGGCAGAGGCAATGAGGAGTGTTCAAAAGATCCAGCGCCAGCCTGCGCGTTGGGTAATGATGCCTCCGAACAAGGGCCCGAGTACGGGTCCGAAAAGAGACCCAGTCGTGATGATGGCGTTTGGGATGCCGCGCTCATGGACGTCGTAGAGGTCTGCTAGCATCCCTCCCGCGACTGAGAAGCAGGCTGATGCTCCGAAGCCTGAGATTGTGCGGAACGCGAGGAGACATCCGATGTTGGGTGACAGAGCGCTGCCGACGTGGGTGAGGGTGTAGAAGATGTTGGCGTAGTAGAATACTGGACGTCGACCGTAGAATTCACTTAGTGGTGAAAGAAGAAGAGGTCCAACTTTGAGAGATTGATGAGCATATGTACAAGAGGTAATTGTGTGTGTGGGTTGCGAAAGTAATGAAGGCGCTTTGACTCACGAGGTAGCCAAAGACGTATATAGTTGTGACCATGGAAGATACTGTGGATGAATCATTGTGAAACTCAGAGTCAATGCTCGAAGCAGCCGGTGCGATGATTGAGGATGTTAAGAAACTATCAAAATCACGGTGTCAGCTATTGGCTTGCATGTTCCTCCAACTAAGTGAACTCCCGAACCTGAGTACTATCATGAAGCTTAATAAGGCTAGAATGGTCGATTTTCTTAATGCTGGGAAGTTTCTACATCATGTTAGCATTAATTAACACAGATTTCGAATACTTTTGTGTCGCAAAAACGACGCCGTTAATTACGGGCAGCAATTAACGGCATATGTACCCTACGACATTTTGCAAGTCGTTGATATGCAGTTCTCACCTCGGATTCTGGGTGTCGTGCTGGTCGTCCCATGCTACGACTCCCCTGTCGAGGTCAGACACAGGATCGACTCGGCAAGATGGTTGGGCGAATTGACATCAACAACACCCATTGTATAGACTGGATGTGAATTAAGCCTAGATAGATGGTACGAGAGGCTCTAGGATAGATTCCTTCCTAATTTCTAAGATCCCTCTGAAATACCTTACTTTATTCCCACTTAGACTAGGCTCACCCGATCGGCCGATCGGTCGAAATGGTGCACGCGGGGAAACCTCGGGAGGCGGGCGGCCGGGCCTCGAATACTATCATCATTGTTCCAGTCAGTATGAGTCTAGCTCGTAATTCAATTTCCCCAGTTCAACTGACCGACGACAACTCACTTCTCGCAACTCTCGGAGCTATCCGCAATGAGCGACCAAAGACGGCTAGGACTCCGAGACCGTCCTTCCTGCAAGCCCTGCCGGGATCGCAAAGTCCGCTGCAACCGGAGGCTCCCTTGCTCGCAGTGCACCCGTTTAGAGCTCTCGTGTGTTTTCGAGGCCAGAACGAGGAGAGCACCTGTCAACGCCCGATCAATCAAATCCTCTTCACCTGCCGACTCGAACGAAGCGCCTTCTTGTGAAAGCACTGCAGATCGTCAAGCTACTGGCGGATCATCTTCCCATCTTCCAACAGGGCAGACGATACAGCCGACGAACCAAGACGTTCTTGATAGACTTGCCCGAGTTGAAGGGCTATTGTCCCATCTTGTTTCCACTCTTCGTAATGGAGCCCCAGTGAGAGAGTCGGGTGAGCAGAGTCAACATGCGACGGACCCCGTGCCGGTCCCACTGATCCTGCCATCACAAGAAGTACTCGTCGGAGATGGAGAGAGAGGAAACTTTGTCGATGATTCAGTTTTTGTTGGACTATTCCTTGGGGTAATCTTTGGAGAAACTTCTAGCCTGAGAACCACATACTGAAATTTCTTAGGACCCGCCTCGACAGCGGCCCATCGCCGGCACCAAGACAAGAGATCCTGTGACCAACGCAACGACTCACCATATATCTCCCCATTATGGCATAGCAGCCACTGACGTCTTTGGATCAGATCCGGAGATCATCTCAATAGCTCCTCACGCTCTTACCAGGCTATGGATCATCTACCTACAAAATGTTGATCCTTTGATGAAGATACTCCACGTACCCACGATTCAACCAGTCATGCTCGGCGTGGCAGCCAAACCTCAAGGAGCGGACAACATGACACTGGCTGTTCTTTACGCTACTGCCTTTGCGGCAACAACCAGTATGTCCAGCACCGAGGTCGCAACGCAGCTAGGTGTAGAGAGGTTGGTTCTTCTTCGCCACTTCATGCGGGAGATAGACGGCGCATTCACGAGAGCTCAATTTTTACTCTATCCTAATGTCCAGGGGTTGAAAGCTCTGGCAATATACTTGGTATGACAATGTTGTTCTACCGTCAATACTCTGTGACAAAGCTGATCACACAGATAGACGGCGCTGAGGACCTTCGACACTGGTCGAACCATCTGGACACTCACCGGCCTCGCCATCAGAATAGCAGAATCCCTCGGCGTGCACGAAGACGGCTCCCGTCTCGGCCTGGGTCCCTTTGAGACGGAAATGCGGTGTCGTCTCTGGTGGCATCTCACCGCCCTAGACGCCACAGCGCCCGAAAGCCACGGGTTCAATAACACAATGGCCGATCGCGGCAAAATCTTCCGCTTACCGCTGAATGTGAAAGATACCGAACTATGGCCCCAGATGGAGAAGGCTCCTACCGGAAGAGACGAATGGACCGAGACGACCTTCTCCATCATGAACCTGGACCTCTGCCGCAACCTACGCCATGCAGTCTCCGCTGTTGGCGCGGCGGACGAGCAGACGAGGGAGGCCAAGATCCAGCAGACGGAGTCGTCCATGGCCCACCGCTGGCTCCGATTCGCACCTAAGAATAACGACGTATGCCGCGCCGCGGAGTCCCTACTTCGGATATCTGTAGCAAAAGCGCGATTCATCTTGATGCTTCAGGCTTGGCTCTCGGCACCGATGGAACAAGAGTGCAGGTATCGGTATCTGCCTCATTCTCTATTTACCACTGCTATTGAACTGCTCGAGCAAGGGTATCTGCTACAGTCGGGGAAATTGTTCCCTGGCTTCGCCTGGTTCTACCAGCAGCATCCGCAGTTGTACGCCCTGTTCCTCACGCTCCGCACGCTCATCGATTCGCCTGAGCGAGGGGAGGCGGAACGCGCTTGGCTTGCTGTGGATAACTACATTACCTGTCTCGCCGACTTTGAAGAAGCGAATGAGCGAAGGGGAAAGAAGAGCTGCGTGTGGGCTGCCATGGGTCCGTTGCGAGATCGGGCGAGGGAGTCGTTTCGACAGCTCAAGAATGTGGAGGAAAAGTCAACATCGGCAGCAGCAGCATCTCCAAAGATGTCGTCTGGGGAGAACTACGGCGTGGGACCATCACAACCGTGGAACGCAATTGCGCTTGAGCCATTGGCCTTTGACAATATCCTTACGTGGCATGATTTCTCGGATCTATTTAATGTCATTTGAGGTGAAAGAATGCACAATCTAGCATGCTCAGTGCACCGACAAAGGATGTTTCTAGAGTCGTATGTGGTCAAAAGTAAATGTATTTGGAACCAAAGTTTCTCCTCCTTCAATTGTCTTTGCTGAGCGGATGCTCCAGGTCGCCAAGAAACACTAGAAGTAGATAGGGCGAGTCTCCACTACCTTGTCAGAAGGCAATGCCCAATCTATCTTCAGCACGTGGATTCATCTTAGTCTAGACCACCAATACCCCGCCATTATACTGACCGTTGTGAATGACGCTCAACGCGTGTATCCTGTCTCAGGCTTTAGCGCCGTAAGCCCTATGTTCTCGCACCTTAGCATAGGCGAGTTTTTGAATCCAGTCCTGCGGCTGAAGAGAGTCCTGATCAACGGACCCAACGCTACTCGCGCATATTTCGCAGCTTTGTGGAGCTAAAAAAGATGTGGATCGTGGCGGCGATGTCTTCAGGATTCGTTTCCTCTTTCTAAAACAACCTTGATTATCTCTTACGACGAAGTCTGATAAGAGCCAGTCCAAGGTTTGATGAGGGATCGTAGGATTCTACCAGTTTGCACGCGGATTCAGATTTCGCAACGTCTCATTGCCAAGCTATATAGTGTCTTTTTTCAGATCTCAATGATTCATGACGCTGCACGAATAATCATCAACATCACTAGAAATATTGTTGATTTGATGAATAAACAGTTGCCTGGTGTCTCCTTCTCGCAACGCTTCCCAAAGTAGTTAGGAGGAAGCATAGTATGTAAGCTGCGCCTTGGTAGTACCTTGCCACCAATCAATCCAAATACGTTGGGCTAAGCGGCTTTCTTCCCCTGGTCTCCTCTCGATTAACATGCATATGGTAATGAGACAATTCACACCCAATCATTTGCCTGTGTCAAGCGAACTTGCACTGGTGCCCATGTACCTCCCTCTCAGCTGGCCACATGGACGCTGCACGTGTTCGTTAGTCGTCTTACACACCATCTTTCGTACTTCCAAGTAAAGAGAGCCGTAAATCCTACTTGTGGAGAAAACGTGGTGGATCGATAAAAGTACGGTGGGGATCAACTTTTTGAGTCCGGACTCCGAGAAACAGTTGGCAATGATGTAGGCAAACATACAGGGTCACGGTGACAGGCAAACAAACATGTTGTTCGTTTTTATGGAACAATGAATTAGTTCCTTGCACTTGTTCTGCAGGCTGATGTTGGTGTAAAAGAAGGCCCAATCACTCATTGGGTACCAACACGCTATTGAGTGCATCGGTCTTTCGCCTACATATGGCTCTTAAAGCGAGCCACATGCCCAGACTCTTGGAGTTTAGGTGCGAATGCGAGTCTCCAACGGCATGAAATACCGGCCGTAAGGTCACCGCGGCCGCACGTTCCAGCAGCATTCACATGAACATGTGGCATGTTCGGACAGGGAACAACGATAACAAGTTTACCAACGGACAAATGGGATGTCTCCGCCATGTTGGAGCGGCGCCAACGACGATCATGGGCCGCGTATGCAGGTCGGGACGGACAGCATGATCGTGACCAGGTCTGGCTCATCTTGGTCTCGATCGAGCACAAATGTGATAGGCCGAAACGTACGAAGTGCCACTTGAACCACTTTGCGTTGTGTTCAAGACCATCGAAAGTCCGAGGTTCAGGCACCCGTCGTAACATGAATCTTATTACCGGTCTCGAACCTACCACCTCTTGAGCTCTTTCTACAGTCATCACTATTCTTTACACAAGTTCTTCCCACACGGAGATACCGGGCTGGTGTACACCCAGAAACCAGTTGGTCCCAGGATGGCAGGCCGGCAGGCCGTCAGCAATGGGTAACCCAGAATGTGACATCTCACTCTCAACGACCCAATTTTGTCAGAAATTCCACGTTTGGCGCCACTGCATTCCCCAATACGCAGGCACCGGGTCTCGCAAAGTCGAAGGGGGGGAACACATTGTGTCACCCATTCAGCCGTTCTGCACTCTTTCGCACGTAATAAGTGGGCGGTATGGGGACTCGAAGAAATGTAGCCGTCCGCGTGGCCTGAACCTGCAGACATTCATGTAGGACAAATGCAAGGTTCTGTCCAACGAAACAGTGTAGAAGGAAAGAGACGGTGTATATATCCCTAAGCACAGTCCACCTTTGTACGCACTGCGTATCCGTACTTGCTTGTTGCTTTGATATTACCAATCATTACCGCCAGAGAGGCAACGAAACAATGGGAGTCCCGTCAAAGTGCTGCCGCTCTCCTCCCGACATGGAACTCGACGACGGTCTTAGCCGCTTGGGCTGGCCGAACCCCCGGGTCCACGGCCGATGCAACCCTGTCTGATATCTGGTACCCTGGAAGGAGTACTAGTGGAGAAGGTTCTCAGCAGGATAAGGATGCATACCAAAGAGATGGTTGTCCAACATAGTTCGGACGATCGGATTCGGATATGGGTTTATCTGGAAGGTGCTGCCACTCTTTTTCTCCTTCCTTCTCGTGAAGTAAGTAAGGGTCTGCTTAAAGTATATACAGAAATATTTGCTCCGACTACACCCCATACCTGCAGTATTCACAAACATCTTCAGCCAGACCAGCCCTACTTTTTCCTCCTACCATTTCCTCTTTCTCTCTTGTACCATACTCATCCGGCCTAATCGAGACTGGACTTCACCCCAACACAAACATTCCGATAATCGGATTATTGGAGGTGGACAGGATGGAAAATATTCTCGACAGCCACCCCGAGTATGTATCGACTTCGCGATTAGATGATCTGCGCGCCACCGAGTATGGCTACCTCGACGAGCAAGACCACGTCTACCTCGACTTCACAGGCGCAGGACTTGCCGCGAGATCGCAAATTCGAGCCCACGAGACCCGACTCCAGCAAACCCTCTGCGGCAACCCGCATTCCATCAACCCGACAAGTCAATCCGCCACTCATCTGGTCGAGCAGGCAAGAGCCCGCGTCCTCTCGTACCTCAATGCCTCTCCGGATGAGTACACGGCGATATTCACCCCAAACGCAACAGGCGCCGCGAGACTCGTTGCAGAATCATATCCCTTCAAGAGACGAACCAGACTAGTCCTCACATCCGACAACCACAACTCCATCAACGGTCTCCGAGAATTCGCACGCCGAAAAAACACACGAACCACTTACGTTCCAGTCCGCGCTCCGGGGCTGAGGATAGACCCGTCTGACCTCATGTCAGCACTAAAACCTCGCAGAGGTGGCTTATTCGGCTCAGCTGCAAAACTAGCTCCCCCACGCAGCAACAACGACGACCAAAAATCCAAACAGAGAGGTCTATTTGCATACCCTGCCCAAAGCAACTTCAGCGGCGTCCGTCATCCGTTGTCGTGGATCAGCGTTGCGCAGAAGCAGGGGTATGACGTGCTCCTCGATGCGGCGGCCTACCTGCCGACCTCCAGGCTCGATCTATCCGCATCATCCGGCGTTCAACCGGAATTCGTCATTGCGAGCTGGTACAAGCTGTTTGGGTATCCGACCGGCGTCGGCTGTTTGATTGTTCGACGCGATGCGCTGGCAAGGCTCGCAACCTCGAGGCCTTGGTTTTCGGGTGGAACCATCACAGCGGTATCAGTGGGGATTCCGTGGCATGTCATGGCGCCGGACGAGGCTGCCTTCGAAGATGGGACCGTCAACTTCTTGTCGATACCAGATGTTGCTGTTGGGCTGGATTGGCTGGAGGGCATCGGCATGCCGTTAATCGATACTAGGGTCAGGTGTCTTACCGGCTGGTGCCTCGATCGTTTACGGAATCTCGAACACAGTGACGGGTCGCCCATGGTCAGGTTCTACGGGCCGACGGATATGAAGTTGAGGGGTGGAACGATCTGCTTCAACTTCCTGGACATAGGTGGAAGGGTCGTTGACGAAAGACTGGTTGCCAGAGAGGCCTCTGTCGAAAACATATCACTGCGAACGGGCTGTTTCTGTAACCCTGGTGCTGGCGAAGCTGCCTTTGGTCTGGACAAAAGGGCTTTGTTATCGCTTACTACCATCCGGGGCGACTCTCTTGACTACCATATCAGGCTTTCAGCACCTGTAGGTGCAGTGCGGATCTCGTTTGGGTTCATGACGACCGCAAAGGACGTGGATCGATTGCTGGAATTTGTCAAAAGGAGATACACAGATAGGCTGACGACTGCTAATGGTCTTCCGCCATATGAACATTGCTGAACATAACTCCTACCCAAATTAAACATATTTTGTTCAATGACAAATTCACCCACTGACATACAATTGATCACTTAACAAGATGCATGTAGTCAAACATGGCCCCGGCATATGATTCAGCCCCCAAGTTCGGGCCCTCCCGCCCTGCGTGAAAAGGCAGATCTGATGGCTTTCAAGACAAGGTCATCTCAAGAGCTTTGCCACGCATGGGGGCGGACGCCTACCTTACTCTCTGAAAGCTGTGCCGCAAAATGGAGCGTTGAAGGCCAAGGCCAACGTGGGTAACTCAATCCTCGTTGAATGATGCAAGCTAGATGAGCCTTCCTTATCGACCTGTAGCTATTAAGAGCCTTATGAGTGGCTGACCAATAAATGTATTGATTTAAGATATGAGTGATGCATTTTCTTATCACTAGCACCTTGATTACCATCATCCTCATTGCGGGGGTTTTGAGGGATTACACAATGATGGATGTGGGCATGAAAGGTAAAAGATAACACTAGAGATCACAAGGTTCACAACAGTTCTGAGACCAAATTCAAGACAAGCTGAACAGCAGATCATCTTGTCATCCACTTACTTTGTTTCACTGAGGGTAAAGGCTGTAAAATAACTGCTCTCCTGGGAAAAAACAAACAGCCACATCGTGAGCTGCTTGCTGACAGACTGCTGCAGCTTCATTGGCCCCCACACTCTCGCTGCTGAATCAATTGAGCAGTCCCGCTGAAGAATAAATCCCGCGAATCAAGCATATTCCCATTTCGTACACGGTGGAGTAGTCGAGCAGGGATGTTGCGTGAGCGGGCGTCCCAACCACGCCATCACGGCGCAACTCCACGTCCACAACTCTCGATGATGCTCAGTAATCTCCAGCAGGATTGAGAGACAACTGATCCAAGGGAAGAGATGTTTCAAAACCGAGAGAACTCATTGGCAAGGCATGTTTGTGGCTACTGCAGCCACGAGGTGGCATCAAGTAGCATGGCAAACATTGTGGGGGAAATCGCTCTCTGTTGGGTGCCATTGTGGTGTAACTGTATGTTGGAACCAACATAGCCACCGAGGCAGTTGCGGTAAACGGACAGGGTATCTCCCTCTGTACGACCCACAGTCCACGGAGAATATCTCTGCGTTTTTTCTCTCTCTGATCTTATCTTTGTCGCGATTTCGCACATAAAATATCCAACTATCCTACCCCGCATCACTGATCGACCCAAGCCGACAACCACCAGCCATACATCCAGAGTCATGATGAAGTCTTTGAAGCTAACTTGGCACCATGAGCTACTAGCTTTAGGCGTTCTATCGTTGCTAACGACCCTACGCGACTCCTCTTTGCAGACTGCCGCCCGTTATCTGATCATTCTGCTCGTGGCGCGGCACATTCTCAGGCCACTGTACTACGTCTTGCTTTACCCGTACTTTTTCTCCCCCCTCAGACATCTCCCAGGACCAAAGGCAAGGAAAATCACCCAATTCACAGAGACGGATCATTCCCTAACATACGCAATAGGACCACCACTTCTTGCTCGGCGAGCTCATAAACCAGGCCAGGTCAGGAAACCCCATCGAACCTTATCTCTCATGGACGCGCCAATTCCCAGATGAGCCGCTCATCAAGTTCACCGGCTTCGGCAACCAGGACTGCCTCCTCATCAACAATCTCGACGTCTTCAAAGTGGTCTTTCAAACAAAGAGCTACTCTTTTGTCAAGGCGCAGGCAAACACTCGCATCATTATACAGGTCACGGGGGTAGGAGTAGCGTTTGCTGAGGGAGAGTCGCACAAGGCCCAGAGAAAGTTGTTGTCGCGTAGGCTCTTCCCATGCATTTCATGCAGCAGGATCCCTCATAATGTTCATAAATACTGATGAATGGTCAATACATCCTTGTAGCCTCATTCTCTCTCGCCAAAATCAAAAAGGCGATCCCAGTCTTTAGGAGCAAGGGGGACCAGCTCGCCCAACTCTTCGATGATGAGATCAAGTCTCAACAGGGTATCGTAGACAGTAAGTCGGCCTCAATTAACCCGATCTAACAGTGTCAATCTCGCCTCAACAAACCGTTGCTGATCTCATGGTCTATGCGTGTAGTGTCTCAAGCCTTCGGTCGCGTCACGATTGACATCATAGCATGGTGGACTCTCGGCGTCGACCTCAACGCAACCCTAACACACTCCTTCTTCCACCAAGCCTACCACCGCATGTTCGACCCGACCCTCTTTGGCGGCGTTCTCATGGTCATGAACGCATATCTCCCGGGAGTTCGCTCGCTCCCCTTTGAAGAGAACAAGATCTACAATGCCTGCAACAAAGGCGTCCGCACGCGGATGCGAGAATTCATCCGCGAACGCTTCGCCGAGATCGACGAGGTCGGCGGTGCCGAAAAGGCCCACGAAAAGCCCGACCTCCTGACGCACATGATTCTCGAGTCGAGATCCATCGGCAAACCCTGGTCCGAAGACGAAATCCTCGAAAATTGCCTCAACATGATAGTCGCAGGCCACGAGACCTCCGCCACGACGCTGACCTGGGGAACGCACATCTTTACGCTCTACCCGCACATCCAAGCCCGGGCCAGGGCCGAAGTCCTAGCCCTCCTCAGGAAAACTCCGAACCCGGACTACCTCGACCTCGAGCAAGGCCTCCCCTTCATCGACAACCTCACCCGCGAAATCCTCCGCTTCTACGCCCCCGGCGTCTGCGCTGCCCGCGAACCGCTCGAGGACATCACCCTCGCGGGCACTTTTGTTCCTAAGGGCACGCCCGTCTACATGTTCCCCGCCGTCATCACCAGGAACAAACGCATATGGGGCGACGACGCGGACGTGTTTGATCCGGACCGATGGGACCGTCTCACGGGGGAGGCGGCGAGCAGCCCCCTCGCATTCGCGACGTTCTTGGCTGGCCCGAGGCAGTGCATCGGAAAGGGATTCGCGCTGATTGAGATCAAGGTGCTCTTCATGGAGATTTTGAGCAATTTCAAGTTTGAGGCCGCGGTGGATCCCAAAGATATCGAGCTTGTTAATCCTAGTCCTGTTCTAAGGCCCAAGGGGGGGTTGAAGATGAAGGTTCGTCGGTTGGAGGCGAGTGATTTGGAGGATGCGGCCTTGTGATGAATCCCCACCGTCTCCCGTAGGTGTGTGTTTATGGCCCTTTTTCTTGTTTCAGTGCGAATTTCTCTGGTAGATTGTTGATTTGAGATACTGGTAGTCATAAATAGCCTTCATTTGAGTCCCGATGCGAGTGGCTGACAAGATGATCTGCCACCCACCTTGTCCCGAGTTATTACTGATTTCCATCCTATCATCAAGTTCATCATCCAAGGGAAAATGAACTAGGCTGAACTAGAAGTAATAACAGTAATACATTGAAGAATAATCATGAGGGGATAAGAATGAAAAGAAAATCATAGTGGGGAAGCAGGTTATTTACTTTGCGCCGGCATTATGACTATCTTGTCATCCACATGCCAAGCCACGTTTTCCATCAGCTCAAAGACTTCCCGTCTCGTCAACGAAGACTTGAGGTGGAATCCATTGCACACTGATGTTAAATGAATCACAAAAGAGAGATTGAACTACTTCTGCTCTAGCGTCATTATATTGCAGCCGATGGGTGTTGATCTGGTTGCTGCGCTTCGAAAATAACGTCAAAACAACCTTGAGTTAGTCAACAACTGACTTGATACCGTTACACATGCAACGTCTATTGCGAACGTTCAGAAAGGATTGACATATCAACTACCAGTTGTTGCAGGAACCATTTGATCGAAGATTAGTCTCGGACGGCCGAATCAAAAACAATCCCCAACAGCTAGTGCGCCCTTCGCTTGGCGTAGTTGCAAGAAGGGACCAATGACTCACCCCCACTACGACTAACACCGAGACTCTAAATACCTTTATCCACCACATCAACAAAACCTCACCCGCCCACCTCGATATCATCAGCTCATAACCCGGCAAGCTAGATCCAACTTCAGTCCCTCATCACCCTTCAAAGATGGCCTCGCCCTACACCGTCCTCGTAACAGGCTCTGCCGGCCACCTCGGCGCAGCCCTGATGCTCTCCCTCCCGTCCCTCGGCTACGTCCCCCACGGCATCGACATCCTCCCCTCCCCGACAACAACAACAGTCGGCTCCATCACAGACCGCGCCCTCATCGCCTCCCTCCTCGCCAATAACCCTTCCATAACACACATCGTGCACGCGGCAACCCTCCACAAACCCCACGTCGACTCCCACCCGAAATCAGCCTTCATCGACACAAACATCACCGGCACCCTCATCCTCCTGGAAGAAGCCGCCGCCTGCCTCGGCAAAACGACAACCCCCCAGTCTCAGTCACAGTCCCAGTCACGCATCAAATCCTTCCTCTTCATCTCAACAACCTCAACCTTCGGCCGCGCCCTCGCCCCAGCAAAAGGCCACCCCGCCGCCTGGATCACCGAATCCGTCACGCCCCTCCCTAAAAACATTTACGGCGTGACAAAATGCGCCGCAGAAGACCTCTGCAGCTTAGTTCACCGCCAAACATCCCTCCCGGTCCTCGTCCTCCGCACATCCCGCTTCTTCCCGGAACCAGACGACGACGAGGACCGCCGCGCCGCCATGCCCGACGACGCAAACTTAAAAGTGTGCGAGCTGGCCTACCGCAGGGTCGACATCGCCGACGTCGTCTCAGCCGTCGTGTGCGGGATGGAGAGGGCGGAGGGAATTGGGTTCGGGAAGTATATTATTTCTGCGCCGCCGCCTTTTGCTGCTGCTGCTGCTGCTGCTGCTGCTACTACTACTTCTGCTACCACAGACGACGACGATGAGGCCGCCGCTGCAGCCCGCTCGATGCTTGTACGCCGCTTGGACGCGGACGCGGGCGCCGTCCTCGCGGAGGTCGTGCCCGGGTGCGCGGCCGTGTTTGAGAAGCTCGGATGGAGGTTCCTCGACAGGCTGGATCGGGTGTACGATTCCTCCAAGGCCGTCAGGGAGCTCGGATGGAGGCCTCAGTGGACGATGGAAAAAGTTGTTGAGAGGCTTGCGAGGGGGGAAGATTGGAGGAGTGAGCTGACGTACGAGGTTGGCAAGAAGGGGTACCACGCCGTGTCGACGGGCGTGTATACTTCGCGTGACTGAATGCCGAACGCATGATGGCTGGGTCATGATAAAGTAAGGAGGCAAGATGTGGTTGAAGACGGAAAAATTACAGGTTCTGGTATTGAAAGGTCTATGTATGCTTTCATGAAAATATCCAACGAAAATGTGGAAGAAAAAAAAAAGTAGATGGGTACTCGAACAATCTCGCCAACATGCTATGCAGCGCACGCAAAGTCTATACCATAATCTCCTCCGTCACGATCCCCAGATCTCTCCCGAGATCGAGGATCTGTGTCGCAACCGCCTCCACGTCCCACGTCTTGATGGGTACGCGATGAGCTCCATCCCACTCGACCAGCCGCGTCGTCCCCGGCTGGCAGTACTGCTTCAACAGCACCCGGTGATGGTCCAATCCAGCATCCTTCATGCCGTGGACGTGAATAGTCGGCAGCTTCAAGACATGATCTGTCCCAGAGCCCGTCGGCCAGTCGTGGAACTCGACGCTCGCCTCGGCTGCATCGCCAACACCCTGCGGCACCTCTAACCTGTCGTCAAGCACAATCAACGGTGCCCTGCCCGCGAGCAGCACGCCAAACTTCCAGTCTGCAGAGCCGCCCGCCGATGTGATGCGCTTGCCGTACTTCTTCTTCAGCTGTTGTTGTGTGTACATCAAGCTGGCACTGATTTTGGCACCCTGGCTGAATCCCAGTAATCCCACCCACTCCCCCGTCGCGCCGATAGCGTCGTCGTCGTCCATTGCCATACGCAGCTGGAAGTGGATCTCGGCGGACGCCGTCTCGGCGTCTACGGCCTGGTGCTCGGGAAGCCAACGCAGCCAGCGGCGGAAGGGGCCATAGTCGCCGTAGACGGAGACGATGTCGTGGTGCGGGGCGCACATGAAAGGTCCGTCGACGAAGACAAGACGGAAGCTGTTCTTGAGGCGGGAGATGAGGGCGCGGCACTGGACCTTAAAGACGGAGGCGTTGACGCCGCCGCCGTGGAGGCAGAGGATACGCGGGAGGTGAAGGGTGGGGTCAGGACCCGGCGGCGGCGATGTTGCGCTTGGCATTGTGTATGTATGTGTATGTAAGGGCCGCTTGTTTGGCGCTTAAGGCGTGTATATGTATGCGAGTAGTAGTAGTAGTAGTAGTAGTAGCAGTAGTATAATTCCTTTGACGAAGTCTCAGTGCTGCAGGGCAAAGACAAGAGCCAAGTTGTTTGAAGTTCGGGACCGAAGAGTGAGGATTCGGGTGCTTGAGAAGAGGGCGAAGAGCGAAGATAAACGCGAGAGCAGGAGGGAAGAGAGATGACGAGAAGTCGAGGAGAATGATAAAAGGTCGGCCCCTTCTTTACTCTAATCAGAGGCAGGTGGAGGGAAGAAGGGAGCGTTGGCCAGCTCTACCTTGCGCTTGCGCTCGTTCACGGCTCTCGACTCTCTCACTTTCTCCTGGACGCTTGCCCGCTTGCCCGCTTGCCCGCCCACCTTTTGCGCAAGGGCAGCAAACAGAGCGCCAATGTGGGGCGATGGATTCCTTTGTCCGTCGCTCACCGGCCGGAGCTCCGACACACAGGCACTGGCGCCGACTCTCTTCACTTGCTTGATTGATTGCCGACAGTCTACTGACCCCGAAGAGAGCAGATAATACGGGGGGGGGGGGGAATGGACTTGAAGATCGAGCAAAGCCTGTCCCTTTCTGGTCGATAGTCAGGCTCGTTGGCGCGAGTCAAATATCCGCCCCCGGGTAGCCGGGGGGAGAAGTCTGTCGTACAGAGAGTTCAGACAGGGCCGCCCTCAAAAAAAGGACAGGAAGACCGTGGGGCGGGATCGTCTCGGTGTGTGTGGATGACAACTCCGCCGGGAAGTGGATAACTCGTCCCAACGGATTTCTCTCTCTGCGGGAAACCCTAAAAGGAGGGCCGCCTTGTCAGTGTGATGCGGAATCTCGTGAGCTTTACCGCAATAGAGGTTCGTCTCTGTGTTGTGCCTCGCAAGCTCGATCAAACTTTTGTAAAAACGAAAGAAAAAGGACGACAAGCAACGCTATCAGACCCAGCGGTATGGTCAAGCAGCTGCAGCGAGCGCCGAAGATCAGATTCCAGCAGCGAAGATAAATAAAGGATGAGACTAGGCAGAGCAGGGCGTCTCTAGTCTGTCTCCTCCCAAAGTTTGCTTGCAATTGTGGATTTGACGCGCGTGATTCGGAGTTGGAGGGCGTCGGGATCACTCTCTGGTCGCTGATTGTCAGCCCTTTCTTATTTTCGCGTCAATAGCCCGGTCGTTGGTAAGACGGAACTCGGTGTCAGGTTGCCCTCTGTGCCTGTGTTCCTGTTTCTAGTTCCCACGTCGACGGACAGGTTGGGAGACGTCCGGGATTCCCACTCTTGGCGAGGTCCGGTCCGAGACCAGTCAACCACATTTCGCATCTGGCTGGTTGATACCAGCCTGATTAATTAACCGGCGGTGCGAACTGGAAACGCAACGAAATGTCATTAAACCGAGCATGTCGTCTAATAAACTTCGTCTTGGGAGCTTCTCGACCGTCGCAATGTTGCAACGAAAAGCCATAGCGAAGACGGGAACAAGAATAGCCATGGTGGTTCGGGGTCCGATCACCGAGGGTTGATTCCCGACTAATCAATCCAATGGCATTGGTGGGTGTGTGTCTCTTTCGCCGAAGAGGCAAAGTCCGTCGAGGTCCGGACACAGACAGATAACTGCTTATTTAGTCACTCGTCCCCCCCTTTTCCTTTTTGGTTGGATTCAGATCAGACTGATAGCCTGCTCTCTTCCGTGCATAGCCTCTCCCGTTGCGGCGGCAAGTCGATGCGTCAGAGGCCGCAAGAAGTGTAAGTTTGGCCGTCATCGCGAATGCGAAGCTGTCAAACGAATTCAAAGCCGATGAAGGTGACAGCTTGGCAATCGTGGCAATCGTGTATCCCGTCCGTACCCACATCCGCTGGGGAATAAGGTTGGGTCGTTGGGGGAAAAAGAGGTGGGGGAGGAAAAGATGGAGACCACCCTCATGTCCTAGCTCTGCTTAGCTAATACGCCGTTTGAGAACCAGGCCTTAGGTAAGGTGACTTAGGTAAGGTGACTTAGGTAATACGAGCAGAAGGATCTTTGGTAAGCAGCTGGACCCATCGCTCTGCATTGGCCAGCTGAGCAGCCACACACGCCTTTGCCGCAGCCGCAGCCAGCGGTCCCGTCGGCTCCCGCTATCCCTGCGCATCAGCCACATCATGACGTTTCCTGGCTCCCCGGTGCCCCTCCAAGTTTCCCCTCTCGTACGGCATCCACGCTGTGCAAGGTATGAGCTGCTGCTTGGTGGTGAGTTGGCAGTTGGCAAACGATGACATGACTCTCCCCGTCTGCATTGAGAGAGGCCTCTCTGCAGAATATCTACCTTACCCCGTTTTCTGGACCACAAGCTACCAGAGCTCAGCCTCACACGCCTACGATATCCACGTTGACGACAGTATACGCCACATTGTGCCCAGCAGATTTCATTACACTTCCTTCGGTCTTGCCGTAGAGCTCCATCAAACACCCAACCTACAAAAGGAATCAAACGCACAGCAATTCATTCACCATCGGCTGACTTTTCTCCTTCATACTACCATCTCAAGATACCCCGCCCTCAAGAGCTACACATCTTAGCATTGCCTTTTTTGCCTCGTTGCTTCGATATCGTTAATCCTACCAACCTGAACCCTACCAGACATCGACAGAAGACACAACTACAGTAATAATGTCTGGCACCAACCCGGAGAAGCCTCCCATCCAACCGGAGCAGCAGCTCTACCCTCCCCCTCCCACCGGCGACAACAACCAACAGCAGCCTCCCCAGTACACCTCTGGTCATGAACAGCAGCAGTACAACCCGGACCAGAAGAGCGCCGCCGGCCCTGGCCACGAGCAGCAACACTTCCCTCCTCCGCCCCCGGGCCCTCCTCCCGCCGGCCAGCCCCAATACACACACGCTCCCCAGCAGCAGTACGCCGGCGGCAGCTCCGTCCCCCAGCAGCAGTCATACGCACAGACACCCGGCCAGCAAGCTCCCTACAACCCCGCCGAGCACGGCGCCGGGCACCACTACTCACAACAGCAACAATTCGAAGGACCTCCGGGCTCCGCAGCACCGGGCCATGCCCAAGGCGGCCCGTACACAGACCCGGCCGCCGCCCACGCCGCCTACATCGCGCCCGCTACCGATCCCAACCACAAGGAGAAGCGCGGATGGGGCGAGCGCCTCTCCCAGATGGGCATGAAGGCCGCCGTGCCCATCAATGCCCTGGCCAACAAGATGGGCTCCCAGAGCTTCCTGCCCACCACCATGGATAGAGAGTGCGACAAGGCGGCCAAGATCCTCAAGAGCTTCTGCAGTAAGTGCCCCTCAAAACTATACCCCTCGAACCGCGAAACCATGATTGAGCACACAGCTAACACCACATCTCACAGAGGAGGGAATCACATCCGACGTACCCCCACAGACACAAACGGGCGAGCACCTCGACCCCGGCAAGCACGCCGAAGCCACCGGCTCGCGCCCCACGACGCCCAACAAGGACAAGGTCCGCAAGGACTCCAAGGCCATCGTCAAGATCCCCTCAAAGGTAATCAACAAGGCCGTCGGCCTCGCAATCTTCACCACCGCTCGCGTAGGCTTCCAGTTCTCCGGCGCCACCGGCTCCGGCATCCTCATCGCCCGCCTCCCCGACGGCTCCTGGTCCCCGCCCTCGGGCATCCAGGTCCATGCCCTCGGCGCCGGCTTCATGATCGGCGTCGACATTTACGACTGCGTCTGCGTCATCAACAGCCCCGCCGCCCTCGCCGCCTTCATGTCCACGCGCGTCAGTCTCGGCCCGGACGTGGCCGTCGTGGCTGGCCCCTACGGCGCCGGAGGCGTCATGGACGTTGGCGCCTCGTTTGGTGGCAAAAACCCCGAGGTCAAGGACAAGAATGCAAACGACCACGTCACGGACGCCAAGCCTACTGATGACGGTAAGCTCAAGGCCGACGATAAGGACAAGAAGCGCAGGAGCAGCAGCACTTCCCTCAAGCCCGTCTTTTCCTACGTCAAGTCCCGCGGATTCTACGCCGGCATCCAGGTAGACGGCACCGTTGTCACGGAGCGCAAGGACGCCAACGCCGCGTTCTACGGACAAAAGGTCACCGTGGACCAAATCGTAAAGGGTCAGGTGCCGCCCCAGGGTCCCAACGGCATGTGGCCCGCCGGCGCGCACCCTCTCTACGAGGCCCTCCGTACCGCAGAGCAGCAGCAGGCTCTGCCCGAGGTCCATCTCCCCCAGGCGACGCCCGGCCAGCAGGCCCCGCCCGGGTCGATCCCGCCTCCCCAGCAGGGCCAGCAGCCCCACTACGGCGGCGGTAAGCCCGAGGGGACCGGCATCCCGGCCTATGGCGGACAGCAGCAGTACGTTCACTCGGATGCCGGCGGTCCGCTGGGCTCGCACCCGCCCGGCCAGGGTGGCCCCGTCGCCTCAGGCGGTCTGAGCCGCGAGGAGCAGCTTCCAGGCTACGTGGATGACGATGTGGCAAGGCCTGGCGTCGGTGATCACAAGGGTCACTACCAGTAAAGAGAGAAGAGTGAAGGTAGTATGTGTATGGTTTTGGGTTTGCATCAGGAAAGAAGATTTTTCGCAAAGGGCCAGAGAGATATCCCCGTGGGCGTTTTAAGTGGTTGGCATGCTTCAAGCTTAGCATAGGATGAATTCAAATCAATTCAAATCAAGATAATCATCAACATCATTTTCCTTGTACACCTGTGATTTGTGTTAGTGACTTGGTCGGCCCCTTACCTACACTATAAATTTACCTGATCCTATACCAATGTCTTTCCCGCCTCTAAACACCACACCGTTCATGTTGCGCGGCTGGTAAGAGTGCGGAAAAATAAAAGAAGAGAAGGGTTTCCACACGTCGTCAGTCTCCCCATCCTCGAACACAGAAACAAAATGGAAGAAGAGCCACGCAGCCACCCGAGAGACAAACCAAACCAACCTGCACACCACCCCTTCCGGTAGCTCATCACGCTCTGTCACGCTCTGTCG